TGAATAAATACAAATAAATGAACTAAATTTTCCACAATCATTTAACAAAACATCGATTGCAATCGATTTTAAGGCATTCTGCAGGCTCTTCACTTCTTCGTATTTATGACGGTGGGTTTCAACATCCAACAAAAAAATAACAAAAAGAAATTTAAAAATAACAAATAAAGATGCCTTCAAAAATTAGCTACCGTAAATACTGTAATAGTACCCCAGCGCCCATAATGACGGTGCGGAGTGTTGCGTAGTCTAGCTTTGAACGAGTTTTTCTCGACACTGGTTTATGCTACAATGCGCGCTTAGGTATCAAAAAATAGCCCTTCAATTTCAGCTATTTTTTGATACCAAAGACGCATTTTTTGAAAGGATGGGCGCTTTGAAAAAAATGAAATACTAAAAAACTTTTGCGACTACGCGACTGTACGAGGGGGGTACTATTACAGTATTTACGGTAATTTATTTAGTGGGAAATCGAAAATTTAGTTCATTTATTTGTCATTGTTTTTCATTTTTATTTGTTTCTTTTATTTTTTTTTTATTGAATTCTTTTAGTTATTTTGGAATTTAAGTGCAGTTTCTCACTGACAAAATGCCTTGAAAAACTAAACAAACAACCTATAATTTTGACATCAAATTCGGACTCAGCATCTTTAATAACCCTAAAATGTGACTAAAAAGAAAGGAAAGTAAAGAAAAATTTGACTTTTTTAATGAACTAACTGGGGCTCACATGGAATTAACCAACTTCAAATTGCAATAACTTTTTTTGGATAGACCAATTTTCAATTTTTTTTTGTTTTCAGATCAGTAAACATTCAAAAACATTTGCTAGCAGCCATATTTTTGATTTGTCAGAAAACGTATTTCTGCCTTATCCCGTGGTCGTCCCTTATACCGCCCCCCCTTGAAAGGTCCGAAAATCACCCTTACAATTTTCGAAAAAAATTTTTTTTTTAATTTTTTTTCGACGTTACACGCCGAAAAAACGTATCTTGGATAAAAACGTATTTTATGAACAAATTAAAAACCTTTCTCCAAATCTCCAAAAAATTTTTCGGCGCTTTGCGCCGATTTTTGTCCGACCTTGCCCCCACCCTAAAATTTGGGCTGCCCACCCCAAAAATTTTTTCTCGGTACGGGCCTGATAAACAGCGTTAGATTTCGACCGTTACAGAGATGTTCCGAAAACCCAGAGAAGCCAATAAGTCACGATCTTGTCTGCTGGCTCGAGAAGTTTTTGGGGTGAAAGCACCGCTAGACCATTCAGCAGGGTAGCAGAGTCATATTAGGCCGGGCTGATCTGACAAAATCGGTCTTGAGTAAAGTGTGTTCCTCATGATTAAATGCGTCAATTAAATTAAAATGCATCAATGAAACAAATTGGTGCAAATACAAATTACCTGGGCTGAATATCTTTACGTGTGAATCGCACTATATAAGGAGCGCGTTAACGTTTTTTCACTTTAAGCTTTGCTCAACGTTTTTGGAGTAGGCTAATTTCCGCCACTTTATTTGCGCAACTCGCCATAACTTTCTTCTAAGTGGGCTAATCTTTATGATTTTGATTTCATTCTGTAGATCTCAATGAGTGCAACAAAATGACACCAAAATCATAAAGATTGACCTATTTAGAAGAAAGTTATGGAAAGTTGCGCAAATAAAAAGGCGGAAATTAGCTTACCCCTTACTATTATTTGGTTTTCTCTATGCTTCTTTCTTTTACTCTTTCTTTTCAATTGAATCACTTTCCTTTTAGATTAACTTCTTTAGATTCCCATTTATCACTTGGTTGTGGACAAGAATTTTTAGTAGCGCTAATTTTAATGGAATGCTTCGAAATCAAATGAAAAATCAAAGTAGGGCATGAAGATAAAAGATCGAAAAGGGGGGAGAGCGACGAAATGAAGGAAAAAGAGAAAAACGAAATAAAGAAAAAAAAGAGATTTAGCTGGCTATGTGGGTGGTCCTTTTGGTTTTTTTCGCTCGGCGTTCTTTAGCGATTGCTTTCAAAGAAGAACACTCCACTCATACCGATCTTACAGCAAGATCAGCAAGCAGGATCCAAAAGTAAAATATGAAAATGTTTCGATTTGTTGAAATTGGATGTTTCTTTAGAAAGGTGCTTCCAAAAAATACCAATATTACATCAAGATATTTCTTGGTTTCTCGGATATTTTTCGGATACAAATGTGTAAAATATTGGGTTGGTGAATTGAAAACTGCCGGACTTTGAACTAAAATTTATTCAACATAAAACCATAAATTCATTCTAAATAATTTCCATTATTATGTAAGACTTCTGCCCATTTTACAGGCAATTTGCGGATTCGTCTTTCGTAGTAGGATTTTGGTTTGTGTGTGAGTCAAGTGTGAGGCTCAAAAATGGAGGACTGAAGGTCTCCCAGTTTGAGCACTTTCTTCAAAAGAAACCCATTTTGGTGTCAATAGAAAAGTTGTAGAGAATCAAAAATTAGGCTTATAGCCAAATTTCCAAAAAGATACACTTAGTGGTTTTGCTTAAAATGCAAGTTTTGTAAATTTGGCATTTCTTGAAAACCAGTTTTTGAATCGTTCTGAAAATTTGGATATAAGCTTGATTTTTGATTCTCTACAACTTTTCCATTGACACCAAAATGGGTTTCTTTTGAAGAAAGTGCTGAGAACTGTCACATATGACAATAGCCCGCAGTTTTCAATTCACCAATCCAATGCAAAACATTTCAATTTGTTGGAATCGGATTTTTCTCTAGAAAGATATAAATTGATTTTTTTGGGCAAACAAGTTGTATACTGCTTTGCTTTTGTCAAAAAAAAAATCTTTCAGGCTTTATACAATTACATTGAAAAAGTTACGGGTTGCGCATTTGAAAAGTTTGTGTAATTTTTGGAGACTGAAGACGATTGTGGAAACGAAGACCACGACGATCGATTCTCACTTTGTCGGTCGTTGTCACCTGAAAGATCTAATTAGATTTCAAATGCAAAAGAAAATATTACAGAAAGTGAATGGATTTTTGACATAACGGCATTTTGACATTTTGGGGGTGGGACAAATGCGACCTTTTTTTGGTCACCACCCGGACATTTGCGCACCTTTTTTTCCGCACCTAGCCCATTAGCGCACCTTTTTTCGTGTTTTAAAAAAGCTCTAAAAAGCTAATATTAACCAATTTCTATTCCAAAAGTTGTTTTTCTAGGTAATTTGAGGGTGTCGAATTCAAATTTTGACATAACAGAGCTTGTGAAAGCGAACGGGCGGAGTTATACAAAGAGAAAAATCGACAATTTTCTGTAATTTGATCTAGCCGTTTTGTCTTTCAAATTGGTTCCACACGCTCTGTTATGTCAAAATTTGAATTCGACACCCTCAAATTACCTAGAAAAACAACTTTTGGAATAGAAATTGGTTAATATTAGCTTTTAGAGCTTTTGTAAAACGCGAAAAAAGGTGCGCTAATGGGCTAAGTGCGGAAAAAAACGTGCGCAAATGTCCGGGTACGCAAAAAAAAAGTCGCATTTGTCCCACTCCCGAAATTTCTCTCAAGACTTCTTACTATTAATTTGTTTTCTCTATGCTTCTTTCTTTTCAATTGAATAACTTTCATTTTAGATTAATTTCTGGTCCAAAAAACAGCTGCGATCTAAACAAACAAGTTTACATAAAACTACGGTAGCCTTTAGAAAGCGCATTAATGACGAGAAACACACTCTAGTCTTGAGACATTGCTATTCACGCTATTCACTAATACTGTGCAACTTTCAATGTTCTGTGAGAGCCTTAATGAACGATCAAACATTCTATTTCCTTTTGTTAGAAAAAAAAACTTGTCTTTTAGCTCATAAGTTGAGAATATTGTGCAAAAAGTTTTAAAACTTTTCTGGTGTATTTTGCAGAATGATTTCAGGTCAAGCACACACACACAATTTGGAAAGGGATGGAGGAGGGGAGTTTTCGGCACAAGTCACCCATTGAACAGAGAGCAGATTTTATCGTTCTCCTCACTCTACCCACAAATTTTTTTTTGTTGTTGAAAATTTGAGGGATTTTTTTAGTCTCGGATAAGGAATATTTTTTTGCCGTTTTAAAATAAAACTTTATTATGTACTGAAAAGAGATGAGCAACGTCTATTGAAACACACAGTTTGGGAAGGCAGTTAGAAAATAGAAAAAGAAAAAAAAAACTGCGGAAGAGTTTTTTGAAGATGGGTCTTATTGAAATTGGATGAGCAGTGAAATGAGGAGAAATGAATTGGATCCGGTGAAAGAAGAAAAGAAAAATCTCCTCAAAACAAAAAATCCATCCACAATCAATCACGATAACCAATAATTAAAAAAAGATTCCGAGAAAAGGTCGATAATGATGGCAGTTTATTCGGGAGAATTCTGAAACGACTTACACACATCGAGTCATTGAATTGTTCAGAAGAACGCGAGGGAAAAATCACACCTAGGCACGACAAAATACGAGCAAAAAGTCTGGGGAAACTAGCATTTGGGAAAAAGATTGATGAGAATATTTGAGAATAATCAAATGGATTGGTGATTCTTGCATCAATCATTTTAACAGATGAAAGTAAAGGTGGCAGAAAACAAAAAAAAAGAGAGATAATCGATCAGAAGAAGAGAACTTCTTCGACCACAAAATGTGTAACTGATTTTATTTTTGACAACGGGATTTTGATCTGGGATTTCGTTGATGAAAAAGATGGATGGGTCGTTTAGAATATGCAATTAATGAAAAATGCGTTCAGTTCAATCAAAGAAGATCACTCATTTGAGAATCTTATTGAAAAGAAGGACCTTCTTTGATTGATAAAAGAATATAATAGAAATAGAGAAGAAAAAATAAGCACCGAGTGTAGATGGGGTTAGGAAAGAGTCTTGAAAAAGGGAAACGAAAAAGAAAATATTGAAAACATTTTGTTGGGGATAATCTCTCGCTAGATGAAGAAACTAGCTATTGGAAAATGAAGGGAAGACGATGAATCAAAGAAGATCAACGCCCACCGGTTGAGTGCTCCTGAAAAGAAAATGTTGTTAAATATGTTGTACTTTGTAATTTTTTAAAAATCAACCTAGTCTCAAAGAGAGGTTCATTTCTCTTGAAAATTCCGATTGCCTCAAATAGCATTGTGTCTAATTCTTTCCCAATCAGGGCTGCGAGATTGTGGAACTTACTAACGAACAACTTAAGAGAATGAAACAGCCTTTGGACCTTTAAAAAAATGAGTAGATAACCTAGATCTCTCCTCTCTTGTGGGTAATTGATTAGATTTCATTTATTCTGTAATCTTGCAATCTTTGTTTGTCATTTCTATGTTTCTTAAGGTGTTACTACCTGTGTATTGAAAATTTTTTTTCACTTTACTTTATGTCTTGAATAAAGTACAGGTCGCCTGAGAAGTTCTGTTACTTCATGTTCTAGGATCTTTTCTCTCAGCTAAGACCGTTTTTGGAGTAAAATTTTGTTTTTTTTCTGAATCTTTAACTTTTTAATGATTGATTCGTGTAAAAATCTATCTTTTTTAGGTAATCAAAACAAAGATTTCGGAACACAAAACGATCGTCCATCAAAACGAATCCGGAAATTGCCGGAAATTGCCAGGATCACTGGTTTGGGACGTATGAAGGTCAAGCGAGCTGTAGATCGTTTCCCGAAGCCGGGGATATCAAAGATCGAAAAAGAAGTGGACGACCTTCAACGGCCGTCATTCCAACCAACATTAATAAGATCCGCTGTCGCATCAAACGAAACCCGAATCAATCAATGAGAAAAATGGTCAGCGAGCTGGTCCGTGGATATTTCCTTAGCGAAAGTGCGAAAAAGAAAAGAAGGACATTAGCCCGAAAAATGCTTTGCTTGACAAGCCATGGTCGCTGGCGAGATGTCGTCTTTATGGATGAGAAGATCTACACTGTCCAACGCATCCACAACCGTCAAAATGATCGCCAGCTTCTTAAGAATAGTTCGCAGAGGTTTTTGGCCTCAAAAACCGAGTCCATTTCCCAGCGAGCATCATAGTATGCGGTGGAATTTATGCATCCGGTCAAACACTACTGGTTTTTATTGAGAGAAATGACAAAATTAACGCCCAAATTTATCAGCAGAAGATTTTGAAAGATGTTCTTGCATCATGGATTCAATCTCACTTCCAAGGACGCCTTTTTGTCTTGCAACAGGACTGGACTCCGGTTCATAGAGCCCGAACGAGCCTTAACCTGTGCCAATGGTTGGCGCCGGGATTCTGGGGAAAAGATGTTTTGCTCTCTAACTCGTCCGATATTAATCCTATGGATTTCTCAGTATGGTCACTTTTGGAACAGAGTTTGGGAGGAGTCCAATTCAATACGACAGTTCAGTTAAAGGCAGCTTTGGACCGAGCTTGGAATAGCATTTCTAATGCGGAGTGTGCGACAATTTGCGAGAATTTTCGAAAGCGTCTCGAAAAATGTATTAAAGCAAAAGGGGCAAACTTCGAGCATTTGCTTTAGTTTTTTTTACTGATTTTCTTTAATTATATATTCAATTTTATTGTTTTTTTTTATAAAATGTTGGTATCTTTGGGAATAATTTAGAAAAAGACAGAAACTCAAACAGAAACAGAAAAGTTCGAAAATGCAACAGGACTTTTCAGGCACCCTGTATATTACCCGTACCTCTTTGTAGGAACGATGATATTTCTCCTCGACGACTTCCTGTCCTTGTTGAGCTTGGCTCGATTGAGCGCCTTCTAAATTTTGGCTTTACATAATTCTACGATTGCAACTTATTTAGGTAAATTTCGTTGAATTTTCGAGAAACCTATATCTTGCCCAGGGTTTGTGCGAGAGAAAAGAGAAATGCGAAACAAAACCAGGCAAGATCGCTTAAAAAGTGCTCTTTAAAAAGCTAAAGAAGCTGTTGTAGAATTGAAAATGAAATGAAAACTAAATCTGATGAAAAAGTGGAAAAAAAAGCTAGGAAAATGCAAAGGGAAAAGGATTTTTGGGGGAAGTGAAAAGAGTGGAAAAGCACCGACCGACATTGGCAGCCGAAGTGCTGAATTGGCGCATGCGATCGAGGGTGCGCTCCATTGGTTCATTGACAATACCGATCAAATCATCCGTCCATCGACCAGCATCCTCGTCTGAATCAAACAACAAACTACTCCTTTTTAAACTTATAAAATTGTGCCCCGATTGCTAACACTAAGCTGAATTATGAAATTAACTTTGAAAGGTCAAGTATGCCATGCTCATGCCAACAAAACTCAAAACAAAGGGTAAGCGTAAAAGCAAAAGGATCCTACTCGTGCCGGGAGTCGATTGGATTTGATGGGTGACAGTGGAGACAACAGTCGGCTGAGTGGTCGTTGGGTAACGAACAGCACTCGTTGCAGTCTGTCCACCAGCTTCTGTCTGTTGCTGTTGAGTGGTGCTCGATGTTGATTGTTGCTGTTGACTCGATTGGAAAGTGTCTGAAAGTAAAACGCCATGCATAAAGGAGAAAAATCATAAAGGGGTTTAAGCAAATTTCAAGCACAGGAGGAAGATTTTTGGGAAGAAACTTATTAGGCTGTCCAGAAAGTCTTTTCGTTCGTACTTCCGTCGAAAAATAACAATTCAATTGGTGCATTTGTGGTTTTAAACGAAAGTACAAAAAGGAATGAAAAGAAAAGACTTTCTGGACGGTCTAATAGTATTGAAAGCATACCATAGTCATAATTTGAGTATCCGCGAGCCTTGCTACGAACAGAATCATAGCCAGCCGCAGAATCGGAAGCATATCCACCCTGAGGAGATCTAGAGAGGGTGTCAAGTTCTTTCTGCAGCGTTGCAAGGGCATCTCGTCGTGCATGTGGAGTCGATGGTCCAGGCCGAGACGCGTCAAGCAACGTTTGCGAAGCGTATCGCCTTGGACTGCCCATATCGGATCGAGATCGATAATTGTATCTTCGTGCAAATGTATCGGTTCCTTGTCGATCGGCGGCCCCTCTCGTAATATACGATGAGCCAAGTGTCCCCGACGCGTATCGTTGTCTTTCTTGTCGTGTCTCTTGTCGTGTCTCCGATGTCTCTGCAAACGAGTTGCATGCTTTTATTGTTTTTTTTTGTTAATTGCAACCTCTTTCTTACCGTATACTCCAACCAGAGGGAAAACTTTAGATACTAAAAACTAATAGTAAAACTGTATTCTAGCTGCTCGGCGACTATCGCTTTTGGTGCTCAAAAATTCGCCATTTTTTTCGTGCACAAAAAATAAGTCAAAAATAAACGTATGATTTAGTGAAGAGGCATAAAAAAAAAGAGTTTCACACGCAAAATTAGTCCAACCGAAGAACTAGCGCACAATTCGAGCAATGGACGATAATTTAGAGAAAAACGATCATGCTTTTGGTTATCCCTGAACGATTTGTCATTCGGGAAATCGAGAAATGGATGCCCATTCAGGTAGGAGCATGCGGTTAAAAAGAGTTATCTAATCTATAGAATAACTTATTGTATATAGTTAAATAAGAACTATGTTTTGAAAAAAGAAAAAAAAAGAGTTGAAGCACAAATGCACCTCGAGCCAGAGCTGAAGCCGAGAGTGACCGTCGATTTCTGCCCAAGCTACCGTAACGCTCTTCTTCTGAGGCGTACTTCAAGTAGTCGCCTGGCTGAAAGAAAGTCATTGGTACTGCAATGAATTTGCATTCTTTTATTTCCATTGTACTAGATCAAGTGTGTAAAGTTTACAGTGTAATGACGACGAAGCGTTGAAGTACGCGAGCGGCTGTTCATCTCATCCAATTCGTGAGCCAATTGAGCACCGGTTGACGAATAGCCAGTAAATTCGGGTTGTTGATTATCTGGGAAAATGAATCTTTTTGAAAAGTTTTTGCTCTATATAACTTACAGACGTGATAGATCTTGGTTGAATGAATCTCGTCGCCTTTTGTCTTTTCGAGAGATGTCAAACGCTCGGTGAGCTCGGTGAGTGATTGTTGGAGTCGGCGCGAGTCTTCGAAGGACTGAAAATATTGATTTATTTTCTTTGATTTTATACTTTCACATACACTCTTTTGAACAGTGCGATTCTTGCAACCCTCTTTGAATCCATCAACAAATCCTTGTTTGAAATCATCTTGTCCCGGGTATTGTTCATCGAGTCTCGAGATCAATGATGGAGTAACTCGATCGCCAAAGACTCCCGAATTTCCGTCCTAACAAGCAAAAGACTCATTATACGAGAATACGAGAATTATGAGAACTTTATTGCGCACACTAGAACTTCTATTCATTTCACATACCTTGTATCCTTGCATGAATCCAGCTGAATATCCTCCCGAGCTCTTTTGAGCCAAATTGTGCATTGAGGTTGTCATTCCGGTCATTCCAGCATCACTATAACAATTTGCATTTGTTTATGCCTTCATCTTTAAAAAGTCTACCGTAGTCCCTTTGTGTATCCCTCATGGAATCCGGTGTCCCGATCTGCATAATTATCTTGCATGTGTCGACGAGCCGCCGATGCGGAACCCAATCGGTTTGCATCTTTGTAACCAGTCACATATCCCTTCTCGAAATCACCTTGAGCTAAATTATTCCCTTTCTATTATTGTCTTATCAATCAATTTTCCACCGTTGCTAACTGAATTTTCGAGATCTTTGTTCATAGTTTCACAACGCGAACTTTTGTTTGCCTAGTTGCTAGGTTCCTTTCCGTTTTTGCAAGAGTATTGAATACCCAAAGTGGGGACTAACTATAATATTTAGAAATATTCAAGTTAACAGTCTGTTTATTATTAATATTCTCTTTTTTTTCCTGATTTACTATTTACTGGTAGTCAAATGAAGGCTAAAAGTCAGGAATGTTTGTAAGCGTAAACGCACAATCAATCACAAGGAATGCAACCGTTTTTCAATGAGAAAGGAGAAAGAGAAAAAGGAGCAACCCCAATATTTTTCGGGCGTTGATGGCCGGTGAAGAGGTATGGAAAGAGAAAAGTTGTAAGGGGGAAAAGAGAAGGGATCGGGTGTGGCGATTTCGGTGGAGAAAAGTGTGAGCGCGAGAGATTTCGAATTAGCTCCGATTCACATCGATTTCTTACCCACAAAACTTATCCTCAAAATCAAAGAAAAGCCAGAGAAATTTGAGCTCACCTGTGCCCATTTGGCTTTGCATTCGATCGAGGCGATCCTGCAGTGTGCGAATGTTTCGATCCCATTCTGCGTCATTCTGAAATGTGATTGCATAAAAATACATGTAATTGTAAGGAATAAAGTCTTAAATCTACACCAATTAAAGGTAACTATGTCAAAAATTTCATGGAATGGCATAAACTTATTGATAAATTGATAAAAAAAACACTAGAACAAGCCATTTGTCTAATTGCTTTTTTATGCAAATGTTGTTGTATCGAAAAAAGACTACCTTGAGTAGTGGCTTATCTTGTCCATTTGTTGTTTGCCGGTAAAGATCTTTGCGTGCCCGGTAGCGTCTAAAAATTATTCTTTGTTTACTTTACTCAATTACCGTATTTTTTCTAATAGTATGATATGCCTAAAAGAGCGTCGCGTAATCGTTGTTTTTCCGCACTTTGTTGTTAATCATTTTTTTTCTGGTTCCTCTTGGCATGTCATACTATTAGGAAAAATACGGTGAATTAGAAGAACATGCATACTCGAGTTATTACAAGTTGCCTCTATTTTCGATAATTCTTTTTTTCGAAAAGAGACAAAAACCAATGCGATCGAGTTAGAATTGTGTTTAGTGGGCGATAAAAATTCTCTCGGGAGACTATGCAAACATGACGAGTTTCGGGGTCTTTTTGGCATTCGACATCGAATTCTCTTCAAAATTTTTCTCTGTCAATTCACTCAGAAACAGATTGACGGCTTTGTTTGCAATTGTTTACCAATTGTTTACATGCATTATCTTGGTAAAGTGTTACAAATGATTTGTGGATAAAGATACCGTTGAAGACACCAGAGAAGACAGCAACACAACAGGATGAGCAAAAGTAGCAACAACAGCAACAACAACAGCCAATACCATGGCCATCCGGCCGTCAAGTATGGACTCGCTAAAAGTTTCACATGTTATAAAAGATTAGTGGGTCATTTTTCATGCCTGAAAAATTTTTTCAAACTTTTGCACACCTCAATGTTCTTGAAAGGTATTAGAGAGGGGAGTTGAGTAAATAAAATGTTCAAGGCTTATAGAAAGGGGAAAGAAAGTTAAAGAATTGAGTAAGGGAATCGATGAGCGAGCAGACGCATGCATCCCCTGTAAAGACTCCAAGGGGGACAAACCCACTTCGTATAACAGCATAGGAACCAAAGACATAAGGCGAATAGCGCAATCAACAGCAGCACTGGCACTATGTAATACCAGGGCAACCGGCGCCACCAATCCATGAAGCGCGCATCTACAATCGAGAAACAATGTTGGCTCAGTTAATGACAAGATATTTATTGATGGAACCCCAAAATGTACCCAGACAAGACAAACTGAACCCTTGATTTGGGAAAATAAAATGATAAACACTCACCATCGGGCCAGACGCCCATAACTAGTTTGAATTAATTGCGAAAAGAAAAGAGAATGGGTAGAGGTCCGAGCTTGGGGCAGAGGAGGGACAGAGCTGACTTGCCCAGGTCGGGGTGTGTCTCTCAAGAGGTCCCCTCACTTTCCCTTCTCCAACCTGTCCTGTTTTCAGTCTCTCTTTCCCATTCTCCATCCCAATCTTGGCAGTCTTTCTTTCTTTTCTTTTCCTTTCTACATTCATTTTTCTCTCTACCCATTTCTCATCTCATTCCTTATCACTCTTTTCCTTTCCCCAAAACTATGTGCGTGCCCCATAATTTTCATCTTTAGCAAGGCGGGGAATGCGTCGCGAGAAAATGATTGCAACCTATTGTTGTCCATACCTCCCCTTTCCTTTTCCCCTTTCCTTGATTCCTTGGCAATATGTTGCAAATCCTGAAGTTAGTCACTTTTCTTCTCCCCCGCCTCCACACTATTTCTTTCTCCTTTGACGTTTCCTTTCAAAAAAACGATAAACTTTTTGAAGTGACTCACTTGCTGTCGCGAAGTTAATCACTCCATATAGAATTTGCTTTTTCCAAAGCTCTCATTTTAATATACAAAATCAGCTCACAGACTTCGACTTGACGATTTGTCCTTATGGGTGTAAAAAGAGAAAAAGGAGGGATATTTTTGGAGAAACCACACCCCAAAACGGAGTGAGAAAAAAAAGGAAAGGAGCTCTATCGAAAGCTCTACTCTAACTAAGCGTATTGATGCTCAAAAATCATTGCCATAAAACAAGGCAAGGTAATTGTTTTTTAATGTTTGTTTTTTAAACCTACCACGAAGACGGCCAACAAGAGGAGCGCCGGTGATGTTCCAAAGAGTGTAGATCTGAAAATGGAAAAGCTTTTCAATATTTTCAAATTTTAGAGCTACCTCGTAGTTGTATTTCTTGCCCTTTGTGAGCGGATAGTTGAGATATCCGCCAATCACAGTGCCATCACCAAGTCGAACCTTTCGTGGCTCGGGGAGAGTTTCGAGGTTGAATGAAGCGGCCACATAATACGGGAGTTTCTTGCGATGAGCAGTCACCTGAATGAGAGCAATGATAAGAATAAAACTGGATCTCAAACCTTATCAGTAAGCTCGGTCCAGTTGGTGTCACCGGGAGGATCGCGCTCGTCCACAACCACATAATAACGACTAAAGACAACTCTTTGTATACCCAGTTTGACATGTTTAGAATAGTTGTACAATATTCTTAAGTGTTTTAGGCATACGTGATGTTAGTATCAGTTGGTGATGGAGCCACATCAATATCCATAAAAGTTCCAGGAGCTCCGATATTGTCAACATGGTAGTCTGGAGGCACAATGCAACAACTACTAAAATTTGTTTTGTATAGATATTCGTAATTTTTTTAAAACGAACGCTTTAATATGTGGCGGTTCACTGATGACAAGACGGCCAGCCGATTTCCAGTAGTTCCATTGACCGGCGACTTTTGCTCGCACCTGAAAACCCCGCTCTTGAGATATTTGTAATCTCAAAAATATTTGTAAAACACAATACACACTTGGAAAACGTATTCATCGGGTTTGTGGGGCAAATTGAAGACCAAATAGCAATGTCGTCCACATCCATCTTTTGGACAGAGAAGCTCTTTCGCGGCACGCTCATCTTCCTCTTGCCAAACACCATCGTGCTCTTTCAATCTCAGATAGCGAACCTATTTGTTTAATTAGACAAAAGTATTCAAATTTTGGTCGTTACTTGATAGTCGCTGGCCATGTTGTCAACAATGGGTTCCCAACTGATCGAGACTGCAAAGTTTGTCTTGTCGCATTGTTTAAGATTCTTGACGAGGAACCATCCTGGTGGCAATGTCGACCAAACACCCCAAGCACCTTCGGCGTGATCCTGAAAAATGAAATTAGTAAAGTAACAAGAAAAACAAATTACTTTTGGCTGAAGAGTGCAATTGTAGGTGGTGGAAGCGTTGAGTCCCTTGACGGTGAATTCAGTCGCAGTAGAATCGACGTGGAATGTTCTTGTTTGATGTTGAGGCACCGATTGGTACACAGAAGTGATCGTGTAGCAAGAAAGCTAGAAATTCCTTTTTTTGAGAACCCGTTTTATAACTTACTGTATAGCCGCGGTGGTTTGTTCCCCATTTTGGATCCCATTCAAGAGTGAGGGTGGTTGGAGTGCGGTTCTGAAGACGAAGAATGTGATGCTGTCCAGGAGCCAAGGTTGAATAGGTTCCCCAGAGAATCTAAAAAACTCTTTTCATTTCGTGCGTGATTTCGCAAAAAAAACCTGTCCATATCCACTGTTGGTGGCCCCTTGAACGGTGATATTGTACGGAGTCTCGGGGATGAGTCCCTCAAATTTGATCGCGTTTCCAGGCACAAGCACCGTGTAATTCTTCGGTGTGCCGGCGACTCCCGTTCGTGGATCAACTGGAGCAATTGTGACACTGAAATCGAGTCGATGAGTTCATTTCGTTCATTCCATTCATTCACAAACCGATAGTGAGTGAGAAGCTCTTTTTTCTCGGGATCCCAGATCTCTGGAGGCACCCAATCCACATGCAACATTGTGTCACTCTTCTCGATCAAATGCAAATCGGTTGGTGCTGGCAACCAAGACAATAACCCATCGCCTAAAATTCGTTTGAATAGTAAAAGAAAAAATGAAGAATACCGAAATCAGTAGTTGGGAAAACACCAGAGATGAACCAAAGGTTTTGACCTCCAGCTTGTCCCTTCACTGTCACATTGTAGTGAGTGACACGATCGAGATTGCTAAAGTCGTTTTGCTTATATTTGCGCTTTTATTTTCCAAACCGGAAATGATAGTCAGTTTGTCGTCCAGAAGTCGAAAACATTTGGGGATTTTCATCAAGAACAGAGGCAACAGAGATGTACACATCATATTTCTCGATCTTGTTTCCAATGACTGCTGGTGGGACCCATTGAACCTAAAGTGGTTTGAGTAAAATCTGCACAATAGATAAGACAAACTCTGAGACTGTCATGGCTCTGGAAGAGAAGTTTGATCGATCCACCAAGTGTTTCATTGTCATCTTTTCTTGTTGTACTGAAATAATCCGATGACCATTCGCCCCAGTTTCCGGAGGCTGATTGTCCTTGAACAGCGATTCTGCAAAACATTTTTAGAATTAGTCTTTCACTAGTGTTTTCTTACCTGTAAGTGGTAGAAGGTTGGAGATTCTTGATGGTAGAGCAGAGATTGTCGGAAGTAATGATTGGACTCTTGTAACCGGTACAAGAAAGCTGATCGTCTCTAATTTCGACTTCCGTCGGATTACTATCATCGGCTCTTGGGCTAAAAAAACTTTGAATACACTTTGTGAGTCACTGAAAACCTGTATCGGATTCGATAAGCAGTGACGACAGCTTTTTCGGGATATGGTGGTAGCCAAGTGAGCTGGATTTGAGTGGACATTGTCTGCACAGCGGTCAACTCTCTTGGAGGACCCAATTCACTTCCAGTTGTGCGAATATCCAAAGGCTCTGACCAAGGTCCAGCTCCCTTTGATGTATAAGCGCGAACCTGAGATCGACGTCAGTCAAAAAGTTTTCACATCAAATAAAACCTTCATTCTGTAGAGACTTCCTGGTTGAAGTTGATCAATGACAGCTGAAAGTCGAGGAGTGACACTTTCTCGATCGCCCTCATTCCATTCATCAAGTCCCGAAAGAATGAATTCATATTGGGACACATTTCCATTTTGATGAGCACACTCTGGTGGATCCCATTTGAATCCAAGCTCAGAATCCTATAAATGAAATAAAATTGAAAGCGAAATCAGCGAATACTTTTCGAATAGTGCTTTGAAGATTTTGTGGTGCCCCAGTTGGGACATCGCTTTCGGTTTTGAATGTTCGAACAGTCTTTGGAGCGACGATTGATGAGTGAAGGCTTGGCGGCCTTCTTGGTGTCACAATTACCTGAAAAAAGGACGATTATTTGATTCTTCATTGTCCAAACCTCATATGTGCTTCCAGGATGAAGATCGGTGAGCAAGAGTTGTTTCTCTTGAACATTCAAGCGAGTGATTGGTTCATGGCTTCCAGTTGCCGCTTCTGTGCATCCACCCAATTGTTTCAATCTGTAGGTGATATCAACTCCATAGTTCCATCCTTGATCCTTATCAGCTAGATCCCAATCGACCTAAAAAATCAATAAATAGATGTAAAGGTGCGAGTCCCGAACCTGAGCCGTTGTTGGATCTTTTGGAGTGACAGTGACAAAGATTTCTCCAGGTAGAGATTGTGTTGTGAGGGAAACCTTGTCCGACCATCGTGAGAATTGTGGCTTATCTTCTTTGGTTTCAGTTCTCATCCGCACTTCCCATTTTGTGCCCGGCATTGTTGAGATGATCAGCTCTGATGGTGAATCCGGATCCACATTGAGTTGTCCCTAAACAGCAGCTGTTCCGTCATGACCGACGGGGTAAGAGCCCTGTATCCTAGTCGGGAAGTCAAGGGTTCAATCCCGTTGGCTAGATTATTGATTCTTTTTTCCATATATAGGTTTTTTTCTTCCCTACATTTAGGGCTTAGGGGTGTGCTTGTGTATTGTTTGTACCCTATTATTTGTGTGAATAAATGTATTCATTAAAAGGTATACCTTGCTGGTAGTGTTCACAAAGTCGATCACATATTCGATCTCATTGCACAGCCAGCTCTCCTCACTCGGTGGTTCCCAAGTAATCTTGAGTGTCTCAAAGTTGACCGAGGTGAGTTTAACATTGCTTGGCGGTTCTTCAGGTTTTCCACAACTTGTCATCGCTTTGGTCACAGGTCCAGGAGCACCTCGTTTGTCATTCTTTCCGACAACCTAAATTAGCTTTTCGATTGTCTTTCTGTGTCTTCTTTTTCCTCACCTTCAAACGGAAGAAGTAGTTTGTCGCTGGTTCAAGCTCTTTCACTGTCACTTTGTATTCATTTTGTCGTTGACGATGCCGAGTCACTCCATTATATTCGGCCCAAGCAGCTTTCTCATCTTCTGATTTGTATTCGAGTGCATATCCAACAACATGAGCCGCCTGAAATATTGTGTAAATGCAAATACGAAGTGAATTAATGCCTGATCAACGGGCAATCCCTCCCATTTGAGTGAGATCGAAGTGGGCTTTGTGTCGACAACTTCCAACTCTCTTTCCAAAACAGGAATGTTTTGCTCGTGGGTCTTTGCTGAAATCGAAGCTGACCAATCAGACCAACCACCTCCTTCTGTATGAGCTGCTACCTAAAATGATTGATGTTTTTAAATTCAATATGATGATGTTACTTGAATATCATATTCTTGTTCAGGCTCAAGATCCGATAGACGATAGCATAGTCGATCTCTCTTGTTAGCATCAGAGCACACGAGTCGCTCAGCTGGCACACGAATCTGAAAAAGAAGTGAGGTTTAATTTTTTTGTGTTTTTCAGTGCCTCTTTGTAGTTGCTCTCTCCACTTGGAGTGTATCGAATTTTGTATTGATCGAGAAGTCCGTGGGGTGGTGATGGAGGCAGGAATGAGATCTCAATTGCATGAGGGAAAGTGCCTTCTTCTTGGAGATCTCCTGGTGGTGGTGGGGCGGCTGGTTGAGTGGTGAACGAAACCCATTCACTAAACAAGGCGATCATCAAAATATAATATTCCTTTTCCAAAAATACCTGTATGGGCCAGCTCCTTGTGAGTTGAGAGCTCTGACACGGAAACGATATTCAGTGTATGGGGTCAACTTGTCGAAAGTCACTCGTTCGGAGCGGCTGCTTCCTAAAATTTGGTCTTTAAATGGCTACTGGTATCAAATTTTTAGTCACATGCACAACTGCTAGTTTTTATTAGTTTTGGAGTTTCAAATTTTTAATCGGGAAATCGTTATTTCTCAATGGGATTTTCGCTTTCAATTACCGGTCGCGTTTTCCGCAGAATCCCACTCTTCTTCGAAAACCTCGGTGGCTATTCCTGTTTGCAAAACTCATACACTGACAAGAAAATTTAATAAATAAACTTCAACAGGCATAAAAACAACATTCAAAACTAACCAGTGTTATTATCAGCCCATTCATCGACAGCTTCCAATTCATATTCATAATCAGTGATCTTTCCATGTCGCTTTTCACATTCTGGTTGTTGCCACATAGCATCAGCACTAAATAGTGTTTTTTAAAATGTTCAGAGAGAAAAAAATGATGATTGATTAATTTACCGAGTAGCGGTGACGGATCCGATTCGAACATTGAGCGGCTCTCCGGATGGTTCAGCCTCTTCAGTGGTGAAAGTGACAGTTTGAGATGTGGGACCGGCAAGTGAAGTATGGGCAATCACTTGAACTTCATATGTTGAATCGGGCAATAGTCCTTCCAAAGTCTAAAACACAAATCATTCACATATTATGCCATTTTTGTACTTGTTCCTCGCTTCGAACGTGTTTCTCGATGGGATTTGATGATCGAGGTCCACATTGGCCAATAGCTTTGAGACGATAGATCAAAGTGTACCCAGTGATCACTCCATTCGGGTTCTCCGGTTGTTTCCAGGAAACCACCGCTGTCGTTGGTCCTAGATTTTAATTTGGAATTGAGTTTTTAAAGAAGGCTTTTAAAGAGGCTAACTGGACAAACACGGGGTGTGTGGTTAGAAAAGGACTCACTCTTCAGATTAGACATTTCTGGAATCGGACCCCAGTTTATAAGAGCTGAAGGAAAATGTTAGTAAAAACTTGTTAGTAAAAGAATTTTGAAAGAAGTTTTTTTTACCTTCTGGAGTGGCAGTCAAATCAGTTACTGCTCCTGGAGCACCTTCGGCTGTTGTCACTTCTAATTCCTAAAATATTGTTTCTTTGCTTGTCAAGTTTTGTTTGTCAAACCTTGCTCCAATCGGATTGCCCAGCCTCATTTTCTGTTCTGATTCTCACCACCCATTTTGTGTTTGGTGGAGAATCAAACATGTGATCAATGGCCGCTGAGGGGACTTCCATTTCTTGACGTCCATTTGTACCATTTGTATACTCGATTCTGTATCGAATAGCCGAACATTGCCATGATCCCTTCAATGGAGCTTGCCACGAGAAACGAACCTAATCGTAATTGTTTTTTTTGTTTTCGAATAAAATCTCTCACTTGTTTGTTGGATGGTGATGATATGGCCACATTGGCTGGTGGTGATGATGGAGCGGCACATCCGGTTCTTCCTTGTCCTTCAGGTGAGGCATCAGACACTCGTTGTTGTTTGTCAACGACCTGTAAAAATTTCTGCACTCAGATTTTCCATTGTTTCACTAACCTTGATTCGGACAAAGTAGAGCGTATCTGGATCAAGACCAGTGACTTTCTTGAGGTAGGTTCTCTTCACAGCATCGTGCTCTGTTTGTCCGCCAATTTCTGTCCAAGATGAAGTCTCAGCATTTCGGATCTCGATGATGTATCCCTGTAAAGAAGCTTTTGATTTGTTTTCAAAAATTTTATGCCTTGACGCGATTCTTTGTGTCTTGTACTCCGTTCCATTGAACATCAAGAGCACTGGCTCCATCGGGAGTGACAACTGGGGCGCCGATCACCGCCGGGATGTTGAATAGATCGGTGGCATAACGAGTATAGATCTCGGGTCCAAAGCCACGTTTTGTTCCAGCAGCTAAACGTTGTCGTGCAATAATCTAAACACCTCAACAAACCAATTGAGATATTGTAGTTGGTCTCAGGTTGAAGTTGTTCGAAAAGATAAGTGAGCGTTGGATGATCAACAAGGAATGTCCGCTTTTTGTCGTTCGGATCATCGAGGGACACAATTGAGACACGATATTGGGTGATATGTCCTAAAATTGCATTCACTCATTTCATTCAATTCCATTAAACAACAAAAGACTCAAACGAGGGAAACAAAAAGAAAATCTTTAACTGATATTTGGGGCTGAATAGGAATAGAGCTAGAAATTTGGGTGCACATAAACTCAGCACAAATTCGCGATTCGTGACGCCACCTTTTGGTTTATTTCTATTTCTGCCTAAACACCCTAAATTAGATTTGTTTTAACAAAGGAGAGTTTGTGTAAGATTGCTTTTGGCTAAAAGATAAGAGTTCTGAACGTGTGTGAACCTTTGCTGTCAACAGGTGGAACCCATCGGATATGAAGTGAGTGATCAGTCTTTTCAATGAGATGAATTGCACGAGGGGCATCCGGGAGAACCTGAATTTTTTTGCAAATTATCTCAGCTTCTCTTTCTCGATCTATTAAGTGAATAAGTCTTTTTCGTACTTCCGTTGAAAAATAACAAATTCACCAATTAACCTATGGTTTCCTCTAAATAAAGACATTTTAAATCGGTTTTAATGTTATTTTGCAGAAAAAATAATTGGCCTTTCTAGTGAAACAAACCGTAGTTCAATTGGTGCATTTGTTGGTTTTGAACGGAAGTATGAAAAGAAATGAAAAGACTTATTTACCTGTAGTGTGTTTGCAATGACAACGCTACTCCATGGTCCGTAGTTTCCTCCCTCAATTCTGCAAGCCACTTGTACACGATATTGTTGACCGGGCTCCTTATCTAAATTTTAGTGGTAATTCTAGCTTTGTGGTATTCCAAACCTGTGACATTGTAACAGAAACGAGGACTTTCAGCAGGGCATTGAAGAAGAGGACTACGGAGTGGTTGCTCAACCTAGAAAGATTGGCTTCGTTTTTCATTCAATTCACTCACCGTTTCCCAGCCATCTGTTCCCAAAAGTTGATGGCGAATCTTATAAGCATCGTGTGGTCCATATGGTGGATATGGTGGAAGCCATGAAACCATGAAGAAATCCGTACCCTAAAAAAGATTGCTTTATTCATGAAATACAATTTTGAAAAAAAAGAGGGGAAAATTTGATACCTCTTGAGCAACAACGAGATCTTGTGGCGGAAGTGGAGCGTCAGCTTTAGCCGTCATCACATCAAGATTCTCAGTGTTTGGCCCTCCTCCAATGCTGTTGTAAGCCTTGACTCGCATCACATATTTTGTGAACGGTGTCAATCCATCGATCATAATCTTCGTGTCCGACGTGTTTGCAATTTGTCTCTCCAGTTTCGCCCAATCGTCTTGGCCTGAAAGTTTGCTTGCATTAAACATAAAACGAATATTTTCATTACCAATGATCTCATATTCGTAATTGGTGATATGACCGTGACGTTGAGAGCAATCGACTGGTTCCCATTGGAAAGAAAGGGATCGTTCAAGAGCATAAGTGAGCTCAAGATTGAGTGGTGGAGCAGATGGGGGTTGTTGCTCGGTGGACACTTCTTTTGTCTCTTCGGGTCCCAAGTCAGTGGTTCGAGCTCGCACTTTCACTTCATACAAAGAATATGGCAAAAGACCAGTCAATGTGTAGTCAAGATCTTTGTGATTGTAGATGGTAACAAAGTCTCTTGATACGTCACGAGGTTCTTCTTCAGGACAAGCAAGTCGATGTTTGAGACGATAGGAGATATCGTAGCCGACAATTGTACCACGTTGCACTAATGGAGGCAACCATTGCACGTGAACCTCATTCGGTGAGAGAGCTTTCACTCTCAAGTCCCGAACAGCTCCTGGTGTACCCTGTCTTGTGGTGATTGATTGCTCAGGTGACCATCCCGAGGTTCCAACCTGAAAACAGTTTTTTTACCAAACAGTTTAGCTTTTTTCTCACTTGATTCGTTGCACGAAGCTTGACGAGCCAACGCTGATTGGGCTCGGCGGGGAATTTGTATTCGGTTTGATCTCCAGGGACAACCACAGTCTTTTCCGGTCCACCACCAACACGATAACTGATCTCGATGTTCATGTGATCACATTGCCATTGATCTCTTGCCGGTCGTGCCCAATTAACTCTCACCTAATGATAAATTTTTGTTGCTATGCCGATGAGAGTCGACTAACCTCATTTGTAGAGGGTGCATCAAGGCGAAGTCCATGTGGAGGACTGGATGGAGGTTGGCATTTCGTTCTTCCTCTCACTTCAGGAGATGGGGCTGTTTGTTCATTTTGAGCAGAAACGACACGGACTCTCAAATCAACAACACTGTTCGTTGGAAGTCCATCAACGGTGGAAGTGTAAGTGGTCTAAAAGTTGGCTAAATGTCTGTCGTTCAAGTAGTGCTCACTTGTGCTGGGTTGGCTGGCACACGGCGCGGATGTTGCTGCCATGCACCGCTTTCGAGACGATATTCAACAATGTAACCAGATGCCTCTCGAGAATTCGAGTTCCATTCAATGGTGATCGAAGTCGCTTCTTCGGCAATAATTCTTGGCGCAACAGAAAGAGCCTGAAAATGCTTCGTTTTTCAGAATGGATTTATACTAGAGTGTATTCCCCGCGATCAATTAAAATTTATACCCATACCTGCAATTGAGCGGCATCGGTGCTCATCGTTGCCGAGGTGCCCACACAGCATTCTCGTTGAGTGCACGCTTGCACACTGACATTGTAGGCGGTGCTTGGGCGAAGAGTGTCAATGCGATAATTTAAAGTGCGTGAATCGACAGTGAAAGTCATGGGGCGATCGGATCGATCAAGAGGCTCAACGTAAAGACGGAATCCGGTGACACGAGGAATGTCTTCTGGATTCACTTCCCATCGAACCGACAACGATCGATCAGTGCTGCCAGTCTTTGTCACCGAGAGCACTTTCACGGGTCCATCCGAAATTTTGGCAGTTGCCGGTTTGGTGTAGTCGGAGCAAGTTCGACGAGCGCAAGCAGAAACCTAAGCAAGTTTTGAAATATCTTTGATATTTTGCAATGCTCACTTGGAATTCATAGGATTTTTCGGGTTGCAAGTTATCGATGCGACCACATTGATATTGAGATCCAGGTGGAGTAGGCGGGAGATTTTGTCTTCTCAATAGATTTGGATCACAAGGAGAAGCTGCCGGGAACTCTGCCTCTTTCGGTGGCTCTTGTGTTCTCGCTGGTTTATATTTGCACTAAACATTGATATGATTTCATTTATTGCATAAAAACCTTGTAACGATCAACGCGATTATCAGTTGGGCTTTGTGATGATTGCCAAAGGATATGCGCATTGTCTGCACCAGCATCGATGACTGAAATGTGCGGAGGAGCCTGAACAATCGAGTGTCCCGTTGTTTGGAAGGCAACTTCTTGAGACCACGGACCAGCACCGCGAGCTGTGTAAGCACGAACCTAGAACTTTCTTTTAAACTGTAAATTCTCTTTTTTTTACTTTAGCATTGTAACGGGTATTTGGCTGAAGATTAGTGATTTGTGCTCGAGTTCCGCGCACGTTGTTGGTTGTCTTTTGCACATGAGTCCTAAATAGTGGTTATGCTGAAATGTTTTCTTGCAAACCTTCGATCAGCGGGAGTGACTTCATACTCATACTCAGTGATATCTCCATTGGTTTGCAAACAAGCTGGGGCTTGCCATGAAATGCTAGCCGAATCTTGACGAGAATCCTCAACTCGGAGGTAATTCGGTGCGGCAGTGGGTGTCGATTGATCTGTGGAAACCTCTTGTGACACTCGTTCACCAGCAATTGTTGTTCTTGCTGCAACCCCGATGCGATATCTAAAAGACTTTAGTCAAAAGCGAAAGAGATTGTTCAACTTGGAGTGTGGATGCAAATTGCGTAAGACGAAATACGGCTGCTGACTTTGCTCGGTTCTTGGTGCCTCACGAACCTAAATTTTACGTGAAATGAAATAAACGCTTGATCGCTTACTTCTTCACACATTCCACGGTTTGTTAGTTGATAGGTGATCTCATAGGAAGTGATTTGGCCATTTGGATTCGCTGGTGGTCGCCAACTCACCTATAAAAGTTTTGCTTTTACTTTTTTTTAACTTGTTTACTTGAACAGAATCGGGTCCGAGTGGTTGAATTCTCAAATCCGCGACAGGTCCTGGTGCAGCTGCTTGCGTTTGAGCAGCTTCAGTGCGAGACCTAAATAAATTGATTGTATCTTTCAAAAGTCTATGAGCAAACCATTCGGATTCTCCGGCTGGATTGGCAGCTTGAACCTCGAATCGCCATTGGGTGTAAGGATCGGACTCAAACAGAACCGAGTTCTCGCCTTGGGTCAAGTTTTTGAAGCCTTGATTGCGTAGAGTCGAGTATTTCACAATGTACCAGACTCGATCACAATTCCACTCTGATTCGGGAAGGGGCTGAAAGTGTTCTTGATTAAAATTTTATCCTCCAAAACATACAGTCCAAGTGAGCTTGATCTGCGTGGGTCCAACAGGCTGGACTTGAAGACCGGAGGGAGCACGACGAGGCTTCTGACAGGCTTGTGAAGTGTGGACAGCGACAGCGGGTGAAGTGAAAGCTATCTCTCCACGTGGACCTTTTGCCACAACTCGGCACTAAAATTTAAAGTCTAAACAGAATATTTTAGATAAAACCTGATAGGTTTGACCCTTCGGCAAACCAGACAAATCCACTTGATATCCTCTTTGGTTTCCAGAGAATGGAATCTGAATTTTTTTAAATGATTTGTAATCGATTTTTTTTTGTTGACACCTGATTGCTGTGTTGACGCCAATTTTCATCTTTGTCATTTTTCCATTCAACCGAATAGCTGGCAACCTAATAAATTGATTGTAATGTGATCGATTGAAATACTGAATACCGTTGAACTATCAACGCCTTCTTTGCTTTGCCAAGAGAGAATCGGTGACCCTTGACGATATTGAACATTTGGGCCGATGACGAGTTCTCCAGCAGCTGGAGTTCGAACCGAAGAGATAGGCGTCCTGAAAAGCACTCGTTACTTGCTTAGTAAAGTGTTTTACCAAGCAGAATGTCCAGCAGAGTTTCGAGCTCGGATCTTCACAGCCCACTTCTCATTTGGTCTCGATTGGAAAATATGAGTTGTCTGTCCACCAGCAACTGACACTGGGGCTTGTCCGTAAGGTTCTTCGGCCTGAATTTATGCTCTTCGAATAGTTTTGCTTTTCTAACTTGAATCTCAAATTGGAGATCAGCGCAACCCCAAGTGCTTTGTGGTGGATGAGCCCACGCGACGCGAACATGACTGACATCTGGTGCCGAAACGGCAAGGTGAGATGGTGGATGGGATGGAGCTGCAACAAAGAGTTATCAAAACATTTTTACTGTAACTTACCTTTGCATTCAGAGGTGGCCGATGATTCGGCTGAGGTGTACATCACGTAAGAGTTTCGATCCAATACCTGCAACGAAATTTCATTCTGATACAAAGTTTTTTCAGACTCACCTGAATGTGAATGTAGTAAGTGTGACCAAGTTGAAGTCCGGTGAGGGTTTGTTGGTATTCCTGATTGTCGCCAGTGTAGGGAACAATTTGACTACAACATTTTGTATAAAACAATTGTAAAAACAAAATACCCATATGGATTCCATCCAGACTGATCGGTACGGAATTGAACCCGATATCCAAAGACGCCACGTCCTTCTCCTTCACTTCTCCATGTCACATGCAAGTCATTTCCCCGTGTCGACACTTGTGGAGTTGAAACCAAAGCTGAAATTCGTATTCATATTATTGAAGAAACATTTTATCAATAGCAAATAGTGAGTCGATCTCATGCAGCGAGCAGAGCAAAAATAAACCCATTTGCGGGTTTTTGTTAGGAATGGAAAGGGTAATAATCTCTATTTATCTCTGCGCGACGTCACACCACACAGAAACGGTCATTGTTAGGAAACAGTAAAGACACGACGGCAACAGAAAATCTTGGGAATAGGAGTTGAGTTGTTGTTAGTGTTGAGGCAGTTACAAATAGAGCGTGCTGCTCGTGATTAAATAATTAATAAGAAATTTGCGTATAAAAAAATTTACAGAACTACGGTAGCCTTTTTGAAATGGACGCTTTAGAAAGCGCATTAATCACGAGGAACATACTCTAGTTACAAACACCAAACTTTTCTCGACGGACACCGATACTTTGATTCTATTGAGATAAAGAAGTCAAAAGTGAGTTTTTGGAATAGATTCAAAGTTTCGGATGACCGATTCGGGTTGGTGTCGAAAACTGAAATAGGGGCGAAGGGTCTCGGCAACCAAAAATGAGGCAACTAATCGAGTAATGAATGGAACGGCATTCGGGAGCAACCTTGGCCTGATTGCCGGCCTGCATGTGTCGCTTCAAAGCCGCTGCACCAAAAATCGCGACTTGGATCACAAATACTTCTCTTCAGCCGATGCCCCACTTCTGATGCTAAACGATCAAAAACAAATATTTTTGTCTTATAAACTTTTTTGAGAATATTCTCTTTTTGCTAAAATTTTTGCATAACACGAAGTGCACGATCACAACTGGCTCACTGGGACGACATTTCGGGACAAATGACTCTAAGTTTACCCGTGTTTCTTTTTGCTAGCTAAAAAAAGCTAAAGTTTAAAAAATCTTTGTATAAAGATTGAAATTTTTAAACTCACATTGACGCGCATTGCTGAGGAGGACTTGTTGAGAGGCTGTTCCACTGCCGGCTTTGTTCGATGCACGAATCTTTATCAAAAGTTATAAAAGTTCAAATCAAAAAAACGCACTTCAAGGTTGATTGAAGAGGGCTTTGCCTGGATGTCGAAATGACGCTCAGTTGATGCAACTCGATAGTTGACTTGCTGTCCATCAACCACACCCGTGATGTAGAAAACGCCACCACAAGTTTGATCTTCCTAAAGTAAGTTTTTTCCTTTGTGTATATTAAAATTATATTCACCTGTGGAGCATTCCATGAGATGCGGACAAGATTTTCAGACACGCGATCAAGGCGAACATTTTCTGGGGCAAGTGGTGCTGAAATGCTTGATGTATTAGGTTGGTCAATAAGTCTTTTCGTTCCTTTTCGTACTTTCGTTGAAAAATAACAAATTCACCAATGGTTTCCATGGTTTCCTTTAAATAAAAAGTGTTTACTGTTGAATTTCTAATGAAACAAACCGTAGTTTAATTGATGAATTTATTGGTTTTAAACGGAAGTTCGAAAAGGAACGAAAAGACTTTCTGAATAGCCTAATAGTACATTTTAGCTATAAATGTTTATTTTATTTACATAAGGATTGATAATGACCGGAGTTGAAGTTCTTAAAAACTCACCTTGACATTGGACTTGGAATGAAGTTGATGGCGAAGTGGCAACGGTGCGACCATTGGAATCGATCGCTCGAACACGTACATAGTAGAGAGAAGCCGAGAGTCCGCCCAGTTGTTGGCTAATTTTATTTGTCAAATTTGTTCATATAAATTTAAATTTGGAAAAAAGATTTGAATAAGTACCGGAAGTGTCGTTGTGATTTGGTGTGATCATTGTCGACGGCTTCACCCACTGCTTTCCACTGTTCACTGTGAGTACGAATCTCGGGCTAAATTTTTAGGATTTTAGAATGTCAAAATGCAAAACCTGGAAAGAAGCAACATTAGCCGTTTGTCCAACAACAGTCCAATAAACAGTGCTTCGTGAACCTTGTTGCTCGATTCGAGGTTGCTCAATTTGAACACTGTCACCAGATGATGAGGAATGACCAGCTAAATACTGTCATTACTCTATGCCAAAAAGATTTCAGATTGCAGTGCTGTTGATTAAAATGTTGGTTATTTTCAATAAAACCACACTGGTTAGAACAGAAAAAACCTGGTAGGAGCACAAGTTGAGCGGTGGACTTGATTTCGAAACGCTGCACCACTGAATAACCGGAGATGAGACGAGCCTCGAGAGAAACGATGAGTGGAAGAGCGGCTTCACTTTGCGGTGAAAGTGGCTGATGTGGGAGTGGGACCACGAATGAATCGACGTTTGATCTGAGTGGCACAAGACGCACTCGACCCGATCCATCGAAGATGCTCATCTACAGAACAGTCAGTGAAAGTGAAACAAAAACATGAGTTAGTGAATGAATGCACTCATGTACTCGTCGTATTTTAGGCTAGTTACTCGGCGATGCACACCTGATACGATTCGACAGTTTGTTTAAAGTGTGGCTTCCAGTGTAATTCCACGGAAAACCCATCAATTGGTTGTGCAACGATATGAAATGGCTCTTCCTCTGGGGAATCTATACAAAGCAATGATTAGTGATTAACGAAAAGAGTTCCCAAACCAAGGTCAACCAATTGAAAAGTTATAGAAGTGCCACGTGGGGCGGTTATACCAGTGGTCAAATTGTAAGACACCTAAATGATAAGTTCATAGGCGGAAGGAGTTAGTCATTTACGGTTGCTTGATAGTTGATACGAAACACAAAATTATCCAATCTTTGACAATAGTCCTCGGGATCGGCGACACCAGTTGGGCAACGGAAATCCTCGGGTCGTGTCACGACTCGACTCCAGCGTAATGATGAATCTTCTTTATAAGCAAGCCTGTGCTTGAACAACAATGACATTTAGACAATTGATAAGTCTTTACTTAAACATGTGCACGAGACCCTGATGTTGGGGTAATGGTGTCCACACGAGGTAACTATTTGGTGGAGCCAGCACAAGACGCAATTTGTAGAGATTAGATGCGTCTCGGATTAGGTGCTTGGATTGTCGTTTTACACGCTTTTCAGTGAGATCTGGAAATTCGGTTAGACACGGCAAATGTTAATTCGTTAGTTTGTGAAGTTGTCTTTTCTTTGATACCTTGTAGTGGGCCATTAGCGGCGGTTGTCGTCTCAATCGGGCTACTCCATGCGCTATGACCGTTTCCGGATCTTGATCGGACCTAAATTAAATGTTAAATAGGAAAGTGCGAAAGTTCAAACTTTGAAGCTGAATTTGGTGCTGGGTTGAAGAGTGTCGACTACGATTGTGGAAGCGCCGACATAGGAAGCGCCGTCTGGGGGAGCTGCTTGTGAAGATTCCCAGATAAGATATTCGTATCCATCAATTGGGGCCACTGATTCATCGCAGCTTGGCTTGTCCCACTCGAATTTTGCTGCTTCTCCGCCCACAGCCACAACGCGAACGTTTCTTGGCACTCCCGCTCGTCCGATACATGCTCCTGAAAATCCACTATTACTGTACACGATGTTTTTTCAACCTTCAGCCGCATGTCCAACAGTAAGCTCATCAGTGACAGCGACGGCTTGATTCGATTCATCAACGGCAACGATTCGCACTGCATAGAATGGAACATCGACCAAATCGGAAAGTGACACCGAATAGTCACCGACTGAGCCGTCAAATGCCTGAAATTCGTTTCGTTTACAGAAAAGCCTTTATTTTTATACTCGTTCGTCTCCCCGTTGCCATTGATTTTCACTTGGAAGTCGATATTCAACGATGAATCGAGTGACAGGAGTGGCTGTAACGGGTGGAACTGTCCAATGAACGGTTGCCACTCCATCAGCTTCTTCAACCACTTGCGGTTTATCAGCCCACACCGCGGCTCCCTCTTGAGCGGTTTGAGCCGTGATACTGTAGCTCTGAAATGAGCTTGGTTAGCAATTTGTTTGTGTGCTTGAGCTTATACCTGCTTTGGCTCATGATCAACAAAAGCAACGACTCCAATCAAATAACGAGTGTTCGGTTTGAGACCAGAAAGGACATGGGATGATTGTTGCGGAGAAACACGAGCACGCTCAACTCGACGCGAATCCGCGTCTTGTTCAACAGCCATCACCTTAACCAGCCAGCTAAATTATTGGCACTTTTAGTAAATCATACTTCATAATGTTGAAGTCTTTCGTCATCATAATGAAGCCAGGTGATTCGAATCTGGACATCGGTACGATAATCAATATGAATGGCATCTGATGAAGAAATGGCTAAAAGATTTGGGTTATTGACTTTCAAGTGTGAAATGCACCGTCTCCTTTTGTTTGAGCCTCGAGAATTTCGGAACTCCAAGGACCGGTATTGCGAGAACGATCAGAAGCACGAACTCTGGAAAAAGGGGATAAAAAGGAGACAAAGAGAGAGTGAATGCTACTTGATAGCATAGACAATTCCTGGTAGAAGATTTGTGATCGATGCAGATGGTTGAATAACGGTTTGACGATGAATATCGAAAGAGGCATTCCCAAGTCCGGCCACCTCGACCTGAGAATTGAGAGGACATCAGTAAATGGTTGATTGATTGATTGATTTACCTGATAATCACCGATAGAACCGCATTCGGGTACATCCCAACGGAATGCCAAAGAAAAGCGGCTGGCTTGAGTGATTTCCACGTTTCGAGGCTCAGAAACGTCATCTAAATCTTCTCTTATTTGAAATCAATCAATTGGAAAAGTCGCTTTTTTCAACTTTTGGATTTCACAATTTTCAGAGCAATTTTTGATTTTCTATTTTTTTTCACCGATCTCACTCTTCACAGAAAAGTGAATGGTGACTTTCACTGATTCGAAATGGATGGAAGAAAGATTGATGTGAAAGAGAGAGGAAAATACATTTCGATCACACTCTCACATATCCATCTCATTTGCATGAGGGAAGGGGAGGACAAATTGCGGCGTGTGCGGGCTATGTCTTAAATGAAACGACCCCCAAATGTCAAATTAAACGCTCGTTTAAGGCAATTTTCCCCTCTCACCCAAAAATGGTTTACCATTAGACAGAATAGAAACCAAAGGGATAAGTAGAAAGATTTGGTTGGTGAATAAGTCTTTTCGTTTCGGAAGTACGAAAAGGAATGAAAAGACTTATTCGCCAACCTAATAGGATAGTTAGAAGCCTCTAGCACCCGAGAGCCTACTTTGTGAGCAAAGTTTGAAGAATTGTGGCTGTGGAATAAGGTCTTCCCCCGAGAGACTCTCATCGATCGCCAGAATATCGAAACAATCGAATTTTGGCTCTAATCGTGATGTGTGCGAAAGACGCTCGTGCACTTACCGATATCGCATTTGATGGAAACCATTTCGTTTCTTGCTCGAATCTCTGGAGTCTCCACAAGCACCGAACCATCAGTTCCGAGAACCTACAAGTATTCCATTTGGAAATCTTTCATCAAAAAATTTTACTACCTTAATCCTGACGAAGAACGATATGCCCATCGGCAGTCTCGGGATCTGAAATTGAAAAGTGTGAATAGTCTTTGAACTTATTCGAATGGAGAAGCGTTTGCTCGGTTGTTAAACTCTAGTTCAATGCAATCTATCAATATTTTTACTTGCTACTTTCCCCTACCTGGACACGATATTGGTGATTTGGTCCCTTGTAAGGGATGATTCCAGAGTGAACATTCCATCGATCCAAATCATTCTCTGCGCGATACTCAACGAGGAATCCTGAACCCCAAGAAGTTTGGTATGATTGAAATCTATATCGAATCTTACCTTGGACATCCGAATCAGGATGATCTCCTGTTTGAATGCCTTCCCACTCAACGGTGAGCAATGATTGACTGGTTGTTCCCGTTTCTCTTTTCACTCGCACCAACCCTAAACAGTGCTTTATTACTTTGTATTTTATGAGTGGCTCATTTCCATTTCAATCACTTAAACCCTTTTTTTCTTTTATTCAAGAAAAATTTCTATTTCTCCCCGATCATTCATAAACCATACGCATGTGTTGGAATTTGTTTGTTTTGAGAGATTTTTCTGTTAGTTAGACTAACGAAGGGAGCACTCGAGCAACCTAGAGGAGAATGCTAGCCTTCGCCCGGTCTCTCAAAGAAAGATTGAGAAAATGAAGAGAAAATTAGATAGATAAGAGAAAAAGAGAGACGAGAGTGCCAAGTGCAAGATTCTGCTGCTGGTCGGGGAGGCGGAGGGGGGAAGGCTTGCTGGCGGGTCTCCGGAAAAGCTTATTTGAAGAGGGAACACTCTCCAAGACTACCCAATCTCCTCGCATTTTCTAATCGATTTTTAAGACCCGAAAAAAGTGAAAGCTTATGAATTTTTAACATTTCAAAATTAGTTTTAAAATCAAATTTACCTGATATTAAACCAGCTAACAAGAGGAGTAGGGACCATCGTAGAGGACCTCCCCATGAGGTCGGACCCATCTCTACCTGCATTCAAGCATCAATCAACAATAATGATCACAACAAAGAAAAGGCATAAACAATAAAGAATCATGAGAAAGATCCAGACGTAATACATTTTAAAGCCGTTACGAAAAGGAACGAAAAGGCTTTCTGGACAGCCTAATACACTGTGGTGCAAAAGTCCTGACCGGTCGCACTGTCCTATCAAGTCTGAACCATTTCGCCAGAAAAAGAACGTTAAAATTTTATGGTAAAAACGTTTTTGGATAGCTTAAACCTTCTACTTTTATAATCCAAAGAATGAAAGCAATAACATTTTATTTAACAAAAAATTTTGACAATATTCCGAAACGACTCAAAAAAACATGGTGCAAAAGTCTTGACCGGTACAAGAAAACACAAGAAAATTCAATACTTCGTAGGTCCTCCTTTTGCGACAATGACTGCCTAGATGCGTCTAGGCATTCGAGTCGACCAAATCACGTAGAATTCCCAAAGAAAGTTGTCTCCAAACATTTCTGATAAAGAAATAAGCATTGGCCTTTGAGTTGAACCGGCGTCCCTTGAGTTTGGCTTTTAAATGGGCCCAAAGATGCTCTATAACGTTCAGATCCGGCGAATAGGGAGGTGCTTTGATCAATTCCACACGATGAGCAGCAAAAGCCGGGCAGGCGAACTTTACCTCCATTTGTAAGCCGGACAACTCGACCCATCAGTAATTGGCTTTTGTGGCATGGGGCGTTGTCTTGATATAAGGCCCATCCTTGTGGCATGTTTGCGTTGGCAAATGGAAGTAGGTTGTTCTCCATGATCGACTCGTACCCCTGAGCATCAAGAGTTCCATTGATGCACTAGGGCCCCGGTACACCTCGGTTCATCGAGCCTAAAGAAGACAGATTGTAAGAAAAGTAAGGCGAACACTTACCCCACAACATAATGCCCCACCGCCGAATTTGACCGTTGGTTTAACGTATTTGAGCTTATAACGTTGTCCAATTGGCCTTCTGATTAAATGGTTGCCGTCCAGGTAGTACAAATTAATTTTAGTCTCATCGGTGAAAATGACTCGGGCCCAATCATCGGAAGTCCAAAACTCGTAGTTCTTTGCAAAGCATATCTTAGCTTCCGAGTTCTCGCATTCGTCAAGGGTCGTTTCGCTGGTCTTCTCGCATGTAATTCAGCCCGAATCAATCGCCTATTGAGACTCCATCGGGAAATATCCTTGCCAGAAACAGCCTTCAACTTCTTGATCCCATGGCTCGACGTTAGATTAGGGTTTATTCGGTGCTCCCTGATGATCGAACGATCCTCATTTGGTGTTGTAATTGGTAGTCGACCTCTTTTTGGGGCTCTATGAACGTTTCCTTTGATTTGAATTGCGCCACGAGACGTCTCACTGTTTTTTCAGAACACTTGAACGTTTCCATCACATTCTTCACGCGAACGCCTTTTGTTCGATTCTCGACAATTTTCTCTTTGTCAGGCGTTGATAGATATCGTCCTGGCATCTCAAAAAAATAAAATTAGAACCAAAAAGTTTATGCAGAAAGACAAGAAATACCAAAAAAAATCAAGAAATAAAAAACCGGTCAAGACTTTTGCACCATGTTTTTTTTGGGTCGTTTCGGAATATTGTCAAAAAATTTTGTTAAATAAAATGTTATTGCTTTCATTCTTTGGATTATAAAAGTAGAAGGTTTAAGCTATCCAAAAACGTTTTTACCATAAAATTTTAACGTTCTTTTTCTGGCGAAATGGTTCAGACTTGATAGGACAGTGCGACCGGTCAGGACTTTTGCACCACAGTGTATTAATTATAAGATAAAAATAAGGTGACGGGGCAAAAAAGAGGGGGGATAAGCAAGAAAAGATCCCGCAACCAGAAATCAGCGAATCATGCATAATTTGTGTAGAAGGAACCTGTCGTTGTCCCTCTCTCGCATCACCTAGAGACTTCTCCTTTGAAAAAAGGAAATTTCTCTTCTTTCCCACATACCCCATCTCCTTGTATCTCCAATCTTTCTTCAACCTCTCCTTTTTTTCAAGGCATCACTCTTTTCCCCCTTCGACCATCCGCTAGAAGCACACTGATAATGCATTTTTGGGCAGCCCGAGGAGTTGTCTTTGCGCGTCTTTTTTTTCCGCCACAAAAGTGTTACCGGTGGGTTTTTGGGGGAATACAAGAGGTATGAAGAGACGTCTCGATGAATGGAACTTTCAAAGTTTTCTTTCATGCCTCATCTCCCCCTTTTTCTCGCCAACGAGAATCAATCACGAAACTCTAGATCGATTACTCGTTCTTTACCACTTTTGTAAAATGAGAGTTACCCGCAGTAAAACAATAAACGATTGATGCGGGAGAAAGGCTTATTGGGCCTCAAATTGATAAGGAAATGAACAATTTGATGAACGCTATAGAGGCATTTTTTCACAAGAATTGACAAGGTCACTATCGATAGTCCGTAGTGGAAAAATCATTTATTTTTTGGTTGAAATTAGGGTATCGCTTTTGAAGGAAAAAAGGGGGGAAGGGGTACTGATAGAGAGATCGTCTTTTTGTCAATGAGAAAAGAGAACAACCTTGAAATAACATAGAGAGATAGATATTAGCTGGAGAAATATAGGCGCATTCTTTTCTTGCAAACTCTTTTCAACCAATCACCGGAAAAAGGAGATAAAACATTAAAAAACAAACCTTTGATAAAAAGTTATTAAAGTGTCAAAAATTTGATGAGCGGTGAGTGTTTTGAGATGAAAACCAACAATCAAATACCATATTTTAAAGGATGACGAAAGAACCAAAAAACAAAACTATCTTGGGAAGTAATAAAAAAGTTTTGGTAGTTTAACAATTACAAAAGTTGACAGAAATGAGCTGTCATTGGCTGTCACAGAAATGAGCACAGAAATTGCTAAAAGGTTCTAGCCCTAACTATTTCAAAGAGCTGTTTCAAAGTGCCAAAGAACTCCAACGGAACCCTGTCTATAGAATAAAAAGACAAAATTGTTAGGAGTCAATATTTTCATAAATTCGATTAAAGATAGTAATGAGAAGAACTCAGGGGGTCAAAAAACGAAGACTCAAGGTGTGGCACATTGCTGTGGGGTGTGGTCCGAGAAATGTGAGCGCTCTGCGCAATCCATCAATCGAGTCGAAATGTGCAGTGTCCCCCGCGAGTTTTTGGGGGAAAACTGTGAAGAACATTTCAAACTGTGAAGAACATTTCAATTCAAATAGAATTCTCCGGGAAGTTTAAGTTAAGGATAATATTTGATGCTAAATCAAGCGGCTTCAGGGTCACACTATGTTTCAGTCAATGTTGGGGTTTATTTCGAAAATCGCCAAAAGTGACACTTCCTATTAGTCATTTGGCTTATTTAATTCGTTTATATTGGGGCGGTATCATGAAAAGAATGAAAAAAAAGTGGGTGAGGTGTGTCATCCGAAAAAATTCACACCAGAGAAGTCGTTTATTACCCAAACAAGGCCAATCAAGACAACGTGCTCATTAAGAGATTTAGATCTGAGATTCGAAGAAAAAAAAGAAGAAAAACCAAGGCAATAATGAAGATGTCTCGAAATTGGGTTGGGAGCTGTTCTATATGGGAGAGAATAGTGGTGGGAAAGGGTCTTTGATATAAGGAGTGGGTGAGTGAGTGAAGAAAATGCCATTCACAAGGATCATTCCGGGGGTGGCCGACTCCCTTTCATCGTTTCTGACTCACTATGGGGTGGCGAGCCGAAGAAACAAATATTTACTCAATAAATGCCCCATTTTTGATCAGCGCCTCCGGGTTTACGATTGAGTGATTTTTTTTGCATGTTTCGACTTTGCAGAGATAAAATGTTGAGAGGTTTTTGTGGGAGTAGCATCGATTTTATGATACGGGATTCTTTTGGTTCTGTTACTAATCAAATCTTGTTCAGTTATTGATCAAAAAAGAAAAAAAACTGAAGGGATGAAAACAAAGCAGCAAACAAGTAATGTTTTAAAATCAATTAAGAATCAATCAATCAATTCAAATAAAAGATTCTTGACGTAATCAATGAAAATTGCAAGCAGAAAAAAATGAATTGAAAGGCACAAATTTGAGATCAGAAAAGAAATGTGGTGCTAGAAATGAAAAGATCTTGATGATGTTGAGTTCAGAAAGTGCCTAAAAAACTTACTAACAATAAGCTTACAAAGACGGTGTTCTCCCTTCTACCAACAAAAAAAAGAGGGGTGTGAGAGTTGTGGGGGTGAGGGGGCGTGTGAGGTCGGGAAGAAGGGGGCTCTGAAGGGGGATGGGTGCATGCCTGCACGGGGGGCATCAAAAAGGCAAAAGAAGAGAAGCCCGACTAAGAAGGCTCTCCAGAGACAGGACACAAAAAGTCTCGGGCAAGAAGGGGCAAGAAGGAGGAGAAGCCCCTTCCCTTCCATTCCCTCCACTACCTCCTCTTTTTCTCTTCTTCTTCCACCACGAGGGCCGTCCACCGCCTTAGACCACACGGCAAACAAATCAAAACGAGAACTTGCGCGCAGCCCCCGGCAGCACGCCACCCGGCTGCCTCCCCTCGTCTTTTTTTCTTTTTTTCTTTTCCCCGCCTAGCCTAGTCTCAACAAATTCCCGAATTCCTAATTCGCCATCATAATCTCTATTGGGATGATTATTATTGATCATCCTGATTTGTCAGTTTTCATGAGGAAAGCCTTGTGAATAGACATGAAATAAAAGGAATGATAGGAATGAAAACGCATAGGTGTAATGATTACATATTGCCAATGGTTAGGAGGAGACAAAAAGCAGAAAAAGCAAATGGTGTCGAGCTGAAAAAGGAATACTGATAATGGCTTTTTCACGTGTCAATACAAAGAGAAAGCAAAGCAAAAATATGACAAAACCCCTCGCTTTTCCTTCTTTCCTAGGTAAATTTGAAAGAAAAACTTTTTGATTGAATCGAAAGATGAGCATTTTGCATAAAAGTGGCCTCGTCCAGCAGTGGACGAAATTTGATGAGAGGCAAAAGAATGCGCAATGAAAAAGAAATCATCTAGGAGAAAACAAGTATCGAAAACGGGGGCAATCCGGGAAAAAGGCTCGAGAAAAGGAAGAAATTCACTTCTTGCAATACAAACGCCACTGCGCAACAGATTTACAGCCCCTCCCTTCATTCTTTTCGTTTTCTTCTTTTACCTATCCACACCCATCAAACGAAAACCTCAATGGCTTTTTTTTGAAAAGACGATCTCTCATTTCTTTTAACAATATTCTAAAAATTGAAACTCATACTTCAAACGTATGTTCATTGATCAACTGAGTGGAATGAATGAAAAGCGAGAGATGCAAAAGCAAAAAGGAGATCAAAAAGTAGACAAACAAAGCAACAAGTTTACTGACTATAATCAAAAGGCAGCTGGTTGCTGATTACTAGTGTTGGAGATGAGGAGGACGTGCACTGATTGCGGCACAAGGACAGTCGCTTATCAAAGGGGTAGATCGCCCGGCTCGCGCTCCCAACCAACCCCCTTTCTTTTGACTTCTTTTTCTTTCTCTCATTCTCTTCTCATTCTCAGATTGGCTCATCAAAGTCTAAGCCCTTTATACACCGACACCCCAAATAGGGAATCGAAAATGAACAAGTATATGAGCAGAAATCTACTACTGCTGAAAAATCAGTGGCTGTTCGTCTGTCTCGCCTCCGACTGCGCCATTGCAACGAAAACTGTGCGTCAGTCCTAAAACATCCAGTCAGAAAAACCTGGTTTTTCTGCTGGTTACCATTAAATACGATCAAAAGAATATGAATTAAATGATTCCAATGCATGGCATTTCACCACTCATCGTCCAATCTTCGAGGCCTTCTACTCTAGCAGTATCTCAGATTGGCCAGGGAGAAAAAGGCCGGCTGGCTTCTCCGGCAAATATTTGAGAGCGCCGCGCTTGAAACAAGAGGCACCGAGTGTGCCCCGAGCCTCCGAGAGTTGACGAGGCGAAGATGTGGAATGAGAAAAAAAAGAAAGAAGGGTAGGAGGGTGCCACCACACAACGACTTCCGAGTCATTGGCTCCACTTCGAACAGCTCTTCAGACAAGCAACGACAACATCTTATATGAGTTCCACAAATAGAGGTGAAAATTTTAGAACAGCGCTAGAGCTCTACATAATTTTTCTATATGAAAGTTTTTACGGGGTGATTTGAAGTTGGGATGAGTGAACACAAAACGTTAAATGAGAATTCTCAGTTTTCAGTGAAGGGCGTGGTGCCGAGGGTGAAGAGGAGAGGGTAGGGAAGGGTGGAATGAAGAGACTGATAGTCGGTGAAGAGATCGAGAATGAATCAATGGATGGATGGATGGTTGTAGGAATGGGATTGAATTAGATTGGAGAAAGATGGGTGGATCATCTGGCCGGTCTGACTCACTCTTTTCCTTATTCGATTTTCTCTCCATCACTCTCTTTCCGCTGATTCATTGTTGTTTTTGAATTTCGTGCATAAATCCTCTAAAAATCTAAGTTTCTGAGTGTTTGACTTAAAATAAAGTATAGTGTTTTATAAAGTAATCTTTATGATTGAACCACTAATGTCTTTTAGCTCTCTTTAATACCATATTTGACGTTTTGTCAAACATACATCAAGCGTTGCAGACCGCAACACGTTGCTTTTACAGCTTGTTATGATTAGTTTCTTATATAAATTTATGAATGCTGTATTTGTTTTGTTTAATGTGCTTTTGATCATAATCATCGTTAAATGGTAGGAGAGGAAAGAGATGGGCGCGGTCGGGAAATCGACAAGACAAGAAAGGTGTATAGGAAAGGGAAGAAAGATGGAGGGCGTGTATGAGAACGAGGAAGGTCACCAATTGCTCACAAAATCACTTTCAGAGATACACACACGAAATACTCAATCGTCTACAGTGAGAGAAAGAGAAGGGGGAAGGTAGAGGCAAAGAAATGCGATGGATGCCGGGGGGAGAACGAGAAATGGAGGAGGTGAAGGGTAGGTATTTTGAGTGGGTGTGGTCCTAACACTGAGTATGGTTTTCCCCAAGAATGCACTATCATTACCTTTCTCTTCTTTTCTATTCCTTTTTGTGAATCTGTGAGCAGAGCGCTTATTTGACCTAAAATATTGTGTTGACAAAGTGAAGTGAAATCTAGTCAATGGAAATCATCTCAGCTTAATAGCCTTGTGATTTTGTTATGATATTCTACTTTTAGCATTGTAAAGTTTACATAAGTATTTTATATTGTTCTGCTTGTGAAAAACGGCGATATCCCGATGACAAACGATTCCTGCACTTTGTTGGCACTGCCCTTTATTATTTTTTGCGGTGTAACTTGATATACCTAACTTCAAGTTTAATGTAAAAAACGAAAGTTTCCCACCAAGGGGTTTTTCTTCACAACATTTGGGTAATAGGGGTAGATAGGGGTGCGGGCCGCAGTGCCATAAATTGGGGGGTGTGCCTTTTGCTCACATTATTGGTTTTCAATAAATGTATTAATGTAAAAAACAACAAGCTTGATTTAATTTTATGTTTGGTGAGTAATAAATAAAATAATCAATTGTAAATATATTGAAAAAATAATTGTTTTGACTAAACAATTTTCTTTTTGCTTTTTCCATAGATCGTCGTAACGGAAGATGAAGGAGAGGATCGAGAAATTGAGAGATCAATCTAAAATTCGTGTTTTGTTCATGCTTTTCCCGTTTTTGCCACATGAAATGTTTGTTAGAGGCTTTTATTAATGAGTTTTTTTTAAAAAAAAGGCATTCTTGCAAAATGGGAACAGTAAAGAGCCAAGAAATTTGAAAGATCTCAGTCTCAGTAGTATCAAAAATTATTGGTGATCTTATTGTTAAGAAGGACTGATTCTTATCAAATTTCCCGGACTATAGAAGAAAAAAGCTCTTGAAAATAAAATAAGTAAAAAGAAAGGAGAGGTAATTTGGGTTTATAGATAGTTGCATAGAAGTTTTCGAGTTCGCTTTTGATTGATTCGTCGAAGAAAACTGCTGTATTAGTGAATGTTTATAAATTGAGCAGATATAAACAATTCATACAAATGACCGATATTTGTAAGAATATTGCTATCTACTCCGAACTAATATCGGAACATACCTAAAACAACTAGACGGGAGGATATATCTACTACATTAGAGCACAATAGTTACCCATGTTTTCGGCAAACCAACCACGAATTCCCATCTATAAGAACCATTTTTTGATGATGTCACTTGATGATTTAAAAAAATGTAATAGTAAAAAAGCTTGTTACTTTATGGCCAAGTACAGCTTGGTCGAGTTCCCAGAGATTATCAAAAGGATGATCACTAAATTCACATCGTAAACGAAGTCGTTCCTTTGTTACGTCCTAAATACTTTTATATCGGTAAAGTTATTGTTTTTTTTACCTTTTCGATGTATTTACATAGTTGCATACGAAAACCGTAATTTGGATTCACAATGGGACGACATGAGGTCAAATGAGAGAGAGCGTTGAAGTAAGAAATTTCGGCTATAGTACAGAGATAAGCGAGAACAATTGTCGCACTTCGAGATACGCCGGCCAAGCAGTGGACCAGCACTGGCTCTGAAAAGAGGTTTTAGTTAGACTAGTATCTATTTAGATGTTCTGGGATTGCTTACCAACCTTTATTTAAACGGCTTCGGTGAATAAAGCTGTTAGTCGTTGCAAAATGATTGGCAATCTTCGACGAGGCACAATCAGCTAGTGCGATTTGTAATATATCAATTCCTAAGTTCGCATGTCCAGTATGAGAGATGGTCAATTCGTGGATCGACACCAAATGCTTGAAAAATCTCTTTGATTTGTTATTAAGCTTGTGATAACATACGCGAATTCCGCACTTTTCAAGGAGTTCCAAATCAGTTGCATCACGAAGACTTCCAAGAAAAAGATTGGGGAGGATTTCACACATACCATTGCCTAAACGTTTGCAAATGACCTCGCAAGTTTTTGAACTTTTTTTCGCGTTATTTGCTTTCTTTTATCTGGAGTTATCTGGAAAACCAGCCAAAAAACCTAACGGCGGGTTTTTTTTGGCTGGATGTTTTGGGGTTGACGCATAGTTTGATGTCTAGAGTTAAAGGGTCCCCTTCCGTTCCCCTCATGCGCCCCTTCAAGACCACTGTAACAATACTGAGATCTATCTCTTAATACTTCTAAGCAATATGACAATGATACTCTCCGAAGCACAAACGACATCTATACTAGGACGCTTGGCGCGACCAAGGTTGGGTGCCGGACCTGGATTCACGTTTTAGAAAACAATTTTTGTTTGCTAAATCTTGGGCAGCACTGTTTTTTGCACTGCTTTTTGCAATTTAGCAAACAAAGTTCGTTTTCTAAAGCGTGGATCCAGGCCCGGCGCCCAACCCTGGGCCTTGGCCATTCCGAGGCCCCTGAACAATACTTTAGCTGCGAGGCATCTTAAATTTGCATACTTCAACTCGATGCTTAAAAACATTTAAAGCAAAAAAGTTTGGAGCGACGGAAATCGAATCCGAGAGTTTTTCTGCAGGTGGGGGTGACACATCCTCAGAAAGACACTTCCGTTTTATATATGGTAGACGACAGAAAAGAGATATTATATCAATAGATTGTATAACTTAATGAAAAAGAAGTAATGGTAAGTCCAATTATGATTAGCATTTACATTGTGAAACTAATAAAGTGACTGACTGAATAAAACAACTGTTTGACTAAATATCTTAAGGTTATGTTTTGATCAAAAAATCGGACTTCACCCCTTCCTGTAATCAATCCCCCCTCCCGAAAATTTTATCTTATACGTCACTGCATATTTAATTACCTAGTTTGGTGCGAAATTTTCTCAGCTTGCTGATTGCATCAGAATGATTCGTCGATAAAGGCGACGTTAGCCTCATTGAATTATTCTTCTGAAGTTGTTTCTTTTTAGCTAGTTCCATTGCAATAGATTTCGAATAACATTTTCACTTAAGTTTAGCGTTGTCATTAATATTTAAGCTGTCGTTTCCATAGCAGAGCCGCCGTTTTTCGAGCAAAGTACGAGGTGTTGCAAAAGACGCCCCTTTTTAAGTTGCCGTTTATTTTAGTAAAGCTCGCTTGGATTTTTAAAGGGATTATTTTGAAGCGTAGTTTTTGTCGTTTTTCCATTCTTTAGTTTTATTGTAAGTAAATTGTTCATTCAATTTTTAGGCACGATGAATCCGGACCTTCCTGGGCCGTCTTCTCAATATGGTGCAACAGATACTGCGGGTTCGCCTGCTGTTACGGTTCGACCTGAAAAACGACGGGTATTTTAAATATTACATGTCGAAATTTTACTTGTCTTAGGTGACAATCAGAAGCAATCCACGAAGCAGCCAAGGGGCCTCTTCTGAGGTTTTAGCAACTCAGTCTACAGATGGGGAAACTGAAGAAGGCTTGTTTTAAATGTTTTGCACTTAAAAAAACTAGAATTCGAATTGGGGAATGCCTTTTCTTTCGCAATAAAATTTAAAAGGGAAATTTTAAATTGGAACCAAAAAAACTAGCCTTATTACTTTACCATTAAATTTTAGGTGATATTGAATTGAAATATGGCGCTGAGCATGTGATTCGTCTATTCGTGCCTGTTTCACTTTGTATGGCCGTCGTTGTAATGACGATGAGCTCGATTCAGGTTAGTTTTGTTTTAAAAGTAGACCTTATAATTACTAAATTTAGTTCTATACTGAAAGCGGCGGTCAACATTTGCTATATACGCCTTTTACCAAAGAAACGGATAATGCTGGGGAAAAGGTTTAAATTGAATGCTACTTTTAAAATAATATTGTTTATAGGTATTATACTCCCTTGGTAATGCTGGAATCTTGCTGCTTTTTATCATTATAATGACGTCGATCCTCATTCTGCTCTATAAGTACAAATTTTACCGCATAATTCATGGTTGGCTGTTTGTGAGCAGCTTATTGCTCCTTTCAATGTTTACTACAGTATATACTATTCAGGTTGATTAAAATTGACTTTTAGAGAACAAGTTCTTTAGGTACTGAAAGCTATCAACGTTTCCATATCATGCGTAACCGTATTCTTCTTCATCTACAATTTCGGCGTGCTAGGAATGATATGTATTCATTGGAAAGGACCACTACTTCTACAACAAGTACCCTTTTTTGAGCTAATCCTATAAGTGGACGTTTTAGGCTTATCTAATTGCTGTATCAGCTCTGATGGCTTTAACATTTCTAAAGTATTTACCTGATTGGACTGTATGGACTGTTCTAGCCGCAATATCAGTAATGTCACAAATTTTGGGCCCATTTATTTTCATTTTAGATTTGGGATTTGATTGCAGTACTTTCACCAAAAGGGCCTCTCAGAATTTTGGTTGAAACTGCCCAGGTTAGTTTTTTCATTACGAGAGTTTTATATGGTTTGTTTTAGGAACGTAACGAACCCATCTTCCCGGCTTTAATTTATTCAAGCGGTGTCTTGTATGGTTATGTTTCAATTATATCGACGACTGAACCAAACAATCAGGCCACATCTCCGAAGACACCTCCCAGTACTTCTAAGCAGGTTTGTTTTGTAAAGTCAGCTAATCAACGAACTCGAGATCTTTGGGTGAAACGGTACGCGGTTCGACCAAGCATCGAAGTAACACCCGACGAAAGGCAAGGATCACTTTCAACAAACGAAATCAACGTGGAAGAGCCTAAACGCCCAGTTCGAAAGTAGTTTTTCCAATTAGCTGATGTTTTCAAGTTAAAAATATTTATTTTAGTGGGCGACGACAACAAAATGAAGGTCAATCAGCAAGCGATGCACAGCAAAACAATGATGGAGAACCAATCATTGTCGAGAAAGAAGAACGCGGTATCAAATTAGGACTTGGCGATTTCATCTTCTATTCAGTCTTGGTAAGTACTGTTATGTTTCATGGCATAAAAACATTTTCCCCTAAATCTAAACTTCAGGTTGGAAAAGCCTCATCGTATTTTGATTGGAACACGACCGTGGCTTGTTATGTGGCGATTCTTATCGGACTATGTTTTACTCTCGTATTGTTAGCAGTCTTTCGAAAAGCTTTACCTGCCTTGCCTATCTCAATTTTTTTTGGTCTCGTATTTTATTTTGTCACTTCGGGTATTCTCTCTCCATTTTGTTCCAAATTGACAGAACGCCAGTTAATTTATTGATAAGCTTTTGTGCCAAACTCATGCTTTTCTTAGCCCTGTGCATTTTTTTTGAAAAGACATATCGAGAATAAAGTTTCCTGCCTAAGCTCAATTTTATCAAATCATTGATGTTTAGCTTTCAATTTATTTTTTACGAGTTCTAGATTTTAAGAAGGTTAGAAATTTAGTTTTAGGTTCAAACGATATGGGTGATACGAGCAAGGAAAAGGTATTTACCTCAAGGCCTGGACTCGTTTTAAATGGAGTAATTTTAGAAAGGTTCGGTTACTCCGGTGATCTCCGAACAACAGGAAATCGAGCAGCTGTATTCACATCAAAGAAACTTGGTTGTATCATACAAAAATTTTTTTTATTTCTTGTTTACAGATTTCTCAAACGATAAACGATGAACACGTTTTTGCTGCCATGAAGGCTTCAGATTTAACGGTTGATGAGCTTTTAGGTGAGTTTTTTTTGTGTAATAAGTTGTTTTTTTTCATGTTTAGATGTTTGTCCCGAGCTCAAAGAAGAATATGTTCGCAATGAAAAATTGAAGTACAGAAAGCAAATTTTGCTCAAGGTGTCTCTTTTAAATTTTGCTTCATTTTACTTTGCTAATTTTAAATTTTTGTTTCTATTTCCAAACTTGAATACAAAGTTTCAAATTTGCAGGCTATCGAAGAACAAACGCGTATAAATTCTAAACAAGAAGCCGTCCCCAAGGCAACAAATGGTGATGCACCAAAAATTGGGGAGAATAAGTTAGTTGAAATGGTTTGCAACTGTGACTACAACAACTTTTCTTTTAGAGCAGTAAAAAATCCAAAACTCACCGAAAAGATCGATTACATTGAAATCAAAGATTATGGGAGCAGCATTATCGGACGATTGAATGCACTTTTTAAAGATGCTATCCACAAGGTTAAAAACATTTTTTTCTTATAATACCATTTTAATTTTTAGGCTTATCCTGATTCTAATGTCGCCGCAATAGTAACTATGAATAATAATCCAAACAATGGTGATTATCAATGTAATTCTGCTATGGCTATTGTAAAGGCAAGTACCTAAGTGATTCTATCCGAATAACTAAATTTCAAATTTAGAAACTCAAGAGCAGCGGGGTTAACAAGAAGCCAAGCGAGGTTGCTGAAACAATTAAAAGCAAGCTCCAACCATCGGAAGTTATTAGCAAGGTTAGCTTTATGATCAGTGTTGTCTAATGCATAAAGCTTTGCAAAAAAATACATGTATAGTCGTGGTAAATATATGAATGTTTTAAATCAATTGTTTTCAGGTTCAAGTGGCGCCTGCTGGTTTCATTAACATCTTTTTGAATCAGAATTATTTGGAAACCCAAGTTGGAGCCATTGCTAAACAGGTTTTTTCGGTTAATTACTTAATTGACTACATAAGTATTTAACAGGGTGTACGAATGCCAAATGTTGCTAAAAAACGAGTCGTCGTCGATTTTTCTTCGCCCAATATTGCAAAGGTAAATTGGTGTTTTGCCGGCAACATATGAAGCTTGATTTAGGAAATGCACGTTGGACATCTGCGCTCCACAATTATCGGTGATAGTATTTCAAGATTGTTCGAAGCTGTCGGATTTGATGTTAGATAAAGTTTTAAATATCTAAGATGTATTTTTATATTAGGTGGTTCGACTGAATCATGTTGGGGACTGGGGAACCCAATTTGGAATGTTAACTGCGCATTTGCAAGATGAGTTTCCAAATTATCTTGAAGTAACTCCCCCGATTGCCGATTTGCAAGCATTTTACAAGGTTTCATTTCACTATTGTGTGGTATCATCCTAATTCAGGAAGCCAAGAAACGATTTGATACTGATTCTGATTTCAAAGTACGTGCATATGAGTGTGTTGTCAAGTTACAAGCTTTCGATCCATTGATTATTAAAGGATGGCAATTAATTTGCGATATTAGCCGAAAATGTATGTTTTTTAATAACTTTGCAATAACTGATTAGGATGATTTAGATTTTCAACAAATCTATGACCGTCTCGACATAAAAGTCACCGAGCGTGGAGAGTCTTTTTATCAGGTTTTCCGTTTACTTTGACTAACTATATAATAAGTGAGAATTTCTAGACTCGAATGCAAGCAATTGTGAATGAACTCATGGAGCGTAAAGTGTTACTCGAAGAGGAAGGAAGGATGGTGATGTTCCCCTCGGGATGTGATGTAAGATCTTATTGTGATATAAGACGTAAAGTTTGTTTGTCTGTTCGTTTTATAACTCTAATCCCAATATAGATTTTTTTGGGACAATATGCAATCGGCCACGGTAGTTTGGCCTGTCAAATCAGATTTTGAAAATCGGGAAATAAACGGAAAATTTTGTCTTTCAAAATCATAGGCAGTTTAGTTATTGGAATGAAACTTTAGTAATAAATTTGCGAACAATTAATACTAAAGTTTGACTCATGTAAACTGTGTATCGGCCAACAGTTAATTTGCTAAGAAAAATTCAACATATTCTTAGGTTCCGCTCACTGTTGTCAAAAGTGATGGTGGATTCACCTACGCTACCTCGGATTTGGCTGCATTGAAGCAACGAATTTTTGACGAAAAAGCGGATTGGTTAATATACGTGATTGATGCTGGCCAAAGCTTGCACATAGAGGTAATTTGATCATTTTTAAAATTAAGGATTCTAATACTTATTTAGACTATATATGCGGCAGGCCGAGACCTTGGTTGGTACGATCCGCAAGTGAAACGAGTCGAACATGTCGGATTTGGGCTTGTTCTAGGCGAAGATAGGTATTGTTTTTAAGCAATCTCATGGATGGTATATTTAAATTATTTAGGAAAAAGTTTAAAACACGTTCTGGGGAGACTGTACGTCTTGTGGACCTTCTTGATGAAGGTTGTAAACGGGCAATGGAGGTCTTGATTGAGAAAAAGAGGCTAGATGTAAGTGGTTAATAAACCTTTTGAGCTCATTTGTGCTTAGGAATTAACTGCCGAGGAAGTGGCTGCTGCACGCGATTCTGTAGCTTATGGGTGCATCAAATATGCAGATCTGTCGCACACTCGTACTCAGGTTGGCTGTAAGAAAAGTAGTGTACAACATGAAAGCCCAGGATTATATCTTTTCGTTTGATCGTATGGTGGATTTCCGCGGCAACACGGCTACTTATTTACTGTATACGTACGCCAGAATCATGTTGGTTTTTGTTATTAGAGGAAATGAAATATTAATTTAAATACATAATTTAAAGGTGTCTTTTTTTAGGTCGATCATGCGGACATCGGGTGTAAGTGAAAATGAACTCAACAAATGGATCGAGGAAAATCCATCAATTCCACTTGGCCATTTAGCCGAAATTAATTTGGCCAAAGTTATTCTTCGCTTTGGTGATATCATTATTCAAGTGCTCGATTCGCTTATGTTACATCAGGTTTCAGATTTCACTATGAAGACTTAATTTCTCTTAAGTTATGTGACTACGTGTATCAATTGGCCACACAAATCAGCGATTTCTACAAAGATTGCTACGTGATTGATAACAAAGGAGGTCTCTCTCTAAGGTCGAATCTTCAAATACAAATTTAGGTATAAGAACGGTTCATTATCAACGATTGGCCCTATGCAAAGCAACAGCTAAAACGATGCAGGGTTGCTTCAACATTTTGGGAATCCATGAAGTTGGAAAAATGTAAAATCTATGTCAATCCCGTTTTCGTTTTAAAATGTTTCGATTTGGTTTCGTTTAGCCCTAGATGGGTGTTGCTTAACGTGGTTTTGAATGAGGGTGGCTTGTTAAGATTTGTTTGATTACAGTTAATTGTTAATTTTCCTGTTCCAATAAATAGTTTTTTCTCGAATGAACTTTTGTACACGTATTTTCAACTAATATCATGTATTGATGTAAAGGTTCTCGCAGAGTCAGTCTGATAAGACAAACACTAACAACGTGTTTCCCGTAATTGAGTTCCGAGGGGTGCTATTTTTCATGTTGATTTGAGGCTAAGTTCAGTTACAGGCAATACGGTATTTGTAGTAGAAACTGGATGTGTGAGTGTAGCATGTAGTGTGCTGTTTGCTCTGCTCTGCCTCGGCCTCTCACTGTTAGTGAGTGGACTTTGCCCTCACGCTACCAATTCCTGCTAAATCAGACTTTGAACTCATGATGTGTGGGCATTGAAATTGGTTCTTCTTTTCTTCTAGGTATTCATGCTCGGCTCGACGCTTTTGACTTTGCAAAGACGCTTTTATAACGTGTTTCGGCGTCATTATGCAATTTATAGTAAGAAGGTTCTTTGTTGGAGTTAAAGATTTGAGTTTTAGAATCCACAGCACTTCCTCGTATAGCAAATGATTTGGATGTCTTTGATGGAGAAGTTTCCTTTGAAAGCGATGGGAAAAAATTTGACCTGACTACAAAATGGCAGGTAATAGGTTGATATTTGAAAACGTTTCTTTCCTTCATTTAGGATACAATGCCGGGTGGTTCATCTGTTGGAAATGTCGTGTGCTTACATGGATCTCCCGGATCGCATAACGATTTCAAATACATATCTCAATTTTTGCGCCAAAAGGGAATTCGAGCAATAGGATTGAATTTTCCAGGAATCGGGATTACTGAATGTAAAGCTTTCAGTTTGCTGTTTTATTGCTTTTAGCTCATCCTAGTCTTTCCTATCATAATGCTGAACGGGACGCATTTGCTCTATCTATGATTGAGAAGTTAAAGATTACGGGCAAAGTTGTGTGGCTTGGACACAGCAGGTAAAGATTTATTTTACTTATAAATCAAGTTCGATGAGTTTAGGGGCAATGAAAATGCATTGCGATGTTCTATTGAGCTTGAGGATCAATCAAAAGGTGTCATTCTTGTAAATACGACGGGTTTTCGTGTGCATAAAGGAATACGTCCTAATTGGGTCATCAAGGTGGATTTTATATACCTATTTAGCAAGAAACTAAGCGTATCTAGGTAGCATCCTGGGCCGATCGAACAAGTGCATTGACGAGGGCACTAATGAATCCTATCACTTATATGGGTTCGTATTTGCTTTAACACCAAAAAATAAAAAAAATTTAGCTTATAATAGACTTGGACTTAAAACAGCCCATTCCGACATCACGGGGAAATGTGTGCAAACAATGGCGACTTTTGATTTCGATAAATTAAAGCCTTTTATCACTCGTTTCAATGAAGGCTCGAAATTACAAGTTGTTATTCCTTATTCAAATTCCTACCTCGCTAGTAGTAATTTTTTAGCTCATCGTTTTGATAGCAGGCCGTGATTTTCTTATTGAAGAAGACATTACTAGAGAATTTTTCAACGCGTTCAATGATGGTCAAGAGAAGGTTTTAAAAAGATAAACCTGTTCAATTTATGGATTTAGAGTTTCGCTTCATCAGATAGTGGCGAAGAAGAGGCTAAGGAATTTATTGTTAACCGAGTCATGGAAGGTTTGTTTTCAGCTTATTAAAAGTTGAAAAACGTTAGGTGCTAATGCACTTTGGGGGGTCAAATTTGCATTTAAGCTGTTTAGCTCATTTTCTTTCCCATTTGTGTAACATTGTAAGTGTTATAATAAGCTTGTAACTTGTAACCGTTCTTGTAACGTTCTTACTGGCAGCCCAACCTTAGCATGAGACAACATATGCGTGCGTACTACTCTTCCTAAATGAGAAATTTAACAAATTCACTCAACTTTGGTCAATTTCTAATTTAGGAAGAGATCAATACGCATCCACATTTTATTTGATGCCAAGGTCGGGCTAACAGCACGATTGTTACCTAAAATTGTAGTTATTTTCCACGGTTGAGAGAAGAAAATGAGTTAATCGGTTATCTAAAGTCTTACCTTCTTTTTTATTCGCAAAAGAAATCATACTATAATAAATCAGTGCAGGTCGCCGTGCAACTGCCATCTATTTCCCCGAGGATGGTCATTTCATGCAAAAACATCGAGCAATATTGATTGCTGACTCGTGTGAAGCTCTATTTAATAAAGCCGATTAAATAAATTTTGCATTTGCTAGTTTGGTTTCTAGTTCTAATTTTTTGTGATTTTAAATGATAATTACATTTACACACCTGTATTTATATTAGTTGTGATTTAGTGCATTTTTTTGTTTAATAAACGATTTTGTGAATGGAAAAGTAAATTGTAATGCAGTTAGATTTTTTTCCTTTTTGTATCCCTCCTTGGTTCTTTTCCTACCGTATCAAAGGCTCGCGTGGTGGGATTCTTTCGAGGGCTCTTGATGCCAATTGTGCGACTTCTAAGCCTTGATGGTAAATATAGATGGGTATTTTCCCTGTAAAAACGTTTTTTATGTTTATTTATGTAGTCATTAGAGCGTTTTATGTAGCCAATGCAGTCTGTTACAAAGAAACGTTTCTAACGTTGCCTAATCGTTTTCAATTAATTATGTATTTTTAAACTTATATGATACTATATATTTTCAAATTCTAGTGATGGCCGCACTTCCCACACTCTTTCGCGGTGTTGCCCGAGCAGCCATGATGGGTGCTCGCCCACTTTCGACAACAACTCTTCTACGGGGTCATGACGATATCATGGAAAAGTGGCCTGCAGATAGTATTTTAATTTGCGGGTTCTTATTTATTCGAGTGTTTAGAGTTTGACAAACACTTCATTGATTACCTCAACAGGCCCGAAATTGATGGTTGGGAGGTGCGAAAAGGTCGGCGAGTTTGATTTAAATCTTGGAAAGACAAAAGTCATACTAAAAAATATGCATAAAAGTAGAGCGAAAAAAATATAAAAAATTCACATTTAACTTTGTTTAGCTTTAACCGAGCTGCACGATTTTGACGTGATCCCCGATCCAAAAGTTGTGGAAGCAGCCCTTCGAGCCTGTAGACGTGTTAACGATTATGCGCTCTGTGTTCGGTAAGTTACTTGTTAAGCGGTCATATAACCTTTTGAATAGGTTTCTCGAGGCTATCAAGTTCAAATGTGGAAACCAGAAAAATCGTGAACTTGTTTATGGTTACATCATTAAAGAGGTATTTTTATACATAATATCGTATGCACGAGTTTGTATTTTGTCACTAAGCGTTCCCAATCGATTCGTCAAATTCAATATCGGATTTTATTTAGTTTTATTTAGTGTGGTTTGAGATGTTGAGGTGCTAGCAAAAGTATCATTTGCGCCAAACTTGCGCTTATGACAATCACTGTTTCCCAACTTCTAACCAACTTTTTGTCAGTTTTCTGCTTCATAATTTTAGTTCTCACTGTTTTCAGTTAGGAAACACGTTTAGCTTTTGCTAACACCTCGATATGTTACTGTTAAGATTAAATTTAATTAAAACCTGTTTTGCATGATTGCAAATTCAAATTTTGAATACATAAATATTGGGGTTGTTCAAATTTAAGTATTTTTTATGAGAACACAAAAAAATCACCTATAAAAATCTTTAGGTGAAACCAATACTTGATGAACTTGGAATCGCGACTCCGGAAGATCTGGGCTATGATAAACCTGAATTTTTCATACCCGAGGTAGTTTTCATTTCATACTAGTCAACCAATACTTTTAAATTTAGCCCGAGAAATGGTGGGAGAAGAAATGGTGAGTAAATTGGATTTTATTTTATGCACAAGCTATGTTTTTGCGGTATTATCCTGTTAAATACTGCACATCAATCTTATATTTCCACAAATTAGCATTTGTGGGGTATAACAGAATATGTTTCTATAGGAAGTCCGCTAGGAAAGAGTACCGTAATTTGGCATTTAATATAAATTTCCAGGTATGCTGAGTATGGATTTGATAAGAAGCCCGGCTTCCAACATTAGATTGCTCGATTCATCTTTTCAATCTGTTTTATGTATGTCTTTGTCAGATTGGCTAGCAATCGTAGGTGTTTTGTTATATATAAAAGTTTTATATGATTCTTTGAAAATATGTGTTTATTGAGAATAAACGTTCGGAACCGGTCATATTTATTAGTAGAATCAAAAAACAGAAAAGCGGTGATTTCAAAACTAGTAACTATCAATAACATATAGCAGCTGATGATAAACAACTCTTAGTTTGGTGATTAGAAGTGTATGTCGCTTAAAAAGAGAAAAAGGCGTGCCTGCATTGGGGCAGTGCAGTTTTTTGGCAGACGCCTATATTTGTACGCTTTCCATGGAAAAAAAAACAGATTCTAATCTTGTACCTATCACCGTTATAATTTAAAATATTTGGAAGCAACAAAAACTTAGCTTTTTAATTTTTTATATTTTCGAATAAACTCCAAATCTATAAAACTTTTTTTAGAAAAACTCAATCTTCAAATAACGATGCATAAAATACTATAAACAACAAACAACAGTAATTCTTTAAACGTCCTCACAAAAGTTTGGAGACGTAGATAAGTAACAAAGAATTTATGATGAGGGGCAATCGGAGACAAGGAGAGGGAATCGCGAAAAAAAAGCGAAAAATAGAAACAAAGTTGTTAACGGTATGCAAATGATAAGGAACGCTTAGGGAGAAAAACCGGGAAATTTTGGACGATACTCGAGAAAGTGACACGCATTTGAACATGGGCTGTGTTTTTTTTTTTAATTCCTCAAATATTCCTAAAAATTACATGGCCTCATGTTTTTGGTTGATTTCGTGTGTATCTTAAAAAAGATAGGGGGGAAGGGGTCATGATAAAAATACAAAAGACAACATAAAAATCGAAAAAGGGGACTAACATGGAATTTTAACGAGATAAACACGTCGAGATGCTGGAGTACGTGTGGTGGACCCTAGAAAAAAAGGCACGCGGACACAAAAATCGGGGTTGAGTGTGCGTGACCACTGCGCAACTAGAAACTCTAAGGGTTACGGCGAGTCCCGCTCGAGGAGGAGGGCTTAATGGGGAGAGTAAACGAGAAGGAGAGATGAGAGATTTCATCGATGACTCGTTCACACAACTCACAGGGGACAACCGTCAACGGACTAATTTAAAACGATAATTCTTTCTCCTTACTATCTATAACACTGGGGATCACTAGCTGCTTGACCGAATCGGCGCCCGAAATTCGCCTCAACGTACGAGCAGATTTGCGTGCGAGGTCGGTGTTGAAGGTGTTGTTGCCTAAATGTTTGTTTAATTTAATGTTTAATGATTTCTTGGTGTTATTGTGCCAGTTTCTATTCACACCATTTTATTTTGGAAACTAGTCAGAAGGAACTAGTAAGGGAAACTAGTAGTAGTAATGGAAACTAGTAAGGGCATAGTAACTAGTAATGGAAACTAGTAAGGGCATACCGAGTCAAAAACGTATGGAGTATGGGCTACAGTGTAAAAAATTTCACAGAGCCAACTTAATTATCGAGTAACATTTACGTACTACAAAATCTCGAATAAAATTCCAATCCTGTGTAATTTAAGCTGATGGTGATTCTCTTTTTTACTGATGCTTACCTGAAAACCGCCACCTTCAAGGTGCCTGATGGCATCAAGAATGACATTAAGCGAGCGATTTGTTTGGAATGAAGTTGATGCTGGTGGAGTGCATTGTTGCGGAGGTGATGGGGATCCGTTTGCTCCCGTCACTGCCGTTAGTGATTTGCTCAGCGGTACAAAGCCGAGCTGCATCGAGGTCGTTGAAGTGACAGTCGGCGAACCGGCCAGTGATGAGCCTGTGGAGCACATCCGAGACACAGCCGACACGGGATCAATGCTTCCTGAAATTTATTGATTTGCGTTCACTTCTAGGAGATCAAACCTGGAGTTGTTGGTGTCGGTCTAATCACGGAAACGGTGGCCTCAGGTGAAAGGGCACTAGCGAGCGGTGAGTTTGAGTGAACGGCCAATGAGAGCAAAGGAAGTGGAGCGAGAGTGGGCACAGTGAGCAAAGTGGATGGAAGTTCCTCTTTGATCTCAAAGCGTTGCAACACTTTCGCTTGCTCTTCTGCACTCGCCAAAACACACTGTGGGGTGGTCGTGGTTGCTGTTAGTGGTAACTAAATTTGTAAACGATTTTGAAAAATTGGGGTTTTTTTTCTAAATACCTGAGCTAATTGAGTTTCGTAGAGAACCCGAAGACCTCGTTCTCTTTCGAGTGCACTTTGTAGTTGTTCTATCACTTGACGTGTTTCTTCACTCGCCGCGTCATCTGGAAATATGTTTTTGAAAGAAAAATAAGATATATGCTTTGAGAAGTGCAAGTTTTCACAATACAAACCGGAAAGTCGGCGTCTTTTTGAAGTGGCTTCTTCTCTATCATCTAACAAACGGTTCATTTCTGATTTGAGATTGTGAATGAGATCGGCGGTCTGCTGGAGAATTGCCGCCTGAAACTTGCAATTTCTTTTATATTATAGTTTTCTTAATGCAAATCTCCTTCCCATACCTATCAATGCTTAACCGATTCCCCATTTCTAACTAACCTTGCTGAGCTTTTCGCCTTCTTTGCGCGGTAACAAGTTGCGAAGCGACATGAACCCAGCATTGATGCTTTGCATTCGACGACGCTCATTGCAATTCGCGATTTGTCTTCGCATTCTTCGGTCTGGATCAAGACAGCCATTATTGTTTGGAGAAACGGCTGCAGAGTCAGAGTATCGCCCCCTGAAATTTGTGCATTCGCGTTTTTCATCTGAAACAAAAGGCAAAGACAACAGCTGATATGGAATGGGAAGAGGAAAAAGGAGGGCCGAGACAAGCCAAAGGCAAACAAAAGGGGGGCCTCCCTCATCCCTTTTCTCTCTCTGTGAGTCCATCTTTTAGTATGCACTTTCACTTTCGGTCATCCTTCCATGTAAATTAACCGAAATACCACAAAACATTCAATAAGCAAGGTTTCAATAAGACTGCGCCACGGTAACAAAATTATGCGACAGCCCCAAAACATCCAGGTTTCGGTTGGTTTGACTAATAGAGGCCATCTTTGTCTCGAGGGAAAGCTCTTTCAGGGACACTGTAAGCTACGTAAACCCTCTCCGCCCGCTTTTCACTTTTTATGTATACCTCAAAAGCTCTCGGGACTCAAAAATAGTGTCTAGATATGTTTCTCTTTTATGAAAAAAAAGATTTATCCAAGTGAGGGGTAGATGAAAATCAACTATGCTTTTGAAGGGGAAATGCGTTGGGAGAGAAAAGACCAAATGGTCAGCTGTTCGGCGCTCAAACAGTCAGCTGTTCTTTGCTTCAAAACGAATGCCCCTAGGAGACCCATGTGCCACATGCTCTCTTCCATCTCCTTTTCCATCTCCTTTTCCATATCCCTTTCTCATTTCCACCAAAACTACCCCCTTTCTACCAATCGACTTCTCAAGAAAAAAGGTTTTCCAGGAATTTTTCTCTAAGATGAAGGAAATAATCGGGATTCATATAAGCAAATCAAAAAAGCTGATCAAAACAAACCCGTTGATGTGCATGCCACTGTTTGGCAACTGATTGAGTGACCACTCGTTAAGCCCACCCGACGGGGAAAGCTCTCCTTCTCCACTATCTACGATATCCACCTGAATAATGTTTTATTTTAATCTTGCTATTCATTTTCATTTCCGAACCTCGTCAGCAATATCGGTGTCAATCTCTTCAACATCAAGCATCTTCTCAACCAGCATCGATCCCGAATCGAGAATGTCACGGCTTTCGCACGAACGAACCATCTGTAAATGTTATAATGATATAATTCTTATGCAAACATAACGCACCTTTTGATTTAAACTAAACTAATGAGGGGAGGGACGGGTCGAGGTGCCGTTTGGGGCCAAGTGAGGAAAGCACCTGAAATTGGAAAGTATGCAAAAAAAAAAGCTGGGATAATAATTGCAAAAGGTCAGAAATTATTCCACGAAACGTTGAATGGATAATTGTTTGACATTCGCCTTGGCGTGTTTATTGCATTTGAATTAGGAGCAGAATATTGTCGACAAAAAGACGAAACATGCATGTGCGACATTTACAATAAAACGGAATTTTGCAAAAAAAAAATTCAAGTTTTTTGAAACATAAACGATGAGATTCTTTTGAACAGGTATTGGGACAATGAAACGCTCGAAAAGAGGGTCCTAAAATTCATAAATGAGGCGAAAATTTAGTGAGAAATATTCAGAAAAATGTCGCGCAAAAGCTTGAATGGTAGCCAGAATTGTGTTGTGACTGTAGACACTATATTGGCAATGTCCACTATTTTAGGCCCCGAAAAAAATGAGCGCTGGTATAGGGAGAGAGGTGAGCGAGTGGTCGACGAAGGGAGATGGTGGCGAGAGGGGCAACGCGACGCATCAGCTGGCTGCGATGCGCGTCTGTTCTAGCCGCAAGACGGGCGGCTGAGTGTGCTTTGGCCTGTGCTGGCTCTCAGCCGGCGTGTCTTTCTCTCTCAAATATTCACACTATCTCTCAAGCACTTTCTCGATTTTCTTCTCTCTTTCACAAGGAGTCGACCGCTCTCTTGATTGCTCCCCTTTCCCCTGATCTCTCTTTCACATTCATCTCTCCTTTCCTCCTCTAGCCGTTCTAATTGACCAGTGCAGTCTACCCTCCATTCACTCCCATCACTCCCATTCTCTCTTCCCCTTCTCTCTTCTCCTTTCCTGGGGGTCCCGCCGAGAAAAAACAGCTGTCTTATCATCTCTACATCTTCTCGACATTGATTTTTTTCACCGTTTCACCCTAGAGAAAAAAGTTATCGTTTACCGCACACAGATAGTTTGAATCGGAAGACAAAAGAGCCGCCTGGAAAAATCTTAACACTTCACGATAACGGCATTTTGGGCGTACAGTCTCGTAGTCGATAACTGTTTTACTAATAATTTAGTGAAAATTGAAAGATAAACAAAACTATTATAGTGATTCGATGGTCCTGGAGCTCCTCTTGAAAACTAGTACAAAGTTGCCAAGAACTTTCTGCGAAATAAATAAAAAAAGTTCTTAAAAACTTGAGTTGACACCAACAATAATCGTCATTAGTAAGGCCGATCGGTTTTGAAGTAAAAATTTTAGAGGAAGTTCTGAGCTACCTGGTATTGACTGAAAATTGACAAAAAAAAGTGGTCTAGGGTATCTTGATTGATTTGAAGTTTATTGATAAATATATATACTATGAACACTTTTTAGTCACTTAATTCAAATTGCCAAACTCGTGTGATGCTTTGAACCTTCTGCAAATTAACTACTTCATCTTTAACCAAAAACTATGCATTTACTTCTGAAAGAAAGTTTTGATCAATTAATTCGACTTATCAAGATCCGAGAGTCACTTTTGGATCAAATTTTGTTTCGAATTTGGGGTTTGGTGGTTTTTCTCGAAGAACACAATTGCTTCACAGCCAAATTGGGTTTTTTTCCTTGGGGGCCGTGTGAAAAGGTGCGCGAGAAGGCCTTCCAATATTTAGTTTCTGCTTTTCCATTCAGGGGTGAAGGGGAAAGGGAAAGGCATTCGATGGAAGGAGAATGGGTGAAAAAGAAAAAGAAGATAGGGACCGAAGTGTATAGAGGGGGAAGAGGCCCGCGAGAAGGGCACAGGGCCCCGCGAGGCCCTGAATCGATGCCCCCACGCATCTCCCCTTTCAAGCTCTTCTCCCCATCCCTCACACGCACCGATTTTCGCTTCTTCTCCTCCAAATCCTGACGTTTGACCAAAAAGAGCTGCCTAACTCCCGGCTGAAAGCATCTGATCCGATTCGTCTCCCTTTTGCAACTATCACACACCGTTTTCAACGCATTGGCTTACTGAGCTGACATTTGCGAAAGTTTCTGCCAAATGCGTTACTGATTTATCTTTCTGTCACAAACACACCAACTCATGGAGGACAGTGCTGGCCAAGTGCGCACCGTGCGCATCTTGGGGCGCACTTTTCCCAGGTTTGCCTTTTTTAGATGAAAAGTTTATTGCGGATACAGTAGCATTCATGTGTCTTTTCAGAGAGACATTGATGTGTCGTCTTTTCTATTTATGCTTTTTCGCTTCCTTCGGATCTTTATTCCCATTGCTTGGAGTTTACTTCAAGCAACTTGGAATGACTGCAACTCAAGCTGGACTTCTTCTTGGTAAGATCTCATTTGCTGACCTTCAAGACTTTAATTTAATAGATGTAAAGGAAAAAACATGAAATGTATAAGTTTAATGGAAACTTGCATGTGTTCAAATCCAGGTTGTCGTCCGATTGTCGAGTTGGCTTCACATCCGTTTTGGGCTTCGTTTGCATCTCGGTTCCGTAAAGAGAAATTGTTGCTCCTTTTCTCACTCGGCTCGCTAATCATATTTACGTTGGCTATCGGACTAGTGCAAGTGGGGGGATCCTCTTCAACTCATTTCATATGGATGTTAAGTCTTTAAACCGAGATTATTAATTTCAGCCAATTACTCCATTTTGTGTGGTTCTTATGGAAACGGAAGATGGTCGACCAGCTCCACCAACCGGCAATGAGACTTGTGTGTCGATGCTCTCACCACCCGGTGAAGTGAGTAACAGCGTCATTTGTAAATGAAAAAAGGATTTAACATATTCGCCGTGAATTTAGCACTTTTTTGAGCTGATAATTTGCACCAGGAAATTTTCGATGATGAGGAATTTGAATCCGTTATCAGTTTTTAAAGAAAACCGCTCTATTTTTAGATATTTCATTCGGTTTTAGATATTTCAGATAACCACCCAAGTTTTAGAGAGTTTTGTGACGTGATTTGTGATAAAGTTGCTCAAAAACTAATAACGGATTCAGATTCTCCATCCCAGAATGCCTCTGGTTACAAATTTACAAGGTAAACTGAATTTGACTTGCAGGTGATTCGTGGTGGTGCGATTGGGATGTTGAAAGAAGTGGCAGGATTAGGAAAAAAACGACGTGAAGCTCGACGAGAAGGCGGAAGAGAGGGAAAGCCTCGGAAAATGAAGGCATCCACAACTACAACCACAACCGCCGCGCCAAAAGGTCACCCATCTTTATTGATGAGAAACAAAAGACTAATTTAGCTATTCTGGAAAGTATCATCGATTTATCGTCAGTTGAAAAGTCTGGTGTCGTTGGAATTTCGCCGGTTTACATCACAAAAGAAGAGGTTCGAAATCGTTGACTCAAAAATATTCAAGAGTTCAAGGTTTGCAACTACGATGAAGAATCCTATGGAATCCTTGTAACTCCACCACATTCGACTCGTGTCTATCAGTTAATATCAACATTGTCTTTTGTTTAGAAGAGCTTTATTTCAGACAATCCCATGTCGAGCAAGCATTCATGATGTTACTCTTGTTGATTGTTTTTGGGGAATTTCTCTCTTCTCCAGCACTCAGTCTTGCCGATACAGCCACTCTGAATGCTTGTAAAGATCATCCACAAGAGGTTTTGTAAAAACACAAATACATAGGTTACGTACTTTAGTTCGGGAAAATTCGATTATTCGGTTCAGTCGGATGGGGAACAGCTATGTTTATCATGGGAATCGCACTCGATTATTCGGATACATTTCGGTAAAAGTTTATCTGAACAAAATGAACAAGAATACAACAGAAATCACCCGTGTCCGATCAAAAATTCAACCGAGAAGAACTATGTCCTTTGCTTTGTGATGTGTTCGGTGTTCATGGTGGCCGCGATGCTCGTTGGTAAGTTTCATTTTGTTAAGAGTTAGCTGAAACCTATGTACGTTCGATTTTGAAACCTTTCCTTTTATCTTCAAAACCTCTTTTTCGCGTACCACTTTTAAAAAATCCTTACTGCAGCGACTCAACTCAAATTTGGCACCGAATCGATGCGTCCAGATGAGGCGGCTGGATTGGCGATGGATGCACGAAGTGAAGAAGTCGCACCAGCTATAGCCGAAAAAGCACGAAATCGACAAGTACAAGTGAGTTCTGAAAGAGAAATGAAAACTCTGGAAGCATTTAGGCGGATGCAACCGCTGAGAATAGCCTGCTCACCGCGATAAAAGCTCTCTTAAATCTACATATTATAATCTTCTTTATTCTCGTCACAATATTCGGAATGGGAACTGGAATTGTTTTCTCTTTCCTTTATTGGACTCTCCAAGTGAAGCGAACCTTCGAAACAAACATCTAAAAGAGAATTTAGGATTTGGGCGGTTCTCCGTCACTTTTCGGAATGCTTTCTGTAGTGAATCATGGCGGTGAAATCATTGTCTATTTTTATGCATTCCGTATAATCAACAAATTCGGACATATGAGAGTAACAAATTCTCATTGAAATTATCAGGAAACAATACTTTTAGACAATCTATGGTTGTCTTCTTGTGAACACCGTTCGATTCTTTATTTTGGCTCTGATCGACAATGCCTTTTTGGCCATTCCTTTGCAAGCTTTACAGGGTAACGATACATTCGAAATATTTATATCTATTGCTACAATACTAAAATACATATACCAATACATTGCAGGTTTGGTAATTGGAGTGCTATGGGCCTGTGCCTCCTCATACATTTCCCTGATCGCACCAGCTCATGTGAAATCGTCAGCACAACAGTTGTTGTTCTTACTGTATCAAGGTGTCGGGAAAGGAATTGGTTCAATTCTTGGTGGCATTTGTATTCAGACAATGGGTAAGCGGAAAACTTTATTGACTTTAAAAAGAATTCTTCCAGGTGCTCGTCCATGCTTCGTTTTGTATGGAATTCTTTGCGCGATCGCCGCTGGAGCTGGTTTTGCCATCAATAGAAAGTTCAAATATGATGGAATCAAATACAATGCGGGAATGTTCGACGATGAAGAGTGCGATATTTTAGGTACATAATCGAATAAAAACAAAAAAACGAATAAATATACAATGTTCTTCATATAAAAATGAAATATTTTAGCACCCCAAGGCGTTCCATCAATGCGCACGGACATTCATGATGCATTTGTCCCCCAGACTGCTGTTTCGAATGTAAACTATGGAGCAATCGATCCAACTCAAGATGCTTATGATCGATATGTTAGCTCTGCACAATAGAGAAGAGCTAAACAATTTGTGAAACTTACTATGGCTTCTAGGATTCCGATATTCTTTCAATTTTAAAGATATTGTAATCGAAATTCCAATTGAAATCACTGCCTCATTTTCACCAATCTTCTAACTATAAGTCATGGAGAAAATTCACTTAGATTTTCTTGAGTTTTTGGTGATTCACATTGCCAATTTATTTATTTTGTAATCACTGGTATATCAACGTAGGAGAAACATTAGTTAAGGCTTGTTATTTGATGTGCTTTTTAATTTATTATTTATTTCAGCAATACCGAATTTTATGGGCAATAATTTACTCATATTTTTGCTAGAAATTAGGTTTTATATGGATTTTATTTACTATTAGATACATGCAAGTATTTGAAATGAGATTTTCACAGAGATTATTTTATGTTGTCTAATATTTCACAAGATGAGAATCACAAGATGTTTGAGCACGAATAGTAAAGTATATATAATGATTTCCATAGTACACAATAATATTGTGGTGACAAGTAATAAGGATAGAAACATTTCAAAAACAGATAAACTAAACAGCTCTAATCATGAGATCATCGTCGTTCGATTCTTCGGAATCGGAAGGATTTTGTGCAAGTAGCGAATATCCGGCATCGTCAGTCACAAATCGCGAAAACGTTAAACCATCCCCGAGCCTAAACATAAGTCTATATTACGTATATAATCGCAGTAATATATAATAATTTTTGATATTACCCAATCCAATGAAGTTAATTACAAATCACAATAAAACACAGGTCTCTACATAGACGCTTTAAGGATACACTTGAGATAGCACACCGGGTGAAATATTGCTGTTAGATAAAGGTGTCGAAGAACTATCTGTGGCGGTGTGCATAGATGGTTTCGTGAAAATGACGTCGGCAGGGACATCGGCTGTTGGCTCGTCAGGCAAGATACACGTCATTTCGAACGGTAATGTTTGATACGATGAACAGTCCACCGTCACACCGTCACCTTCACTGCAAAGGGCAAAATGAAAAATAATAAAAAAAACATAAAATTTTTAAAAAGACAAAAGGTGTTTCCGGGCTCAAAGCAAGGAATGTAGCATGCTCTAAGTTAAAATATAAGAGGCCACAAAACTCACGAAGAATATACGGGAAGAAACCAGAAGAGTGGGCGAGGACCAAAAACCTGACGAAAGTTTGCACGAATCCCCATGTTGAAAGCATGCTTGTCTTCACCCGCTGACAGCATTGGAGGTCGGAAAGACTCTAAATTCAAATGCTGTTTCGGACGAGATGTACTGCTGCCTATTATTATGTATTTATGCCTACCTACTCGCATTAATTAAGACTGTACAATATTTAATTTGAAACACCCACCAATTGTTGTTCTATTTCGTGCCACCAGATATAGGTGATAAAAGAATAAACCACCCAGTGATAACGAAAACATTCCGGAGACAAAGAACAGAAACAACATGTGAAATTTGCCGACCTAAAAATAATATATTGAAATAAAAATCTTCAACTCACATCTGTTCTCCCCTCGTGGATATCATTTTTCCAAAAGCGAATGAAATATTGCATGTCTGTTAAGAATCCAAATAAACAAAGAGCAATTCCATACCTGAAAATGATTTATATTTCCTCAATGCTGACAATACTCACCCTAAAAAGTGCAAGAAAAATTTGTAGTTATGATAATTCACACACGTATTCACCCATGGACAATGATGATCGAATTTTCTAAAGCTAGTTATTGTAATCACTTAAGCTAATCTTACAATATACATTGCCCGCACATGGAACAATGATGGGACCGATCCGGCTTCAGGCAATGACATTTTGGACAATATCGCAAGACTAAAATTTCAATAGAAAAATACCCTAAATACTCTAATAGAAAGCCACCTCCATAATAACGGGCGTACAGTCGCGTAGTCTAACTTTGAACGTCCCGTTCTCCGCGCTGCTTTATGCTACAGTGTGCGCTTGGATGTCAAATGATAGCCCCCAAAATTAGTATTTTTTGGTACCAAAAGTGTAGTTAGGAAAAATCTAGGGGCTGAGAAAAAATTATTTTCTAAAAAGAAGTTAGACTACGCGACTGTACGAGGAAGTGGCGTTCTATTAGAGTATTTACGGTAACAAAAAAAAATTAGTACATTGTCCTCCACCATCATATGATCGCATTCGAATTGGTAGCTTTTCTTGTGCAGCATATCTACAAAAATTATTTTATCCAATGTTCAGCCTATTTCACGTACCTTTGTAAAATTTGCGCTATCCGTTTGTCGTCACCAGCACTGTTCTTAACATCATTCAATATTTCGACTGGAAGGAAAAACTAAATTAATTAAAATGTCCAAAGCTAATTTTCGAAAGCTACCTGGCTTGGAGGTTTATGCAATTTTGCAAAAACGGTCGCACAATAAGACCAAATCAAGAGAACGAAGAAGAGATGAAAGCCGAAAAGGTAAAAACTTCTCTCAATCGCATTTTCCACGGTCACTAAAAATGAACAATATTTTAAGCAAACAAAAAAATGTCTTACAGAAGCAAAGTTGAATCACATACGCATAGTAAGCCCATGCCAATATTGAGAAGACGAACAAAACTGGCAGCCATCGAACAATCTAAAGAAATGTATATGCTTTCGAACTGCTCCTTCAATGTAAACTGAATATTCTCCAAATTTGTACTTTCCCAGTATCATGGTGGTAAATCATTAGCGGGTTTTGATTAAATTATAAACCACAAAGTTTAAAGCTAATGGGTTGGGGAGAATGAGTCGGCGCCGAAATTTAAAGAAACTTTTTGCACCCATAAAACCTTTAAATACACGTTTTGTTTCATCAAAATGGTCCACTATTTCCTTACAAAATGGCTTTTGAGAGATTCCACAAAGCTTTTCTTTTTTGGGATTTTATGGATTCCCAAACACAGCTAATCAAAATGACAAAAAGTCCGACTCATTGCTTGAACAGTTTCTTCCACATAAACCTCCTTTGGTGTTTATATAAAAAAGATAGAGCACACTCAATTACATAAGTTACCAAATTTCAGGAAGATCCCTCCAACCGTTTACTCTAGATGACAGTTTATCGATTTTGTGAAAAAATGATCCTTTGTTGAGTTGAGGCGCTGTTTGAGTTCTCTTTTAAATATTATTTTGTAGAGAATTAGTTACCTTTCTACGGATATCAAACGCATATCATTTGACAAAGTCTGCTATAAGTTTTAGAAATTTCTTTGATTTTCGGCGTCGACTCATTCTCCCCAACCCAATAGTTTAGATGAGTTTATACCAATCCAAGAAACAACAATGTACGTATCCAGTAGGATTAAGTAGTAGAAATGGAAAGAAAAAAATTTGTACCTGTAAGCATCTATAGCAGCAGCCTCCTTCTTCGAAGCATTTTCTGGCACACCCCATAAAAAAAACTCTAAAATAATGCATTAATCGTTCAAGTTTCATTCTAGTGGAAAAAAAAAGTAAAGGAGCACTTTAAACCCTTTTATTTGATTCAATAAGTAAAAAGTGTTACTAGACTCATTCTATGAGTCATTTACCGGAGAAAGATACACAAAGAAACAGCTGAAAAAACATCGTAATTAGTATTTTCTTGTCTTGGCCCCTTTTTTCAAAAAGTTTCAGTTAATTCTTTCATTTAAGTTAATTCTTTTCTTTCAAATGTTTATTCTTATTTTCGGTTCACAATTTGCCTATACCTTTTCTTTAGATGATTCACTTGTTTTCGGGATGCCGAGTCCACCTGAAACGCTCAATTTCATTCGTGGCTTCCACAGTTGGCGAATTAGCAGCTTCAACGACCGTAAAGGATCCGGTTACCGTTAATGTTAGTAAGTGATTCTTACTTTTTTCAATACCTCTTGTCTAGGGGTGGGTATTGCGCTCTCAAAAATTTGGCAAAATGCTATTTGTGCGTTTATACGATGGATTGTCGCCGTCGAACATTCAGGTTTGCATAGTTTGGATATTACGTAATTTGCGTTTTTAGGTCATCGTTCCTCGCAATGTTTGCAAGTCTTTGGCTGTCGGATCGGCGGTCAGGATTGATGGTCGTTGGAAGCCTAGCCAAGGTTCAGAACAAATGATGGAACTTGAAGCATCTTCCATTCAAATACTTGCTTCGGATGACAAGGCTTGTGTTTAATAAGTGGCAACAATAGCGTTTTAATTTAGCCAATCTATGAGGAAAATTCTCCCGATGTTTTGCGAGAACAAGTTCACCTACGAGTTAAACATCCCGGATTTTCTGCCTTGCTGCGAATGAGATCGTTGCTTTTTAGTCATTTACATTCATTTTATCAAGTAACTTTTAAAACTAAACCAAAAGCAGCGGAAATTTTTTTAGAAAAACGGGTTTATTTATATTGATGCGCCTGCTTTAACTTCGAATGATTGCGAAGGAGCTGGAGAAACATTCTCAGTCCAGGTTTATTTTTATTACTTTTTTAGTTGTGAGTTTTCAGGCAAGTAAAGCTAACTTCTTTGGAAGCGAAAAACATATGTATCTTTCAGTGTCCGGACAATTGCATTTAGAAGCGATGGCTAAGTTTTTCTTACTTTTGTATTTAACTAATTTTTTTAGCGGGCTTTCTCGTGTTTATTCATTTGGAAATATCTTTCGAGCTGATATTCAACAATTCAGCCGAACACACATGTCCGAGTTTCGTATGCTGGAGGTCGAAGTTGCATTTTGCGATTCGCTGGATGAAGTGAGTGATATTATTTATTATAAGACACAAAGTTTGTGTGTGTTTTTTTCTTTGTTTGGGCCATGTCTTGAGTCCCATTAGAGCTTTCGTTCTGATTTTTTGGGACAATATGTAATCGACCTGTCACAGATTTGGTCTGTCAAATCAGAATTGAAAATCTAACCATTTTTGAGTAAAGTTGAAAAACCAAATTTGACGGTGAGATCATAGGTCGCCACGGGTACTTAAAAAAATCAATTTTGGGTTTATCTGCTCAGAATATATTGTGAAAAATATGCTTCTTTTTGGCACTAGAAATAATGTTTTGGGAAAGCGGCGAAGGCGGATAATTTCAAAGTTGCTGGTTGAGTTGATAGTTGATAATTTACCAGCAGTTGCTGGTTATTTATCCTTTTGCAAACAAAGAAATTTTTGTTTTAGATTTGTTCGATGGTCGAGGAGTGCATTCAGTCGGCAGTTGAGTTTGTCAGAGTACATCAAATAGAACTGCACTTGATAAAAAGCTTTCAAAAAGAGGTGTCAAGTGAAATTTTTATTAGTAATATTTAAATTTTAGAAAAATGATTCCTTCTGTGACGAATGGCTTTTCAACTCAAAACCCTTTCCAAGAATTCGCTATTCTGATGCCTTAAAAATCCTTGAGGTAAGTAAAATTTACAGAAAACTACAATCTATAAACTAATGCAGCAACATGGACAAGCTAGCAAGAACGCTGGTCTTTCAAAAACAAACGAGTTATTTCTTGTGTCACACTTTCGATCACCAGTATTCATTACACACTTCCCGACTGAGGCGAAGCCATTCTACATGAAACGAACATCTGATGGATTGGTAAGTTTCGTTTTCTTAACTTGACCAACGTTTTAAAGACCGAATCTTTCGATTTGCTTATGCCAATAGCTGGAGAAGTCGTGGGGGGAAGTGTGAGAGAAGAAAACTCGCAATTGATTGCAGAAGGAAATCCCGACAAAGAACACTTGAATTGGTTAGATTGAACTTATTTTGCATTACCATATTTGTTCTATAGGTATTCAGAAATTCGTCGCCGTGGTAAGCCAATCTCCGCTGGATTTGGAATCGGATTTGATCGTTTGGTTCAAAGTCTGACTGGAGTCAACAATATAAGGGACACGATTCCTTTTCCGAGGTGGCATGCTCCTGAAGGACGAACAAACGCACAATGCTAAGCACGCCACCTAAATATTTACTTACTTTGTGCTTAAACGCTTGAACGTTGTACATGTTCTTCATTTTTTATCGACTTTTATAGGAATAAATTTTGATAACTTTTCGTTGTAATATGAATTAAGCAAGGGAAATCACTCGATGCCTGCGATAAAGTCACTTGCAATGTTGATAAAGAGAAGTTATAGAATGGTCAAAATCAAGAATAAGTATGCTCTTGTTCAACTACTTACTGATGAAGCAAAATGTAAATTACAACCTTTGAATATTTATCGGGAAATTATGCAGGTGAGTGGGTTTGTCTTGAATTTTCAAACTTGTTTTAGTTGATTTCCGAAATGCATGGGGACTTGGGCTTCTCAAAAAGTGCGCGGTTAATAGTTAGTTTTGATAGAAAGACTTATTATTAGTTAGTTATGCCATAAATATTCATGGAAAAACCATCAATTTCCATTTGTTCAGGTAAAGGTAGCGGATAATGACATTTTTGTGGTTCGAACTCCAAAGGATGGTGCCGATGTTACTTTATCAGCTCTACCCTTTTTGCGCAGTGTAAAAGGTGTTCGAGTTGTTTGTAATACGCTATTTGTGGGTATGTTTGCAAAAATTTATTGTTGTACAAAATTTTAAAAAAATAGGAAGATCAATACGTTCCCTCGAGAAAAGACTGATTACAATACGACGTAAAGAACTGGCTGGTCGTTTATCACACTGCAAATCTTTATGTGAGTTTTTTTGTTTTGATTAAATAAGTTTACTTTAGATGAAAAAAGAAAATTGCTAGAGGCTCTAAAATCTGTGACTGGGCGAATCAAATTTGATCAGACAGAAAGCTCAGACGAAGAAGACACACCGTAATGTTTAGCTTATTGTTTCTTGAATAATCGCAGCAATAAACAATTATGAAATGCTTCCATAGTTTAAAAATCGCATGAAAATGGGCAATTGTTTAAATTGTTAATAGGTTCTCGTTTGAATCAGATTCATCGAAGTCGGTGGTTTCAAAAACCCGTCAGATTCAATTCCAAAGCAATCATCATTTATATCGATTTCTGGTGAGACTGAACGCGGTGAGCCCCCTGAAATCATGGCCTGCTTTTAAACCTTTGTTTTTTTAATTACCCCTGGACGATGCTCGACTATCACCACTCTTTTTTCTTCGAAGAGATGAATTATTGGAGCTTATCGAAAAAGAATTCGAAGCTCGACGGCGTCTCCTGATCTCGTGATAGAAGCCATCGCGCACGGAAGAAAATACCTACAACTTGATTTTCTCAAAGGTTTTTTGCCATTTTCTACCAATGCTCCAAATTGACTGAATGCATGAGTAGTAGTGTGCGCTTTGTGAACGGCACTATCGAGATGGGTGCACTCCTAAAATTAACTCTATTTATTAATAAACTCAATAATCTTTTTAAACTTAATGAAGCACCTGTCTTAGTAACTTTTTTGACGCAATGAGTTTTTGGTATCACCTGCCTTGACTTCTGTCTTCAAAACCAAATACTCTTTGAGAAGTAAAAATCATGATAATCTTATAGTGGAAATCTTTTGAAAGTTTGAAATACCGTGATTGTTGCGTCAGCAATGATGGCAAAATAGTCAGGCTTGAAACCAAGTTGGCGCAACTCGGCAAAACGAGATCCGAATTCTTCAGAGTATCTTTGTACTTCTTCGACAAGATCCACACAGTGAACTACTTTTTTCAGTAATCCTTTAATCGACTCTTCTGAATTATCGCGTTGTTCAGAATCGAGATTCAGATAAAATCTAGAATTTTTTTGGTTTGTCATTGGTATTTTTTTTCTTGCCTCCCAAAATCTTCTCTGGCCTCGGCAGCGCGTTTCATAATTCGCCGACCAATCGTTTCATGGGGATTAGCAAAACAACTCTAAAATGTTGCTACATCAAAATATCAAAATCAAGAGAATTCATACCTGAATAAGTCTACGGTGTCTAGCTGGGAGTGGATGTCTGCTTTGTACTGAACAGCTACTTCCAGGTCGAGATCGATTCAATCCATCGGGACTCCCTTCTAAAAGTTTTTAAAGTTTAAAAAATCAAAAAATTCAATTTTAGACGTGTGAACTTTATATTTTTTGAGTGACGCAATAAAAACATAATTGAGGGTTTGTTCAAAAAGAGAAATTACGCGTCACACGTTTTTTTGTGTGCTATTATCACAAGCTATAACAAGCTTTTGGAAATTGGCGGCCTGGGAAATTCCTGTGCTCATTATAAAGATGAATAAGCAGTCCCCCCCCCCCAAATTACGCGGTTCAAATGTTCTCAAATAGACTTTTCTTTCTGTGAAAATCAAATAAAGATAAGTTTCGAGGAAATTCAGCTAAGCGCCTGGTGCGGTCAGATAAAAAGTTCCTTTATGGACCGGATGGATCAAATGTCCATTTACGCTCGTTTACTAATTTTAGAAACAGAAAGCGTCTGTTTTTAGCTTCTGGTTTTTGAGATTAATCGTGATGTTTTTGCTAAATTTTGAGACAAAAACTCGCTCGTAGTGGTGACATCGTAGCACGATTGAGACGAAGGAAGACGAATTGAGGGAACCGTGCACTCTACTGGAGTTCGTGGCACCGATTTTGGCTTGGAAGAGTCACTGCCCATCGCTGAAAAACTCGAAATTTTGGCTCATAATTATTTTCAAAATGAAACAATTTCAAAAAGAAACAATCAGATCTTTCTTTGAATTTGGAGATTTCAGAAAAGGGAATGAAATGGAAAAAAGGGGGGGGGGAAGGTGCGCACTAATTGGAGGGCTTTTCCTCTCCGGCTTTGGCCAACCGAACGCGATCCCCGAATACCGATAGTGCCCCACAGCTGATAATTGCGAAGCCCCACCCCTTTCTCCTTTCAATCCCCGTCCCTTTCTCACCTAACCCTTTTGACTTCTGTGAAACTGAATTCAATTTTACCCAAACAAAAGATGATTGCTTAAAGGCTGAAATCGATTTTAGTTTGCCATTTTGAAGAAGACAAAACGGGGAAAATTGGGGGTGTGAACCATGACCAAAACGGATGAGGGCAAAAGGCGGGCTGACGTGTCCCCCAAAAATTTCATCCAAAAGGGCTTACGGATTTGACGCGGGATTATCGGCTGAAAAGGAAAAGGGGATTCGGGGGCAATGAGGAGAGAAAAGGCATTGATAAATATAACAAATAGAGGGATGTCTTTCCATCAAAATTATATTCTAAACAGCGAGAAAATCCCTCCTTTTCGGTGTCCTTTTTTTGTGAGGGAGGGCGATCAGCAGATCGTCGCCTCATCCCTTTTCCCCTTCTTTCTAAAACTCAAATCCGGAGTCCCCACAATGTCGTGTAATTCTTGTGATTATCCGATTATCTGGGCCGCCCTTTTCCTTTCGAATAGGATTTCCCCAAAAAAATATGTGCTCGAGTGGCTTAAATCGTGATGCAGTCCCCTCCCTTCCTAAAAACTCGTTTAACGGTCCCACCCCCAAATTGACGGATTTCTTCTTTGATTACTGTAACCGTTGATCGATATGCGGCATAGTTTGAAGAAAAATAAAAGCGAATATCAACAACATGAACTGTTTGTCAAATCTTAATTTACAAAAATAATGGTATATTCAAACGTTGAAGGTAAGCCAAAGGTTTGCGTTTGAATCAAGAAAAGGATTGAGGACAAAATTAGAAATGGGCGGGGCTTCCACTCTGGCTTCTCTATCGCAAATCATTGCGATGAACGCTATATTTTCTTTGACTCTGAATGAATTTTTCCACTCCAAAAGAAGCAAAAGGGCAACTACAAAAAGAATGACAGATGGAGAGATTTCCCGAAAGAATAACAACCTTTTTGAACTCGAGAAAAAAGGCAAAGAAATATGTGTCGTGAACAGAAACAGTCATCTAATAGATGGAACATACTCACACACGCAATCCACGAGAGAGATAAAATGAATGAAAGAGGAGATCACCTTCCATCCAAACCCCATTTCGTCTTCTCATTCCCTCTCTCCGGGTCGAAATTTGTGATGTTTAAGCCAGCAAAACACTTGTCGATTCAAGGCGTCATCATTCCTTTTTTGCTTGATATCCACCATTCAAGTCCTTCACTCTCACATCTTTGACTTCATGAAAAGTGTTCTTGATCGAAGAAAAGCTACGCTGAGCTATGGGCACCTTATCAGTGGTTTTAAGTATCACTTTATTTTTTAAAAGTTTAATTGAATAGCTTTCCTCAGTCATTTTAAAATCAAGCTTTAGTAAAAAGTTGTACGGAAACTTTTGGATCACCTTTGGATTTTGGATTTTAGATATTTCTCAGCGAGTGATTCTCGCCATACATAAGCTTTTTGTTTTTTTTTGTGCCCCGGGAAAGGGTGTATCTTCTGGTAAAGGAGATTAGTAGGTTTGAAAGTTCAAGGGAAAGTTGCAAAGAAAACTTTTAAACTGTAAAAATACATAAAATTGGTCATAGACAACAAGTGAACGCTAAAGGGTTTGTGTGTGTGTAATGCGATCTTGCGCAGCACTCACTAAAGCCACTAAAGTGATGGAAAGAAAAAGAAGAATAAGTGGAAGGAAGATGAAAGTGTAGCAGCAGAAGAAAGGGAACAAAATGGTGAGAGCAGCTGACGACATTCATCCATCCATTTGGTGTCATTCGATGAGTGAATGGGTGTTTCCTATCAATCAATCCCCTTCATTTCCCTCTTTTCAAGACCATCTTTACACATCACCCGCTTCCCCATCAAATTTGTATATGTGCAAAGGAGTCGCAACAAAAGGAAGCACAAGGGTCACAAAATGTATTCAGAAAATGACGGCATGCTTGTTGAATTTGAGCGAACGGCAATGTATTTGTGGAAGACATCGGGTTGTGCCGCGGACATCACCAACGAGAAAATTGTAAGGCTGAAACGTGATGTGAATTAAAGCAAGTTGAGAATTTGTTGCTGAGCTTTTAACACATGTTAGACTTGGCTCAGGACGACTATTGGGTTGGTGAATTGAAAACTGCCGGCTATTGCCATATGTCACAGTTCTCACACTTTCTTCAAAAGAAACCCATTTTGGTGTCAATGGAAAAGTTGTAGAGAATCAAAAATCAAGCTTATATCCAAATTTTCAGAACGATTCAAAAACTGGTTTTCAAGAAATGCCAAATTTACGAATTTTCACAAAACTTGCATTTTAAGCGAAACTACTAAGTGTATCTTTTTGGAAATTTGGCTATAAGCCTAATTTTTGACTCTCTACAACTTTTCTATTGACACCAAAATGGGTTTCTTTTGAAGAAAGTGCTCAAACTGGGACATCTCCAGTCCTCCATTTTTGAGTCTCACACACAAACCAAAATCCTACTACGAAAGAGGAATCCGCAAATTGACTGTAAAATGGGCAGAAGTCGTCAATAATAATGGAAATTATTTGGAATGAATTCATGGTTTTATGTTGAATAAATTTTAGTTCAAAGTCCCGCAGTTTTCAATTCACCAACCCAATATGTTAGCTGTAGACCTGAAAATTTGTAAACGGAGGCTAAAAAAGTGCTAAATCCACGTACGGCCCACCGGTGGGCCGTATCGTCGCGAATGTGTTAAGCACAACTTGACATTGGCTCTTCTTCTTACTATTAGCTCAAAATTGAGCTATCACTTACTCATTGAGAACCGGACGTCGGGAAAGGACCCGATTGTAGAGTGTCTCGGCGGAAAGTCTTTCCCGTCCCAACTTGTTCAAAGCATGTGTAGCCACTTTTCTAAATTAGGCACACCAATTCCAAGAGAATGTGTGTTTTTTGTTTTAATTGACTCACTTGCGTCGATCTCCCTGGGGAGTCCAATGGTCAAAGTTCGTTTCTACCAGAAACCAATGTCCTTTAAGTGGATTCAGTTTCCAAACATTAGCTGCGCCCATTCGCTTTCTATAGTCAATTTTAATGAATGCATCCTTTTGATGGAGTATTTGCTAACCGTGAAATAATCGTGCCTTCACCAGATTTTACCCCGGCTACCGTAATATAGGCTGGACAAATGAGCGGTGTGCGAATGAGGCGATCCACTGCCCAAGCATACTGGGTTTCTTCTTCGAGAACCTGGAGAACAGGCTTTGCTTTTATTTACTTTTATTTCCTTCCTATTAAGCATAGGAAAATGAAACTAAAGCTTTTAAATTGAACTAGCCCCTCACCTGTCGCATAACAAAGCTAACAGGATTGCGGAAATGCGTATAAAGTTCCATGATGACATTGTCAATATAGGCACCAGCATCTGAATACAAAAATAATCATTATAAAGTATAATATTGCGCAATTTCTTTTCTTTTCTTACATCTAGCATTGAGGCTCAACGAAAAAGCGTTCGGCCGTTGTCCTGTGAGCAAACCATTGTACAAAACGAACGTCACTCCACTATAAACAATCTGAAATTTCTTATTTTTGATGTTTGATTGATGAATTGTCTGACTCGATTTCCTCTTACAAAATCCACGACCACTGTGATATTTTTCAAAAGATCGCCCATTTCATAGTCGAGATTTCTCCCGTGCCAAATAGTTCCCTTTTCATCTTCGGCCACTAAAGACGTACATCCAAGACCAAAGATGCTGAAAAATGAACTTTTCTGACGCTTTTTATTTTTGTTTACTGATGTCTATCGAAGGCGGTAATATCATAAAGAATATTCAATCCGACAACTTCTCCCAAAGGTAATCCCGCCGCTTTTGCAATTCCTAGATTTCGCCAATTATCATCACTACAATTGCATGTTACCCCTCAATTCAGCTCCATAGTCATCGGGAAATAGGTGAACAAGCAGACCAGCAAACCAAAAAACGAAAGGTTGAGCCCATTTTGGTACATAAGCACTGTTATATGATATGTACTGTGTAATTTATAAAATTTAAATACCGACTCTCAGCCGCAACAGCTGGAATATACTGTTTGTGTGCTTTAATCACCGCATTCCAGCGGGTTTCTGGTGGATCATCAAGTGAAACAGTAAAGCGTCTTGGAGTAAAATCACAGTCAATAAAGCCAATAAAAATGAATGCGACGAAAATTAGTGTCGCTTGCATTCCGAAAACAAATAGCAGCAACCTTATCAAATGACTTTCTGGCTGACCGAAAGGGGGTGAAGGACGTTTGTTTATAAACTCCTCTCCCATTCAAAGGCCCCTTACAAATCAAAGTTTTGCAAAATTTTCGTCCAATAAAACTTTCCATTCATTATTTTTGCTTTTTGCCTGCAAAATATAGTGTAAATTTTAAAGTTTATTGGGCTCAACAATTTTCATCGATAACGAAGTTTCAAGTAATAACAATAACAAACTAATTAAGACAACAACAATCAATGCAAAAAGTACTAACTAAATGCGTGAACAATATTTTCGTACTTTGTTAAATCGACAATACGAACCAAATCTTCTTTTGTTCCTCCAACAGCTAGAATCGAATCCGAATCGGGACAAAATGCAACCGAATGAAGTTTTCCCAGAGAAAACTAAAATTAGACTTTAAAAATAAAAGAAGAAAGTATAAATGAAACTGACTATCTCTCCATGTACTTTGGTTAGGGTAGAATCATCATTGAGTTTCCAAACGGCCATTTGCTAAACTCTTCAATAAAAAGAAAAGAACAAAAAACGTACTTCATCCGATCCAACCGAAACAAGACAACGTGCATTTTTGGGAGCAAGTGCAACATCGTCACATCCACCTTCATGAGCAAAAACTTTCCATAAAGGAGCGCTTGTGTTCCTCGTATCCAAATAGGAGAGATAGCCTAAATAGAAAAACAATGAAACAAATAGGCCAAGTTGTCCCTGCAGTCATAAAAACTGAAAAATGACTCTATTTCACATAATTTAAAAGCAAATTTCTACAACTCCAAGATTTAAATCATATTGACCAACCGTCGTCAGTAGCAGCAATAATGCAATACGGATTATAGTGATCCCAAATAACCTTCTCCACCTGAGATAACCATATTGAGAATAGATTGCAAAATTTGAAAATTACTTGTCCTCCGAGATTCCAAGAAGCTGGAAATGACGCTTCAACATTGCGACAATCGACAACTTTTACTTGTCCACTCAGAGTTCCAGCAACCATGACAGTTGTTTCAACCGGATGCCATCGCAAAGTTTGTAACTAAAAATTCTTTCAGTAAATCGTTTCACGGTCTAATCAATTAATCACGAACCTCTGTGTCAAAACTTTTAATCACTTGTGCCGCCATTGCTTTATCAAGGTCCCAAAGAATAATGGTTTTATCAACACCTATTAATTAAAAATATTGACGATACATGACAAGAATGACTAACCTCCAGATGCCAAAATGTGCTTTGTCTTTGAATTCCAATTCAAACAAAGAACGGCATCAGAATGTTGTTGCAGATTAGCTTTACCCTTCTTTTTCTTTTCTAAACGCAATGAGTGAATGAGGTACTTGTATAAGTTTAATTAAAACAACCTTTTCCGAGAGTCACAACCGGCACGACAGAGTTAACAACATCCAAGTCCCAAATATTGATTTTTGAGTCCATAGTTCCAACGGCCAATAAATTACCCTAAAATAAAAAATAAAACTAGCAGTCGTGCCCAAACCGAATGTGTGTTTTCATTATTTCCCGGGTCATAGTTGATTGTTTCAACGCACATTGGTGGAGCCTCAAGAATATAATCATGATGAACGTACCTAAAAGCTTAATAAAATTGATGCCTAATAAACCTAATCATAATCTGATTTGATACTAAATAAATCACAAACCAATCATCATTGACTTCATTGTAGATATGAACATCAAGCGTCCAAGCTTCCTAAAAATAACTTTTATTGTTTTACATCATCTCAAAATAAGTCTTCTAGTATTTTAGTAGCCTTACCTCTTCGATTTTGGCGACAACAACAAGATTATCAGTTGGCTTGATTTCAAAATCCTCCTTTTCCTCTTCTTCTTCTTCAGAATCACGGTTTTTCATATACGGATCATTGGCATTGTTTGCAAACACCGCAACACCTTTCATCGAGTTACTAAAGGAAATATGCCTTAAAGACTTTGGCGTAAAGGTACCTCTTGTTTCCCATCGGTTCTTCAGGCGCATCATAGTTCTTCTCATATTCATCCATGTCGACTTCTTCATCATTGCTAAATGACAACTTTATAAAAACTGCTGCAAAATTAGGTGCAAAGGAAGTCAGAGGAGACCAGCTTAGACTATAGTAGGATTAATTCCAGCCCTTAATTTCTGCTAGTTAAGGCTTTTATGACGCTGCTTGCAGTTTTTAATAGTTCGTTAGGCTTTACTTGACATTTTTAAATTATTTTAATAAATTTTGATCCAATTTGACAGCTATGAGGGTTTTATATCTCAAAAAGAGGGACTAACACAGTGTTTGAGCGGAGGCGTAACGAGGCTCTGAAATCAGCTTCAAACTTTGCCAAATTGTTTTTAAAGTATTTCTAATAAATTTAGCGTCGCTTTTTATTCTAGAAAATGTGTTTGAACTGTTTGGAAAGAGCTGAAAACATTCAAGTCCAAGCTGGTCCCCTGACTCTCCTTCGCACCCAAAATTATTCAAACTCTTTGTCGACTTCAGATCCTCGCAATCCGGTAGTTTTAGTTTGTTTGTCGTTCTTTTCATCTTCTTCATTATCATCATCCATGTCAGTCGATTCAGGAACTTCTTCGCCTAAACAAAGCATAAATTGAATACGCAATTGCAAAATTACCTTCAATGAGTTCCTTTAGAGTTTCTTGGTCAAGCTCCACTTTGTCAGGCACCGCTTTTGCAACGCCTCTTCCAACCCACGCAATGCCCGATATCATCACGACCATTTTTTATCTGAAAATAAAAATATAATAACTACGTCCCTGAATTCAGCGTTAAAGTTAAAAAAAAAAGCATAAAAATTCTAGAAAACAATAGACATTTTATATCAAAAACGGCGGTGTTGAAACCAATTAATTGGTGCAAAACTTGTAATCAAAATTTATTATGCAAGAGTCTTTATACATTACACGTATTAAAAACAACCAAAATCCGTTTTCGAGAAAAAAAATAAGTAGGCTCGTAAGAAAAATTCGCGTAGAAAATGAAAAGGGGGAAGTTTTTTTGCGCGCGGGTCATTGTCCTGGGTCGGCGCAACGTCGGCCTCTTCTTCTAAGTGGGCTAATCTTTATGATTTTGGTCTCATTTTGTTGCACTTATTGAGATCTACAAAATGAGACCAAAATCATAAAGATTAGACCACTTAGAAGAAAGTTATGGTGAGTTGCGCAAACGACCCAGTTGCGCAAATGACCCTGTTGCGCAAAAAAGTTGCGGAAACTAGCCTACCCCGAAAATGCTCCCTTTTAGCAAAATAAATACATACAAACATGTTTAAGCTGAATATTTTGGATTTGCAAATTTATGAATTCGACAATTCAACCGTACTTTATTTCTTATTGCGAAAAAGAGCGCACGATCGTAATGTTGCTATGTTAAGTTTTAAAACCTTAAGCCATTCAGCCTTTATACAAAATGTTACGGTTTCTTACAGCAAACAAGGAAGAAAATTAACCATGGCGATAAAGATTTTGCTGCGAGTGCTTTCGCTAACTTCAATAGAGGGGATTACTATCTGCATTGGTGCAAGAAAGTCATCAACAGTACAAATTTCAAAATGCTCTAAGAAAGAAAGAAGCATTTCTTGACTGAAAAATAAATTTTTACACAGAAATGACAGTGGGATCTTAACATTTGGAGCCCTGTAGGCCAGAGAGATAATGTTCAGAGCTTTGACCCGAATTCTGGCAATTTGAAGGGAAATTGACGCTTTTGGAACGTCATTCAGCTGATCTATCAAATAAAAGAATTTGTAAAAATTTGCCGAACGATAAGCGATCGCAATCTGGGAAATCTGCTCGGATAACTCTTTGGAGATGATTCCAAGACGTTTCCAAGTAATAGCAATCGTAAATATTAGAGGTGAGTCCACTTGACGAAGAAAATATGAAAGTATTATAGCATCTCGGGAACCGTTTGATGTATGATCAGTTGTTGATAGTTTGTAGACCTAAAATTTTCTGTTTTAATGTCTTGACAAATGTTAGGCTGTCCAGAAAGTCTTTCCATTTCTTCTCGTACTTCCGTTTAAAACCAAGAAATGCACCAATTGAACTACGGTTTGTTTTATTAGAAAGACCAATTATTTTTCTGCAAAATAACATTAAAGCAGGTTTAAAATGTCTTATGTCGGGATTTTTTTGGGAGCGTGAAGTTGGGTAGTCAAAAAGGGCGACGCACGTCCGCGCGAAAGTGCATTTTCTGTTAAAAATCACTGCCATTTGTGATCAATCGAAGTATTTTTTTATATTTATGTTCTAACGACGATTTATATGGTAAATAAACAAAAAAATAGGCTTCAATAACACTTTTTCTTTGAAATTTTAAGCATTGAAAAGGACGTAAATCACGATTTTAACTCTTGACTTTGGAGTGATATTTCACGAGCATAAGTGAAAATTATACCAAATCCTTAGCAACTATGGTGCATTAACTATTTTTAAAAGATTTGAAACAAAAATAACGGCATTTTGATATTTCAGCAAAAACTAGTAGCCTTTCGAACGCGTTGAGTCCAGTTGCCCAGTCGACGCTTTATAGAGTGCGCAAACTACCGTAGCCTACCCGCTTTAAATGCAAATTTTCGTAAGAAATATTTGTGTTTTACTTTCGGAAATCATTATTCGCTTATTTCTTCTTTTTCTTTCACGGATCATCAATACGGCCAAAGTTAAGTTTTTTTATTGATATTTTGAGCAGACGACTTTGTTTGTAGATTTTTTTTAGAAAAACAACTTGAGCGGACGACCTGGACAAATAGAACTCGGCGCATCAAGGCAGCAATTGGGTGGTGTTTACTTTTACTTTTAAGCTAATTTTATAGTTAATAAATATAATAACAGCATAAAAATAATGAAAACTATAGAATTAATGAAACAATATGTAAAGTAGAGTCTAGAAAACACAAATGGCAGTGATATTTAACAGAGAACGCATTTTTACATTATTTTGGGCAGATGTGCGTTGGTTCGATGATACATTTTAGACACTTTAGCTAAGGAAACCAATCTTTGTGTCGATAGATAAAGGATAGAGCACAAAAAGTTAGGTATATAGCCAAATTTTCAGAGAGATTCATTCAGGCAATTTCTTCGTAGAGGTTTTTATAGATTTTTACGAAAAACACCTTTTTGACTCTCGAATTTGCTGGAAAGTGAACGCAAATTGACTTAAAAGTATGGGTAATTGAACAATAAACACTTTTTATTTAGATTAAATAGGTTAATTGGTGAATTTGTTATTTTTCAACGGAAGTATTAAAAGGAACAAAAAGACTGGACAGCCTAATAGTATATATTCTATCTTTATTTGTTGTATGCCTTTTTGTTCTTACCTCTGCCCATCTTGAAAAGCATTCCTCGAGTTGCGTTGAATGCAGCTTCCAATTGTATTCTTTGCAATTCTCAACGATGCAAATATACTCGGTGACAATGTAGAACGGTAGCATTCGCTCCAGAATGTTTTGTGTATCTAGATTCACTTTGTAACTTTGTGGATCTTTTTTTGGTTACCTTTAGGTGAACATTGCTGTAAGATCATATCCTGTCGTACGGCTCTCAATCTATCGGTGACAAACGAATAGACGGCAGAAAATGATTCCTTCTCTAGTAACGTCGTGTTTTTATACAGTTCCAAGAGATAATCGATTGTTCGTAAAAGAGTTTTAGTAGTTCTTAAAAGGATCGGATTCAGATGATCGGTAGCGGCAGCTGATCTAAGAACGAGTACATTGTTGCTTTGATTCTAAGTATTTTTGGTCAGAGATTTTAGCGATTAGGGTATGGTTTTGAATCTTTAACTGTAGGATTCTCAAAGGCTTTGTTCATGTCTTAAACTGACCTTCTGTATTCTTTGACCATGAACTTCGGATTCGGCGTCTTGGTGTTCTTGTCCATTTCGAATCGATTAACTAATCTTTTCTCAATTCGGAACTTCACTTCTTCGCTTGGACACATGTCATCGCATTTTGAAAGAATTATTGAGTTCATCACGCAAAATCTAGAATCTACTGCGAGAAAAACTATGCATCAGCCCCAAAACGTCCAGGCAGATAAAACATCTGGTAAGGCCCAAAACATCTGGCTAACAATAAACAGATAAAATATTTCAGAAACAAATAAATTATGTGCTTTTCAAGGCTAAAATAGGACTTTCTGTACTAAATATGAGCAAGTAGTTAGTCTACCTATATATTTCATAGCCTTTTTGTACGTCTCGAGGAGCGTTCTGTAGCTCTTCGTGGATGTTTTGCAAATCTTCTCTATCAGCTTTAACCTTTTGTTTATGTTTATAAAATTTAAAAATAGATGATAATATTTTACAATATAGTCAAATTTTTAGGTTTGAGTTTTGAGTATGAACCGAAATTTCAAGCAATATGGTTCAAGCAAGCGGTTTAAAGGCAGAAATGAATATGGCCCAGCAAGGTACTTTGAAAAGAAAATAATATGTAAATATTTATTTCAGCGGTGTGTATTCGAATCCGATCCACAAAGTGAGGAATCATCTTCCGCAAGAACATGTATTTTATGGAATTGGTTTCAAAGCAAAAACAGTTTTTAGTTTTTTTCGAGAGCAACGCCGTCGTCTACTGGGTACAGTTATCTAACTCCCGATTGGTTGGAGACAGTTCACAGCAAAACGTGAATTAAAATCATTTTATAACAAAATCAAAGAACTTTCAGAAATCCACAGCACTCGCGAGACAAGAAATATATCAGAAGATATCGAGAACCTGAATCATTGCCGTCAACTAGTTATGATCATTATGCGTACGGTCATACACAACATCATTCTGATTTTTTGGGTAATCCGTGTTCATTATACAGATATTTACTTTAGAGATTTCAGAAGTCGGTCTAGAAGACTATCCGAAAGACCGAGAGGAAGCTTGCTTGGTTCAACAAATAGAAGTTCTGCAACGCGAAATTGACAACATCGATTCGATGCGAGAAGTATAGTTTTATAATATAGCAATATAAAAGAGCGTATAAAAAGAAAAAGCATGTATGGAAGCAAAAGTATCTGCCTGTTTTATTTGATATTTGAACACTGATGGCTGACCCATGAAATCCCTGTAACTTGCTTTGAGAAATCTCTTTTGACCCCATATATTTACAGCCAAAACGGGAGGTGATTAATAACTATCTACCTGAATATTCTCAACAACTTTATTCACGGAGATCTCCCATAATGAAGACTGAACGAAACGACTACTATGAAATTCATCAACGACATTCATCAACGCGATTCCCGGGCAATCATTCAACTAATCATTCAACACTGCCTCGTTTAATGGATCTAGAAATTGCAGCAAATTCTCGCAGAACTATTCCTCGAACTATCACCGAACGATTCTCGCGTAAAAGAACATTTCGGTGAGCCGTATACTTTATTTACCGCTCTTCTAAAACAAACGACCTAATTTTCTTTAGATTTTCCTTACTAGTTCAATATGAAACATTTAGTTCTGCGCAAGGTCCTTACGAAAAAAGAAGGGAGCCTCGTGAAAAAGTGACACGGCATTACGCAGACAGGAATCGTCCCAAAAAAAGTAAAGCGCCACAAAAAAATGATGAGGATTTGAAAGGTCAAACTTGCAAACATGATTCATGACAAACTAATTTCAGATTTCGCAAGTCCTTCTCATTTGGAAGAAATCTCAGAAAACGAGGAAGAACTCTCACTGATTGGGCTAAAAACAGCTCATACTGCCGTTCAGAGATGGATTGCTGATGATTGCTTTCCACAACAAATACGACATTTGATCAGCGAAGAATCTAGCGAAACTCTGGGAAAGACAAATGGTACAGCTAACAATTCACGACTTTGTTATTTTTTATTATACAGGGTCTGACGATGACTGCTTATTCTTCACTGCGACTGAAAATGCCGATAATATCTCTTTGGTATCTCCTATCTATTTACATGCACAAAGTGCAAAGCTTTTAGAACCTATCGGAAGAATTGAAAGAGTCCCTTCTCCTGGATTTTCATAACATTGCAAACTCCACGATCGAAAGTTAAAACAAACTGGGAATGTGCTTGTTTTTTGTGGTGCTTCGAAGTTGAGCAGAAGTGTTGTTAATTAAAAAAAATGCGTGCTAAAGTCTTTTATCACCAAAACTATTTTCTTTATTAGATCTGTAATTAGAATTGAATGTTAACCTCTAAACCCAAATCCGTAAACAAAGCTTTTTTGTGAGTCGTCTAAAATAGAGGAACTACGGTACTTACTTGTCATTCTGTTACTAATGTTATGTTCAAATTCAAAACGCTTTACCACTATTGTGAAATGTCTTCTTTATTATTATTATTCAATAAATGCTAATAGCGAAAGAAGTTTTTATTTGATTTGATTTGTTTTTTCTCATTCATATCTACAATAACTACTTGAACATATTCCAGGGTCATTTCAAAATTTTAAGCACAATTCAGCCAACGTCCGAAGTCATCTCCTTGGTAGCAAAGATGGCAGAGGTTTGGGAGGGTGAGAAGAACAAAGTTGAGCCATCTATCACGAATTTTAGATTTACGTAAAAGAGCACGCTCCCTTGAAAATACTATTGAAGCAAAACTAGCCTCATTTAACAAACTCAACACTGGCAACAATCAAGGTGAACCTTTCAAACAACACTAAAATAATCTACAAAGCTATGCAGGAACTAACCCCGGATTGTCATCAAGGCAATCACTTTTTGAGCGTCTGGACAGCGAAATTAATACTCTTATCACCGAACTTTCATCGATTAATGATGAGGTATAGCCAATGTGTTTTTTATAACCAAATTTTTTTAGATGGCTGACCATATTGCTCATCATTCAACTCTTGGGCCTTCTTCATGGACTTCTACTCCAGCAGTTCAGCATACTTTACGCCGTCACCGGGATATTTTACGGTGAGCATATTTAGTGTATCTTAAAGAACCAGTTTCAGGGATTATACAGTGGAGTTCAATCGAGCTCGCTCCAATATTCGTTCTCAACTAGATAGGTAAGTTTAGCTTCAAAACAAGAAAACAAATTTTTGATTCAGAGAAAATCTTTTCTCCACAAGCAGCTCGTTTCGTGACAAAGATGAGTCTCTTGGTTTAAACAATCGGACAAAGGTGAAAATGAATGCAGCTTCTCTGTAGAATTCTGATTTCAGATTTCCGACTATGCTCTGAAGGAACATGAACATATTTCTAGCACCGACAGATTGCTTGATGAGCAACTTGGGTACTTTTTAGCAACTTTACATTAACTTTATAGTTGACCAATCACTTGCATCGAGTACAGAGATTTAAAAATCACTTGAATAAAAACAATTTAGCATGGCTTCTGCCACCAAGGAGAACCTGGCTCGTCAAAAAATCTCAATGGGTGGTATCAGTGTACGCATGCAACAAATTGCTAGTAAGTTTTCGGTAAAAACGTAAGCTTCTATGTGACAATCTTAGGAAAATATCCAATGCTAAACAGTGTGATGCAGAAGATCCAAACCCGAAAAAGACGTGATACAATTATCCTCGCGGGCGTCATTTCTTCGTGTTTTATCTTTTTGTTTTTGATGTGGTAATGTTGTAAAGATAATTGCATACAATTATATGACTTGATTTTGGAAAAATGATGATTATTTATGTAGCTTCCCTTACTCTTTTCTTGTTAGATCATTCTAGCAAGCACTGCCTTATCTTTTTATATGCCAGTTCATATTAGCCAATCTTATTTCTAAATAACTAATAATGCGCTGTCCAATCGAACTTTTGTGATAAACCTATTTGGCAGAATGCGGGAACTTTTTTTTTTGCGTACATATTGGTGTGGCTTTGTGAATTGAATTCTGGGGTTTGATAAAATTTTGCACCGAATTTGATTTGAAAATATATTTGCTAAATTTTCGCGGGTACGTGTACTTACCAAGTTGATTAGAATGAAAAATAAGACTTATCGTTTTAGAAGTATGTCAGCTCTTCGCCCAATCATCTGCCCGTCGATTTTGAACGCCGATCTTGCGATGCTAGGGAAAGAGTGCGAAAAGATGTTGGCTTATGGGTAAATAATTTTGATGGATAGCTAAATATATGTTAGGTCCGAATCCGATCAATTTCTTTGCATTTCATTCGGACGTGACATATACAACAAATGTATCTTTAATATAAAAATCTAATTTTAGAGCGGATTGGCTACATCTCGATGTAATGGATGGCCACTTTGTTCCAAACCTTACCTTTGGACCTCCTCTTGTCGAAAGTCTTCGCAAACAGCTTGGACCAAAGCCATTCTTTGATGTTCATTTGATGGTAAAAAAACTATCTTTTACCAAAAAGTAACACGTTTTATAGGTATCTGATCCCTTATTTTGGGTGAAGCCAATGGCTTCTGCTGGTGCTTCAAGTTTCACCTTTCATTGGGAAGCCGCATATGAAAAGGTAGAATTTTATGTATTTCAAATAATCAATATAATAATTTGATATAATCTCCTACATTCAAGGTATCCATTTTGCCTAGGGTGGTGACGGTGAGGTGAAAGAAATTCTCAAGTCAATCAAGGAAAACGGAATGAGGGCTGGCATTTCGATTAAGCCAAAAACGCCACTTGAGAAAATTTTGCCGTGAGTGATTTTTATAATATTGCAACCGCCCTTTAGCCTTTATATACTAACGAACGACTGTGGAATATGCCATGAAATTTAGGTATTGCGAACAAATTGATATGGCGTTGATCATGACGGTTGAACCCGGTTTTGGTGGGCAAAAGTTTATGGAGGATATGATGGAAAAAGTCCGCCATTTGAGGAAAAACTACAAAAATATGGATATTCAGGCAAGAAAAGAAAATTTTATATATAAAAGAGCAGTGTCTGTCCGTCCGTCTGTACGGGCTTTTTCTCAGCCGTCTTTTAGCCGAAACACTGAAATTTTTTAAAAAGTCTCAAAATGTAATATAGCTGTGTCATTTAGAATAAAAATTAGGCCGTTAGACGATCATGAAAACGAGAACGAAACGATTGTATTTAGGTGGATGGCGGAGTTACCGTGGATAACATCGATGTTTGTGCTACAGCTGGGGCAAATGTTGTGGTGTCAGGAACGGGAATCATAAAGGTATCAAATTTCTCATTACTTATTCGATCAAATTCAGGCTGCTGATCCAACTGCCATTATTGAGAAGATGCGTTTGTCGATCAACAAAGCATTGCTGAATTGATTATCTTCTTTTCATTTAGTTGTTGATTATAGTTGTCAGTTCAATCTCCTCGATTATCTTGATTACCATTCACTTAATTAGCTTTAATGTGCTGTGTTGATTTGTCGATTCGGGTAATAAATTTTTTTTTATGAATCACACGAACAATATATACACACAACAGGAATACTAGCGAATCTGGGTTCAAAAAACGCAATCAATACTGTTTCAGTGAACAACTGAGAAATCAAGGATATTAGGCACAATACACTGAGCAAGTAATGACCCAGTCAACATTGATACTTTTCAAGCTATCTTTTAAAATAATTCAAAACTGTTCTTGCCTAGCTTTCAGAAAGTTTTTGGTAAAAGAAAGATTCTTCTGAAGAAGAATAAATCAAAAAAAAGCTCGTCTATTTGATTAAAACTCTGAATAATCCTTCAGATCAAGTGTGTTTCGTTGGATGAGTCGCATTTTGTAGAATCCTATATGCATTTGTTGAAGATCAATTCAATTATAATGAACCTTTGGTTGCTTCGTGATATCATCCATTTCAGCGAGTTGAATCGAATGACACAAACTGTTCGGGCATTCTCTCAAATCCATAAGAGCAAGTCTTGTTGGATGTACAGAACAAACTCTCAATATTCGCCCTTTGCATTCATAAGAACATCTAAAATCTCGTTTCTTGATATTTCTCATGTTTCCCCCTTACCTTTTACAGTATAAGTGAGTGGGAGGGCGATCGCAAATGCACAAGTCCTTTTTCTCGGACTTTAACAGAATTGGAGCATCTTGGTTGTATACCGGTGATCTAGCTCGAGGCACAGCCTGTTAAAAGATTTTGTTTTTTTGGAGAATTTTGAGTGATACCTGGCTTCGGCATGACGCTTTTTTTTGTTCTCGCTGATTGATTGTCGTTTTCACTTGTTTGTTTAAATTTAAAGTGACGATCGGTGTATTTAGATTCAAATTTCCCCCATTGGATTTCTCGTTCTTCTGACTTGGAGACAGCACTTCGTTTTCCAATAATTTTTGACTGAAAGCAATCTCCAAATGATCTCACTAAATGAATTACATCACAAACCTCGACTCAGTTTTAGGAGATGTCTTCCTCATTGGTTTAGCTACCGTTTGTTTTGTGGCTTGGACAGTGACCTGGAATTTGCTAATAGCAAGATCTTTGTAGAAATGATACTTTTGCATCGGGAGATTTCGGTGAATTGGGTGAGCGCTGTACTTGAGGATCATGTTTGTACTCATTTCGTTTTCCCTTCTCATTTTTATCCCTCAATCCTTCAGCTCGTGGATTGATTGTGCACCTAGAAATGTGAAATTTTCTAGTTCATTTAGATCTTACCTTTCACGCGGGCCTGTGTCTTCTTTTTTGTCATTTGAAATAACAGTTGATGGCAGGCCGCACTGTTGACGTCGGGGCGGGATGTAATAAGCCTGTGTTGGCCGTCTGAATTTTATTCGCTATATCAAACCAGTATCAGTCTATCAAGTCTAGGGCTATTAATTTGGTGGAGATGTGAACTATTAGGCTGTCCAGAAAGTCTTTTTGTTTCTTTTCGTACTTCCGTTTAAAAACAACAAATTCACCAATGTTTTGTTTCATTAAAAAGGTCAATTATTTTTTGCAAAATAACATTAAAACAGATTTAAAATGTCTTATGTATGGATTTTGACTTAAAAAGATGGGAAATTGAACAATAAACACTTTTTATTCAGAGCAAACCATAGGTTTATTGGTGAATTTGCTATTTTTCAACGGAAGTGTGAAAAGGAATGAAAAGACTTTCTGGACAGCCTAATAAAAACCTAGCCACGGGATTGATTGTCTAGTGGTGTGCTATAAAATAGGGATCGTTGACTTTGGTTTCTTTACACATAATATTTGAAAAGAGACTTTGTCAGCTGATTAAATTCCGTTTAAAGGAAGTTACGATTGCTCAAAGATGAACTTACGGGTGCGGCCTGCCAACCCTCTCCGTTGCCACGTCCATTGCCTGAAATTGTAATTCTTGAAAGCCAAAATCCCTATCGGTTTAGAAATTGAAATGTATTTCAATGTATTTCAATTTCAATAAGAAAATTGAAATGTATATGAGCTAAGAAATGGACGAAACGAATGATCATAAATGCTGATTGACAAAATATTTAGAAGTCCCGAAAAGAGTGCTTTCAATGAGAAAACTGATTGGATATATGAAAAGAAAAAAAGGCGATTCAAAACATAGAAATCATATGATTCTTTTTTGGGTTTGAGTCGGCTAATTAATCGATGAATTGAAAAGGAATGCGCACTCCTCCCTTTTTTTATTTCTTTTCTTTTGTGTGTCTCTTGCAAGTTTTATGATAGGCGGCAGGCTTCGATACTTCTTGCAATGATAAAAGAGAAAAAGAATCCACAAAAAGCGAGGAATCATAGTCAGAGAAAAGATTGAGCTCCCGATTGGGGAAATCATCAAGAATTACAATCAGCACTTCAAAAAAAAACGATCGATGTGCATTTTTTGATCTTTTTCTCTATGAAATCAAATAGTGAGATCGGCGAGATGATTAGTCACGAAAAAAATTCCTTGCCTCTATCAGTCGCGTTTTTTTTACATTGAACAGTTGGCAGTAGTCATTGAGTTCCAAAGAAATCGAAACGTTTGATTAAAAATTTGAAAATTTCATGCAAAAAAGTGGGTATAACAGTGAGCTTATCTCGGCCTATCGCGTTCCATCGAATGACCGACAGCTGATTTATTGCCCCCTCCACCCATCCCTCCACAACTCCATCCACTCATTCTTTTCATCCCCATCTCTCTAACAAAAATTTCCCCAAACTCACACAAAGGGGAACCACAACACGCAGCGGGGGATTTACCCTCAACATTTTTTATTTTTTTAAACTTCAAAAAAGTTTTTCCGAGTTTGAACAGTACAAAAATTTGCGAATTGTTCGGTGCTAAGAATTGGCTTTAAGAAAGGAAAAATGTATACATAAAGAATATGGAGATGTGTTGCGCTGACTAATTTTCGCCGCTATAAGATTTGGGGCGGCATGGGGGAAAGGAGCTATGAGATGAGATCCTATCGGTTCACCCCATCCTCCCCTCCTTCCCCCTCCCCAGGCTCTCCTTTTCGTACACAGGAAACTCATAAAAAAAAGCAATATTCTTTAGATCGACAGAACAATGAGTACTCGAAATCTTTATAACCTCAAAATTTCTCTCTCATTGTTGAAGAAATTTGGAGAACGGAAGGTTTTTGCCAAGAAATTACAAGGTGATTCAAAAGTTCCCGTACAACTTTCGGATCACCCTGTAGGTGGTAGATTAGAAAAATATATGAAAACGGTGGAAGATGGGTCGTTTCGTAGGGAGAAGCAATAGAAGGAAACAATTTGCGCATGGTTCGAATTTCACAAGCCTTTTCGCGGGTCTCTTCTCCTCCCTATCCAATCCACAGTCATCCCTCCTTCCCCCCATTTCTCCTTCCTTTTCCCCACTTCTTTTCTTTCTGTATATTTACCGGTGTGCTCTCAACACTCGATCGGCACAGTCTTCTCGTCTTGTCTTTTGTCACACCGTCGTCTTCCATGTCCTTTTTTCTCTTTTCCTCTTCTTCTCGTCACCTATGTCTTTTCTTTTCATGCTTTTCTTCTCCCTGTCAACAATTCTGCTCAACCGATTCGTCTTTTCAAATAAGGTCCCACGTTTCTTGGTGAGCTACCGGCCAACTACCATATTCATTCTAATAGAAACGCATGCGCTTCTATTTTTCAATCATTCCACAAAATTGCTTCGATTAGAGGCTGCGCTTCTATTTTTCAATAACTAAAAAAATTGATGACGTAGTTCGTAGAAAGAAAACCTTTAGGTAACAATTCAATCGTCGAAGAATCATTATTCCCAATTTCGTTACCGTTAGAGTGACCGACTTCAATCGAGATGTCACTATCGTAGTCAATGGAAGAAAAGCTACTGACTAAGCAATAATGAACTTTAGCAATGATTTTTAAGCACTTCATGCAAGAATCTAAGAAAGATTCTTTGCTAAAGGGTTGGATACTAAAATATAAAACGTTAAAATGTTTAAAGTTGTGAGAATTTTATGGCATAAATTATCATAAGCTCGACGAAATTTAATTACCTAGTCTAAGTTATAAATTCGTTCCAAATAAGCTGACTACCTAATTGAGAGAAAAACTTATCAAAATTGCCACTGCTTATGCAAAAAAAATGGTAAAGAATACCATTTTTCTCAAGGAAATGCCTTATATATCCTTAAAGGCTCAAAACTCAGATTATTCAACCAAGCTAAAAGTTAAGCTGAATATTCATAATTATTGCTTCTATTGGAGGCTGCGCATCTATTAGAATAAATACGGTATGTTTAAATTTACCATAGTAAATGTTTGTTAGTTTAAGAATATCATACTGTTATCAATTGTAACAACTAAGAAAGTAAACAGGCCCATTCAATCGAGCTCCCAATGAGCTATAAAGGGCAAATATACATTTTACTATATATTAGACAATTTCTAGTGACAAAACTTCTTTCTAATAAAAAGCTTACCTAGAGTATGAATTTTCGAATAGCAAAAAATTCAGCAGCAATATGAAGAATGGGATTAAGCCTACGAAAGCTTTTCTCTCACGACCGGGCCAAATCGAGAAACCGAGATATGGTGAACGAGGTGATGATGGTGATGAAGATGGCTCAGTTCCCCGTTTTGTTTGCCTGTGTTTTTTTCGTCTCCTTTTCACATCCTCGACCCATTCCTCCGATCTCACTTCTCACTCTCTGTTTTTGTGTTTGTTTTAGTTTGCACTCATTTCTTTTGTGGTTTACAAATTGACAAAAAAAGTGGAAAAATCTTTCATGAATAGTTTATAGTTTTCCATCTCGAAAAACATAACATGTGACGTTGTGTGTGGCGTGGAGACAGAAATCGGTTGTGTGTGAGATATATGAGAAAGGGCACATTGCACAAATAACCTGAAACAGAAAATATACAAGAAAAAAAGATTATACACAGTAATCGCGTTTTTCTTACGGTAAATCTGTTGGGCAAAAGAATTACCGCAAACGTTGCTGACGGATGGAGACGCTGCAGAGCTGCGGAAATTCGTCTCTTTGATTTAGAGGCCGATTCAACCATACTCTTTAAATGCAAATAATAAAAAAATAATCGATTGATCAAGCTATCGTTTTGTGTAAACAAACCTCAGTGATTATCCGTCGAATCGACTCATTATTGCACACATCCGATTTCATAATTTCCATCGGTTTCGTGCGAAGGAATGGATCCGAGACAAGCGGAAATGTTGGTTCTAAAGTCTTTTTTAAATTTACAATGAACCATTTTTTTTTACCTCCTTCAACTTGAATATATTCGATTTCAAGTGAATCATTCGAATCAAGATTCTCTCCAATTGGACCATTTGAGAAGACAAAGTTTTGTGAAATGAAACAATAAAGAACAACGACCAAGAAAAGCATTGTGATTGATTTTTAATCTCAAAGAAATATAGAAGTGCAAGTTGGCAGAAAGTGAAGGTGTGGTCAGAAGAAGGAGGGAAAGTGAGAAAGGAGAGTTTTATGAATGGATTGATGGAGATGCCCATGTTTGGGACCGACACAGAGGTCTCAAGCCCGTTCTTCTCTTTCGTGATCACTCGCTTTTCTCTCTTACAAAATTTTCCGCTCAAACTAGAGCCGATCCGCAAACACAATGCCCCAAAAAATAGATCGCCTTTATGTTGATGCACATGGAATGAAAACAAAAAATATTTATTGCTTTGAAATTTTCTTGGAGATGAAGGTGAAAAATGAGAACATCGCCTCAAGATACCAACTATTGAAGAGAATCATTTGTACTAAATTCATATGAGTTCGCGCGCCACACAACAAAGCAAATGCGTCAAAATAGTCTGGAAATTTTTGGGTTGAACTTCTGAGATTTGTGCCTAAACTGACCCTGTTTGAAAAGAACAGCAAAGTAACCGAGAGAGATCAAAATAAGCGGTAGTGTGATCTAAAAATTCTAGTGATTAATTGGTTATTTGAGTGCGTTAAACTTGAGCGTAAAGTCTTGAGGCAACCGATGCGAAATCGACAGTCGAAACATCTTTTTGAGTTTCATGAAAGATCTAGAACTTTTTATAAAATTTATATCCCATTTTCGTACTTTTCGTTTTGAGCTGAACGTGTAGAAGACGCAAAATGTCCAGAGAAAAATTTGTGATATTCCAAAAATGACAAGTGATAGAACGAGTAGTCGTGTATTGAGCAAGTATGAGAGAGCACAAAATGGACCGGAAAGGAGCAAGTGGTAGCAAATGGCAGAAATGATAATGCGAATACCCTGAAATAGAAAATACAGGGTGCGGCAAAAGTTCCGACACTTTTCTGTAAACGGGCAGTTTGACTTGGAAAAAACGCGATTTTTGAAAAACTAACACCGGATTATAAAAATTCAGATATTTTTACCCTCTAATATACTTTTTTTTACACAAAAATTGCCATCTAAACAACCTTTTGATGAGGATGTTTAAAGGTCGTTACAGCAGTTTTTTTTGCTGTTGAGATTTGGGTGCCCTTCGTAAAATTGCTTGAAAATCTTTCGTTTTTGAGATATAAAGTTTTTTTGTGGCTTGTTTTCAAGGAAAAAAACTCAGTTCTATCAAATGGTAACAGCAGTTTTTGGAAAAATTTCATTCTTGCAAAGTTTAAGTCAACTTTCGCAAAAATCTTCAGCGACCAGACCGGGATATAAAAAATTCTCGTCAAAAAGTTATTGAGAGTTGAAATCTTTTTATGAAAATGGCTATATTGGGGTGAAACTATATAAATTTTTAGAATCCGGCGTTAGTTTTTTGAAATGCACGGGTTTTTGAAGCCAAAAAAATTACTGCTTACAGAAAAAGTGTCAGAACTTTTGCCGCACCCTGTAAGTATATGAGCAAAGAAATAAAAGACCTGTTGGACATGTCTTCGACTAGCGATGGCCAAAAACAAGAAACAGACTGAGACGGCACAAAGGAAATTGGTGATGATAGCCGTGAAAACTGGCTGAAATTCATCCGGGTAATGGGTTACATGTAAATAAACTTTTCTTACAGCAAAACTTTGATTCCCGGTCACCCAGAAAATGAGTGTGAGTCTTCCCGATCGACCAATTTGCTCATCTTTCAAAATTGGCCTGAAAGCTCAAAATTAGGTTGGTGAAGAAGTCTTTTCGTTCCTTTTTGTACTTCTAGTTTTGACAATATCACTTTTCATACCTGATTGTATTCATCGTGAAATCGGAAAGCATAAAACATATCTGTAAAGTGAATAGCATTATTCCATAAGGTCGATAAAGAGAAACCGGCGTTCCATATCTGAAAGAGAATTTTCTTATTCTGCATCGAATTTTTCATTTTCGTAAAAAAACCTAATTAATGCCATTGAGATCCAGTTCATAAAGAGAGTGAGGACTGCGAAAGAGTTCCATGCCCAGAAAATGCTTGTCTTCGGCTCAAGTCTTTCATCCGTCAGATTCCACTTATTTTCAAACGCTTCCAACGTCAACATCTAAAACGGCCAATAGCTTAATGCATGAAATTTACAAAATACTACGTTTAACCAAAGAATGAGATAAAAGTAGATGCGATATCTGAAAGCTTCAGCTGATTTGTTTGTGACGTTTTTGGGGGGAGAGGTTTCCTCTCTCATTGCCCCCATTTCAGTCATTGTTCGCCAAATATCGACAAAGTCTTGTTTTCATTTTTTTTCTTTTTCTCTGATTTCTTTTTCACGTTTTGATTTGTCCAATCAAAACACTCTCTCATAAGTTCTTGGATCTCTCTCATTTATATTTTAAACACTTTTGATAATCGCAAATATTTTCCTTCCTGTTTTTTGAAACGAAACGAACGATGACCTTGAAAGGATCTTGTACAAATTACACATTGTGTTGGTGCTCCAAGCAGTGGTTACAGAGGTGCCACAAAATGTGAGCGAAAGTTGGGAAATGGTGGATGGAGAGGAGGGGATTTCGAGTGGTCACTAGTTTGAGAGGAGTCACCGGTTCTTTTTGATTCTTTTCATCGACTAAAGGGTTCATGTGAGCAAGAGCCTGAGAATGAGAAAGTTGGAAAAGAGAAGAGTGAAACATCATACAGGTCGGACTCCTCTCTTCCTTTTTGCACCTCTTGTCGTTGATGGGGCGTGGCTCAGCGTTGTGGATCTGTCGATCGAAGCGCGAGCCTCTCCCCCATCCTCTTGGAATGACTGAATGACTTGTCGATCTGCTTTCCTTTCCCTTTAACCTTTTATTTCACTTTTCTCTTCTTAAAATCTCCTCTCAAATTCCCGAAATGTGCTCCTCGGCTTTTCAATCCATCGTTCCTTTCCCCCATCCCCATTCACCTCTTTGATTTCTTCATATGCACATAGCTGGGAAAATCTCGAGCGTTTCAATTTTCTTATCAACTCCCGCAGCTTCCATTTCTTCTTCCTTCACTAATTATCCCCAGATTAACATCGATTTTCTGATTTTTTTCAGGTAATGGCCAAAGTGGAAGTGCAAATTAGGCACTGCTTCTGCTGTGGCCTATCCGTGGCCACTATCCTCATCGCACTTTATTCGTTGGTTAGTGTTTTTTAAAGTTTTACTTTGTAGTCTAAAAGTTTCCTTTCTACTATGCTTTTTACCAGTTCTGCCGGAAAAGAAAGGAAAGAAAGAGCAAAATGCTCGGGGGTATTTCCATAACCAGTTGGCTCACGGTGTGAGGTGGCTTTCCTATGCATCATTGATTACCGTGACTCGTGAAAGAAAATCTCAATACTCGTCAAAATCATGAAAATAGATTTTGATTTAAATTTTATTCCAAAACATTTCAGTTCTTGTACTCACTGTTGTCCGGTTTGGGAGCATGGGGTCTTTCTGATACAATCAACAATGGAGATGTTTCACATTACAATAGTTGTGAGCAAGAAGCTGAAGGAAAAATCAATGCCGGTTTCATTTTGAGAAAAGCTTCCTTTGAAATGATATATTGTAGACAATCGAAAAGTGACCTTTCATCCATCAGGACAAACCACCGTTGTCATGTAAGAAAGAAAATGAATAAAAAACAAAAAGATTTCAGTGAAGACACGACGAGTTATCATTGTTCATTTGGATTATACACGGAAGAGTTGAAATATTCGAGAGAACGTAAGTAAAAAGAAAAAAAAAGCTGAAGAGATCATGAATTCAGCAAGAGAACTGTGGTTGATGGTTGACGTGACACTGTGGGTTTTGTTAATCTTAGCCTCTGTGTTACTTATTGTCGGCATTGTCATTTACAATCATTGGCTTCTTGCTCCATGGATGTTGTTGATGGCAATCGGTAGTCGAAAATCCAAAGCAATCTTTTAAAAAAAGATTTTTAGACATTATACGCGGTTTTATTTCAACGTTTATGATCTTTTGGCTGAGCCATGTGAGTAATTGTTTTTGTGCAAGGGTTTTAACAGTTCTTTAGTCAAATCTTGCCCGAATTGCTACAGGGATCTTCTTTCTTGGTCTGCAGATTTTACACGTAAGTTTTCACCATGAAAATCGAACACATATTTATTGATGAAGTTGTTATTGTCGTGTTGTTGCATGGGATGAATCAATGAGTGAAAAGAAGGGAAGGGACGGGCAGGGGTGTCCTTGATTCAGCAGAAAGGAGGAGAGAAGGAGGAGAGAACTGTCTGAGTAATGGGTGTGGTGGGTGGATGGGATAGGAAAAGAGTTCAATATGTAAAAGAAGGATAGGAAAATTCAAGGGAAATCCTTCAGAGAAATACAATTTGCATGAATGAAGAGAAGATATAGAAATATTAAAAGCAACAAGAATACCTTTTTTTATTTAGACTTCACTTTTGATGCTGATTGTCGCGAAGTTTCAAAAGATATTCAATCGACGCAACGGAATCATCATCGATAATCGACCACCGGTAAATTTTAAAAGGAAAAGAAAGTGGAAAATGAATGGATATTTCAGTATCAAGATCCAAGAGGATATCCGACAATGGCCTCAAATTATGCCTATTCACCAGATGTGAGACGCGATGGTGGAGGAGGAGGAGGAGGAGGAGGAGGATATTATCCCGATCCGCGAGCTGATCCTTATTATGGGTTTGTTTAGAAGTTACTTGATTTTGCACCAAGGTACCAAAATACAAAAAGCAATCTAAGGAAAATGCGATCACTTTTTAGTGCAAGCTATGCTGTATCTTATATTAAACAGAGTAATGAAAAGTTACAAAGCAAAGTTTAAGAATGAAAGGTGATACTTTAAAAAATATGAACAAAATTTAGACAACCCCCACCCCCACATGGAGCCTACGATAATCATGGATACCCACGATATTGATCATAACGAGAAGTTAATCGCCCACCAAATCTGCCCCATTCCACTGCCAATCCTCCTCAATCATTTACCGTATTTTTCCTAATAGTATGACATGCCATTCTATTTTTCGAACTCCTCGAAAATAAGGTAACCTTATGATTTGTTTCGAAAAAATATCTTCCGATTTTTTCTCCATATCAATCTTAATGGCATTTGATTTTTTCTCCATATCAATCTGCCATGGCATTTGCGATATATTAGCAACCCATATACACCATTTGGCACTGTCTTTAGCGAAAAATTTTTTTGGAAAAAGGATATCTGCCCCCTCAATTTAACACACAAAGGGGTGTCATTCTATTAGGAAAAATACGGGATCTTCCTTCCATCTGCACTTTCAATATTCAGTGCTTGATCACTTCCCATTTTCCTTAGATCATCTCAATCTCGCTATCAGTTTCGTGTTTCTCTTCTCCTCTTAATTCCTCTATATTCTTTGCTCAAGTGTACAGCCGTTTATTTTTCTATAAGTCCATTCATAATCTAATAAATATTTTTTTTTATCCCGTGAGACGATACCACAAAAGTTGTGGCAACAATTTGAGTACATGGCGATATTTCATGATATAGTGAAAGATGATCGGCCAGACAAATAACCAAACAATCCACCATTTTGATTGTGATCTTTTTCGCTCTCGCATCTGATTCTTTGCCTAAAGATGAAATATATTTTTTTTCGGATTTTGAAATGAACCAATTGCTCGAGTAGGGCATTGAAAGTCTTGTAGCGAGTCTCGATTTGTTGAGCCAAACGAGAGACTTAATTTAAAGAGATTTTCATCGAAAAGAGAAATCTTTGTACTTTGATTGGCTAGTTGTCCGATTTCAGTTCTGATTGTTCGAAGAGCATCGTTACTTTTTGGAGATGGAGGTCGACGACGACGATTTCCATTTGAGACAGAGTCATTCCCATTTCCATTCCTGAAAGGATTTGTCTATCATATCAGTGTGTCTCTATCGTCTTTACTAAAATATGTCAGTTTTTTTTGGGAATTACCGTAATCTTAGTTTTATTCAATTTGATTTATGGCCGACTGGCTAAGAAGCCTGTATTTTAGTCGGAAGCTCAAGGGTTCAGTCCCATAGATTATTGATTATTGTACCAAAATTATTCGTGTGAATAAATGTATTTTTGTAAAAATATTGATTTCACCTATCGGTTTCGTCATAAATCTGCATTGGTTTAGTTCAATGGTAGATCGATAAGCTAAAATTGGAAGCAAGAGTACGGTAGTTTTCCAAAAATTGATGTTTTAAAAATGCCAAAGAACATTATTAAAATTGACACAATAGCGTTAACTTCCTACTTACAAATGCCCATTTTCGGAACGTTTTCTTTCCTCTTCCACCAATTCCATTGTTTCTTCGGCATCACAATATTCAGCATCACTCATCATCAATGTCGGCGAATCGCACATTTCAATCATTTCCTCCGACTCATCTTTTTTACTTTCATTTATTTCCTCGTTTTCCTGAAATTCTTTTTTATCTATTATTTTAGATGATTCTTTTACCATTTCCTCATCATCCATTGACTGAACATCATCATCTTTTGTCTGGGAAAAGAGTGAGAATGGTCTACCAATCACATCAAAGTTGTGTCTAGAAATATTACTTTTCTAAATGATCTCTTACCTTCTTTCTCACCTCATTTCTTCAAGTTTTTCTGGTGCTTTTTCTGTGGCTTCTTGCATCCATTTCCCCGTATCGTACACCTTAAATCTTTTCCCCTCATTCCTCTCCATTAACACATTCAAGACAAAGTCATTTTTGGCTTTACTGACGTTTCGTACGACAGCTATCTATGCTCGCTGTAGACCTGAGAATTTGTAACCAAAGGCATTCTGGGATAGAGAATCTGTTATTAGCTGTTATTAGCTTTTGAGCAAGTTTAACTTCCTCGCCAATACGGTCATCACAAAACTCTCTAAAACTTGGGTAATTGAACCGAGTGGAATATCCAAAAAATAGAGCAGTTTTCTTTAAAAACGAATAACGGATTCGAATTCCTCATCCCCGAAAAACCCCTGATTGCAAATTTTCAGTCCAATCGGCCTCACTTACCTCAGCTACTTGATCCATTTTTCTAAGCATTCCCGCAGTATATTTTTCCATAGCTTCTTCTCTGCTCATTTCACCCAAACTATTCCATCCGTTCCTTTAATTTCGAAAACAATTTCACAGGTCATTACGTCTTCATTTTACCATTTATATGACTCAATGACATTCCAGAAACCGGGTTTCGGAACATTGCATTGCCCTTCGGTCGCTTGTTTATATAGAGAATAAAACTTCAACTTTTCCGAAATTGAGGCTTTTATTGGACCTGATACTTTTTTTCTTTAACCCCGTATTTTCAATAACATTTCTTACCTTCTTTTGGCAAAGCATGAATAATGGAGACACCGGCTCGAAAAACTTCCTCGGTCGAATACTTTCTTTCATCCATTTTTTTTTCAAAACATTCACTCAAATAAACAAATGTATCAATGCAAAAGAGAATAGTCGATTAAAGAGAAATTAATAAATTTACAAAACCGGTATTTCTTCGTTGGAGAAAACAGGCATCAAAGGGGGCAAAAAAGGAGATAAGAACCGAGTGTAGTGTAGTCATTTTTGAAACAAACTACAATAGCCTTTTTTGATAAGACCTGACTCCTGAATTAGAAAATTTCCATTTTAAAAACTGAATGCTTTAAATTGCTTGTTTATTTCACAATAATTCAATCAATATCCATTATAAACAGTGCTTTTTGTTATCGGTTTTCGTCGCATTTTTTGCACACACACTGGGTAACAAGTTGTCTAAAATATAAAGGATTCGATTAGAACAACTTTATCCAAACAAACTTGACACGATGATAGACAAGAACGACCGGAAACTGACTGCACTCCACATTGAGAATCACACTGAATAAATAAATCGGATTTCTCATGAGTAAGGAAAAGATTTAGATTATTGGTTCTTATAGGTTATACCCCCGCGATAATTATTTGTAGCCAAAATATGGGAAAAATGGCTTGACGTCCAGCCACCTCCGCGTGGTGAGCAGTGGGCATCCCCTGAAAGCAGGGGATGGCTAAGGGCTGGACTAGGTAAGAGACTAAGAGTAGGTAGTATGCAGGGGTAAAACCCATAAGCACGTATTTAAAGACCCAGTATGACTACAATATTTCAGAATAAACTGAATACTTTTTCCCTGGGATACTGTAGCCAACAAGGACAGTACTTTTCAATAGTCTTCTCACTTGAAGAACAATGATAAAAAGAACCCAGACGGGCTGGCTATTTTGGTCTTTACCGTGTCGCAAAACGCAAACGTGTCGGACAGGACCCGTAAAATGGCCAACCGGAACTGCCCCCCCCAGGGCAAGCTAGACCGAATAAGAGATTCAATCCATGGCTAGCTTGGTCTTAAAATCTTTTAATAAAATACCTGAACAGAACACTCGTGTTTACAAGCTGCGGCAATTGGTGGGGGAATAGGTTGAGATAGTGGAGACAATGGAGGAGAAACAGAATGAGAAGATTGTATTGGAGATAAACGATCTGGGAGCACATTTGGAAATAGTGGATAGGATGACTGAAGTTCAAATTTTGATAAGTGTTTTTTTGGAAGAAAAAGAGGTTTTTGACTGACCATCGAAAGACAAGATGGGACACAATCAGGCATACATCTGGGAATACATTGAGGGGCTTTTGTGAAGGAACATGTTTCCTAAATAGATTGATAAATGATTGACTCCAAAATGATCTCACTTGACAAGTTGGCGCACAGTTTGAAAGACAGTCCGGCAGTGGTAGCCCAGTCGTCACGCAAATCCTGGTAATTTGTTTTGTGCATTTTTCAATAAAGATTAGCACCTCGAGCACGAGTCGGCACATTTATTCTCACATTGGTGAGTGGTCGATTGACGATTGTCAACGACAAGCCTGCAAAAATTTGGTAACAAGCTGCAAACTGCGGAAGGCGTTGTAAAGTGTCAGTATTTTGTTTTAGTAACAATAAAACAAAACTAAATATCTTTTTCAGTTCACAAATGAGTTGAAAAATAAACTAGCTGTTACTGCCATCCTCTACCGAGCTTCACAATGGTCTTGATTACCGTAATAAAGCAAGAGCCTCTTTGACTGTTGTACAAGCAAGCGTACAATCAGGCATACATTCTGCGATGCACATTGGTTGAGACTGAATGTGTTAGATAAAACAGAATTCCCGGCTCTTTCCTACAACTACCTTCATCACTCGTACTCGATTCCCACTGTTTAACTCGTTTGGGCTCATTGTGAATAGAGCTGGCAATAAAGTCTAAACTCATAAAGGTCCCGCGTCTCATAATAAGAACAACCTGATATTTTTCTGAATCAAACGACTGTTGGGATAAAGATTGAATGGGAGGTGGTGAGATTGAGGTGAAATCAGAGTGCATTCCAACCGAATTCACCGCTATCGGAATAGAATTTGAGGATGAAACAACTGGGAGAATAAACTGAAAACTAAGCCAATAACAAATGCTATTTTTTCATTTACCTTATATTCACTATACGTTGTATGACTTTCTTTTGAAGTTTTTTCTTGTTTGGCGCAAGAAAAATCGCACGCTTCAGTGCATACCTGGAAAGCGCTCTTTGTGTGTAAAGAGCTTTGTTCATTTTTTCATTACTTTTAAACATTGACTATCCGAAGATAACCTTGAACAAGAATCCATGCACGAATTTGAACACATCTAAAAAGAAACTCGTAGAAAGAAATTACATTACATTACATTCTGGCAAGTATGAGTAGAAGATCGAGTTAGTGAAGGAACATTGATTGATGGGAATGGAGTAGTAGGTGTTGTTGATATCCCCATATCACACGAACATTTTGGGGAAGTTGATGGGGTACATGTACATAACATCTAAGATATAACTATTATTGATCATTTTATTTTCTTCCAAAAACCTCAGTTGGATCATCTGCGGCCACAAGATGACAGGTGCACTTTGGGGGTAACCAAGGAGTGCATTCACATGATTGCCGTGTACCCCGTAATGATCTCTTCAAACAAATTTCTTTATTTAGCGCATTTTTGTTTTCATACCGTTTTTCCCTTGATAGCAGCTATTAAAATCAGCAAACTTACGAGCCGGTAATGCATTTGAAAAGTTTGGTATAAAATACGATCAAAATTAAGGAAATGTTCAGTCAACGAGCTAAAAGCGACAAAGCATCGGTCGAAAAGTTGAAATGACAAAATGACCGTCTGGAAGGAAGGGAGAACGCTCAACGGGGTGTAAAAAGAAGACCATAATTCGCATTTAATCTTCGTCTCGCGAAGATTGTTCACGGAAGAGCTTCAAGAAGAAAAGACAATTGCCGGAATTGTGTTGTCTTTCCCAAGAGACACACCTAAAGGCTTTTTGCACGCAAATCTTCTCATTCAATTTTTTTCACCTTCCTTAAAATGACCACGAAACGCCAAGCCTTTTCAGTCACTCTGAAAGGATCCAATTCATTAAGAAAATCCACTGTCAATAAACTCTTTGTTTCTCTGATGGTGGAATTAAATTACTACAAATTGTGGTGGATTCTGTGTGTCTCTTGTAAAGTTTTCTTCTTCCAAAGCCTCTAAAAACAAGAAGCCATGGGGGTTTTTGCAGTAATTAGTTTATTTGAAGTTTGTTCAAAGAAAAGAGAAAGAGACTGGGAATGAAGGGAATGAAGGGGAGTGACTTGTGATGACAATGAAGCCAGTGGTGGGCAAGCGGCAAGTAGAATCACGTTCATATCTCATTCTGTGTCTAGGGCCCACCTCTTCCCGTATGTAGGTGAGGGGGCATTCCCTTGTGCTCTCCTCCTCTCCCCCCTTTACCCCTTTTGTGTGCCCGTGTCCCCTCTACCCTCTGATTGCCCCGAGAAACCCGCTCTGCGTGTCTTTCAGCCAAGCGGTCTCGCGTTGCGGTTTTGACTAACAAAATTACTTGGATGCGGCCTCGTCTTTGGCCTTGTTCCCTGCTTTTCTACAAATTCGCCTTTTTGTGTTGGCTCTCTCTTTGAGAGGCTTCTTTCAATGTTTTCTTTCTAAAGTTTCCTTTTTGATTTTAATATTTTTAGCTATAAAATTTTGAGTTTTTAGGTTGATGACCTCGATAGAAGATGGAAATAAAGAGGCAGATGAACGCCCTTCATCTTCATTAGATCCACCAACAACCTCTATTCGAAAAGAAGAAGAAGAAAAGGATGAAAATGTGGTTGAAGAGAAAAAGGAGAACACCCATAAATTGGCTTTTCGATTGCCAAGCGATTCACCGGCAAAAGATATTCTCGGAGATCTGGAATTAGATCGACAAACCGATCAAATGGATGAGGTATGTCTTGAAGGAAATCATTCGACATCATCACCGAATATGAAAGAGGAAAATGAACACGATGATGAGGAGGAGGAGAAGGAAGAGGAAGAGATAATCGGCTCAACAGCAAGATCCATTTCTGAGCTTAATTTACAGCAAAACATATCTCAAACACAGGAAACACCTCAAGAAAACGAAGAGGAGGTGACAATCGATAAAGAAGAGACAAAGGAAAGCGAGAGAGAAACAACAGTAACAACAACAGCAACAACACCAATTGAATCCCCCAAAAGTCCACAAAATGAAAGCGCAGAACAAAAAGAGTCAATTGAACTCACAGCATCAGCAACAGCAAATCCTATTCCAACCATCAACAAACCAAAAACCACAATTCTGCACAATTCCGAAGAAACAACAGATGAGACGTTTAATCGACTATCAGAAGGGATTCGAGATGGATCCATCACTCACAAACATATCATTGATTCTGTTTTCAATGTTCTTGTCGGTGGCCCATTTGATCTCGAGAATCGTTTCATCATCGAGGATTCAGCAAGTATTTCAAGAATGCTTTCCCTTCTTGAATCTTGCAGCGAAGGATTACAGGTAAATTCACTTGAAAAATATCTACTATATAAAAGAGCAGTGTCTGTCTGTCCGCCCGTCTTTTCCTGGTATTCAAAATAATCTTTAAGGCTGAGATGTGGTCAGTTTTTGTGGCAGTTGTGAGGAAAAGCAATCGAAATCTTGAAGCCTGTTCTCGGGTCGGATTGATATCAAAGGTTATTTTTGTGTAACAACAAAAGAAAAGCTTCTTTTCAGATTTTAAATATCTTACCAACTTGTTCGGCAATCCTCTCGGATCTTCTCGTTCAACTACTCGGTGTTCTCACTTCCTATTCGATTACCGTAAAAGAAACAAAATATTTTCTCCGTTCACTTCAAGCGATCAACAATGCTTGGGTACTTTATCTCATCAATATCTCAATAAAGAACAAATTTCAGCCAAGAAACTCATTGAAACTTTTGCAAGTGATGAAAGAAATGCCCCAACGTGACGGAGCCGATGTTTTCTTTTCGTTTCCCGGGAAAGCAAATGCGGTTTGTTTCCAAGTTTAATATTTTTCTATATTTTTAAGTCAATTTCAGGGTATTATCGTGCCACCATTGTCCAAATTTCCCTATCAAAATGGGTACACTTTTTCGACATGGTTTCGCATGGATCCGCTGAATAGTGTCACTTTTGAGAAAGAGCAACCCATACTTTATTGGTTTGTATAAATATACAAAGCTAATTTAATATAAACACAAGTCTTTTTAGCTTTCGAACAAATAAAGGAGCTGGATATAGTGCTCATTTCACTGGGAATTGCTTGGTGATCAACGCGGAAAAAGCGAAAGGAAAAGTGCAAAGCAAATGCATAAAGGTGAGCGATTGAGATGATGAGAAGGGAGCTCAAGTTTTGATCTAATTGTGATGCTGGCATTTAAATGACTTTCTTTTGCATTAGCTTAACAACTTTTTCTCTAGGCTGAGCTAACTCCACGAAAATGGCATCATATCGCCATTGCTCATAACTATTCACGGTGGACAAAAGGGGAAATTAAATGTTATGTCGATGGACAACTTGTGGAAACGATTGATATGAATTGGTTTGTAAATTTATTATATTATAATTTAGAAAAAAAAACTACTATTTAATTTCGATTTGTTTGCCGCCTGGGGGAATAATAAAAGTAGAAATTAGGCTGTTCAAAAAGTCTTTTCGTTTCTTTTCGTACTTCCGTTTAAAACCACCAAATGCACCAATTGAACTAGGGTTTATTTTTCAACGAAAACACGAAAAGGAACGAAAAGACTTTCTGGACAGCCTAATACACTCTAATTGTAAGAAATTCTAACTACATATAAGCAAGCGAAAAGTAATTCAGGGCTTGTACTGCTTCTGAACATTTTGACCGCTGTTCCATTGGAATCTCTCCCGAGGGTGATACTGATTCCGCATTTTGCGGTCAAATGGGTTTGTTCTAGAAAAATCCTCCAAAATTCTTACGACAATTTCAATTTTTAGGTGCAATCTATGTGTTCTCTGAGGCGCTCTCTCTACAACAAGTGAATTCACTTTTCTGTTTGGGGCCAGCTTATCAATCAACTTTCAAACATGATGCCGAGAGTCATCTCCCGGATGGATACAAAAAAGTTGGCAATGTTTAAGTATTCAAAACTTCTCCCATTTTCCAGCATCTCTTTGATGGACGTCTTAATGCTTCTCTTTTGATGGCTTATTGTCCGAAGAATTGCCACGGTCAATTGTGCCTCCATTCTCCGTCGAAAACAACCGCCTCGAATTTTGTGCAAATTCCGCATGCTGTGATGAAGGGGGTAAGTAAAATTCAAATCTCTACAATACAAAAATGTTCAGGGTGTCGAAGTGATCACAACTCATTCGATCGATCAGTCCCTTCAATCTGTTGGCGGCATTCAAATTCTCCTTCCACTTTTCAGTCAACTCGATTTACCCTATGAAGATGGATCAACTGTCGATGTAACAATCTATCATTTAGACAGCATACAATTGTTTTCCAGATCGATGTTTGTGGCACTCTCCTATCGCTCATTTCTTTGCTTCTTTCTTCATCACAAACAAGTCAACAACAATTGTTTCATTCGAAAGGATTCTTGATTATTGCTCACGCATTGCAACGGGTAATTGTATTTGAAAATCTTTAAACGAAAATTCTTTACAGGCTAAAAGCTCTCACTTAACAATGTCCGTAGTTGAAAGAGTGATCGGAATGGCGAAATTCTTATTGAGATGTCCAGCCGGTGTGCCACTTCTCAAGCAACTTTTTGATCATATTCTTTTCAATCCTCGTCTTTGGAGTACCTCGGATTCAAATGTTCAAGTATTTATTTACACACTCTAATTAACAATGATAAACACTTCATTTAGCTTCATCTCTATCAATATTTGGCTTCGGATTTTCTCGCTAATGCAAATTTCCCTCAAATTCTGAGAAGAGTGCCAACAGTTGTTGAAATGTGTCATGCACTTAAACATTATTATTATGTTGTTGAACCAAAAGCTCCCAGTCAATATATGGTTTGTCATTTTCATCTATCATATAGCAATCCTTTTTAGGTAGAAGCTCGGAATTCTTCTTTTCCCAGTCAACACGTCGTTTCAATTCGTTCATCAATTCTCGCGTTCATCAACCGAATGATTATTATGAATGCCGAGGAAAGTCCTGATGGTCAAAGAGATGAAGAAATTCACACTCTTCTCAATTTCGTGGCTACAGTCCATGAGGATGACAACCTTTATGATGTCCTTTCTTTATTGACTCGACTTCTTGCTGACCATCCGGCAATTATGATTCCTGCTTTGGATCGTAATCGTGCGTTGGGAGTTCTCTTCAAATTGCTCGCCAGTCCAAATCAGCTCATCCGAATCCCAGCGCTAAAAATGTTTGGGTAAGCAAAATTTCTCAAATTTGCAAGATTAAAAAACTTTTCAGTTATTTCCTTCAAAGATCAACATTCAAGAGGAAACAAGACTCGGTGGCCGCGCTCAATTTGTTCACGTTGATCAGGTTTTTTGCCATTTAGACAATGAACATTGAAATTTTCAGTGAACGCCTCTTGATCCACGCAACTTATCTCTCAGTCGCCACTTACAATGTTTTGTATGAGATTCTCGTTGAGCAAATGACTCCATCTTATTCTTATGCTATTCACAATCCACCAAACCCTGAAACAAAGTTTGAGAATCCACAAATGCTCAAAGTAAATGAAAATTTGAAAAGTAAAAACGAAAGATCTCATAGGTGATAGCGAATTTGATTCAACAAAGTGAGGAAAGTGAAGAGACATTGGTTGTCAAGAAGGCTTTTCTTTTGGATATGATCAATATGTGCAGGGATAGTCGAGAGAATAGAAGGTAAACACAAATCGATAATCAATATAGCCAACATTCAGAACAATTCTACAAATGTCCGTATGGCAAGATTGGTTGATTTCGCTCAGTTATGTCTACCCAAATCGGGACGCTGAAGTGGAAATCTCTGAGCTGGTTAGTTGCACATTGTAGAGAAAGAAATATAACATGCTTCTAGGTGTTTGAAATGTTCTGCATTCTTTTGAATCACGCAATTCGATTTGAGTATGGCGGATGGAGAGTTTGGGTGGACACTCTAGCAATTGCTCATTCAAAGGTATGCCCTTTCTTTGATCTTTCAAAAATTTATGGATTGTATTGGGTTGATGGAAAAGTCCTTTCCGATTTTTTGGGAGAGTACCTTAAATTTGTCCAATTTTGACGTTTTATAGCTCATCCTAAAGCTGAATTCAAGGCGGATCGATTGGTAAAAACCGTTTTGAGGTGGTAATCGTGGTATGGTGGCAATTCATTTGCTCAGCGAGTTCCCGACTCGTTTGGTTGAAGGGGATCCTCGATTGTTCTTCAACAAAAAAAACAAGAAAAACGAAGGAAAATCGCGAAAAGCGGCGGAAAGGCTATTGATCTGAGGGTCGCCGGTTCGACTTCCACCGGTGACAATATTTTTCAAAAATTTTTTGCTAAGATTCTGAAAATGCGTGTCTAGGGGTTATTTTTGACGCTGATCACGAAACACATGTTTTTAGCCTAGGTTTCTGCACGGAAAACTAACGAAACGTGAAAACAGCCATTTTTTGGCTCTGCCGCCCTTTACTAAAATAGCTGTAAAAACTTTTAGAAAAGAGATATCTCAAAACGGTTTTTACCAATCGATCCGCCTTGAATTCAGCTTTAGGATGAGCTATAAAACGTCAAAATTGGACAAATTTAAGGTACTCTCCCAAAAAAATCGGAAAGGACTTTTCCATCAACCCAATAAATAACAATCCTTGTCTTGTGACATAAAGCTCCGAAAATTCTTTCTGGCTACGGGCCCAGATAGGTCGACTTTCTCCAAAGTAAATCAAAATGAAGGTCTCATGGGAGAAATTTCGTCTTGAATCGACATCTCCGACTCCATCAGACAACTCTCCACCCAACAATGGAGGACCAAGCGAATCGTAGGTTTAGAAAAAGCTTCAAGTTCAAAAAACAAATCCCAATTTGCAATGTAAATCGCAAAGTTTAGATCCCCATCGGACCGCCCATCACCTATTTACCGTACACCCGAATTCTCATGGTCAAAGGTTCAACAAAAAACATTTGAGCTTAAAACTGAACAAAAGTTAATTTTCAGGTTCATTTACGTTTACTATCTGACTTGTTGACATCAATTGAAACAGTTGTGGAAGATTGGAAACAGTAATATTTAACAAGTTTCAAGGATAGTATTCTGATATTTAGACACACGACTCCATTAGTTGATTTGGTGAATGCTTCCGAACAACAGGTAAAATAATCAATTTCTATACATATAACTTTTGAATAAACCAAATATAGGTGTTTGTGGCGAACACGGTGCATGTTATCTCTCAATTGGCTGACAGTGTAATCATGGCCTGTGGAGGACTTCTACCACTTCTCGCCAGTGCAACTAGTCCAAATGTGTGTTTCATAAAAGCTAAAATATTAAAATACATAATATCACAATAAATATAAAACATCTATTTCAGTCGGAGTTGGAAATAGCTGATTCAACGGCTCAAGAATTGCCTATTGAAGCAGCCGCCGATCTCCTTTCTCGTTTCGTCAATTTGACCGATGTTTTCGTTTTTGTCAGTGGTGTCAGCTTTGCTGAATTGGAACAGGTAAGCTTTTTTTTAAAACAAATAGATTTATTCACATGAATAATGTGGGAAAAATATGGGCAACTGAACCAAATCTAGCCGGCGAGATTGAACCCTTCAGCTTCCGACTAGGATACTGGGTTCTTTGCCAGTCGGCTATAGCAGCTTTTGCAAGAAAAGTTTAAAAAGAACGCTTTAGGAGAAAAATATGCCATCGGGAGGTGTGCTTAGACAGACATTACGTCTAGTAGCAACAGCATCTGTGCGTCATCTCCTCGCTTGTCGAGTTGCATCACCTGGTTCAATGCCTTTTGATCTCACCTCACCAAAGGGATTACAAATACGCAAATTTGTTAGTGGAGCCCTTTCTGCGGTTTGGAATTTTTGTTGAAAAAAAACATTGAATCGCTTTTTAGCAAGGAAAAGAAGGGATTACTGACTTTGGACGGCTCTTACAAGATGTTGATCTGCAACGAATCAAAGGAATTGTTTATCGAGATATGGTCGTATGTTTTTTGTTCTGTATCCAATCAATCAAATCAAGTGTTTAGGAAGAAAACCGTCAAGCTCAATTCCTTGCTCTTGCCGTTATTTATTTGGTTTCAGTTCTCATGGTGAGCAGATACAGGTAAAGAAAAAGAAATGTACGGAGAGATGAATTCTTTCAGAGATATCCTTGAACCACCCACTTCACCCAGTCCGTTCTTTAACTCGACCACAACAGAAGACACAAATCAGAATGGTTAGGAGATTTAAAAAGAAAACTGTTACTGTAAATTTAAGAATCTTCAAAGACACCACTTTCCACGAATGGTCATTCAACGGGAGAAAATCACGTAAACAACAAACAAGCCGATTCTCCTGATGGATCGAAAAATGACAGTGAAGATACGGAAAACGAAAAGGTAAATAAATTTCAGGTTAATTAAAAAACAAACTTTCTTATTGTTAGGAAGAGGTAGATGAAGAGGAGAAACGAGAGGAAAATGCTGGAATCTCATCGATTCGGGTAACTCCAGGACAAATCAATACCGAGGGACCACAATATAAGGTATATTGTGTCAAAACAAATCAATCCGACCACATTCAACATATCTGCTAATTAGCGAGAAACGACTAGGTCACGGTCACAGTTTCGGTCCCCGGTCCTGCAAATTTCTTTTGCCTTTTTTGTTTTCATGTTTTTTCACTCAGCAACTATAACACTAAAGACAATGATTCTAAAGATTCGACAGAAGAAACAATTAAGCAAGTACAACACAACTTCAACACAATCTACAGCAAGTCTAGTTCGTAGCTTTGGAAAGCAGATAATCCTTTCCTTTAATGGTATTCGTTGTAGCTGTTCAATTCTTTAGTAAGCACAATGTTGCTCAATAGCTGTAGTAGCAGTAGCATCTATAATAGAACAGTTAGGTAGATCAATTACTGAATGTACCGAGGATCAACTACAATACCGCTCTTTACAATAAGACCCAAACAGGCACCATTGTTAGTACAGCAGGTACTTGATGGGGATTGATGCTGATACAGTATTACTCATTGGTATTTTCGGTAATCAGTGGAGTACTTTTCCTGTATAAAAAAATAGCAGCGCAGCGATTGGTACTTAATATTTTTGAAAAAATGGTTGCAAGTAAAAAAATATCAAAACAAAAAAGGCAAAAGAAATTTGCAGCACCGGGGATCAAATCTGTGACCGTGACCTAGCATTTAATTTGAATGTCGGCGGATTCGGACGTAAAATACCTACAAAAAATGTTTTAGGCTGATGAATTGAATAAATTGCAATCGGGTGGATCATCTCAACGCACTCAAATGGAACCAGGAGAACGTCGTGTCTACTTGACGAATAATCTTCAAACCGCTCTTGAGACAACGGCACCGCTACTCAGAGAAATCATGGCTGATTTTAGGTTGTTTTTTGAAAATAACACTCTAGAAACCCAATTTAGATCGTTTTTGCAAAAGACCTTACTTGGTACACATGGCCAAGAGATTATGAACGATATCAAAGGTCTAGAAAAAGTTCATTCTCTACAATAGCCTCATTTTAGTGATGGAAACATTAAAGAATAAGAGCGGAAGTGTGATCGAATTGGTGATGTTATTGTGCTCACAAGAGTGGCAAACATCTTTGCAGAAACATGCGGGACTTGCTTTCATTGAGCTTGTCAATGAGGGTAAGTGAGGTAAAAAAGAAACTTTGATAAAAGGTATCAGGACGATTGATGGCCCATGCGACTCGTGATCACGTACTTCGTGTGTCAAATGAAGCCGATTTCATTTTAAATCGACTTCGAGCTGAAGATGTGAACAAACACGCACAATTTGAGGTAAATGAGTGGCATTGTTTGTGTTGAATATTATTTCAGAGTGAAACCGCGGAACAACTGCTTGAACGACGAGAACAAGAGGCTCGATGTGATCATGTTATTGGTTGGTTATCGGATTTGAAACAATAACAAATAAAATATAGGCCACCATGACCGATTGGCTAAGAACCCTGTATCTTAGTCGGGTTCAATCCCGCCGGCTAGACTATTGATTCTTTTTTCCATATATGGGTTTTCTTCCCTACATTTAGAGCTTAGGGGTTGTGCTTGTGCGTTGTTTGTACCACATTATTTGTGTGAATAACTATATTTTTTTAATAATTTATAGCCAGCAGTCGTCGTCGTGATTCGCTGATCGCTTCAAAGCTATTGGATAAAATGACCACTATTCTGAGAAGTCCAAGTGGAGCATGGTCAAGTGGAAAGGACAATAAGTAGATCATCTTTGATTACAAATATTTAAAGAACAATCTTTTAGTGAGCTCTTTTGGAGATTGGATGTTTGGGAGGATGATTCGAGACGAAGAAAACGCTTCGTTCCAAATGTGGCGGGAACGCGGCACGAAGAAGCGGCTGCTCATGTTGAGATTGAAGAAAATGAAAAAGGAGAAAGTCCTTCAAAAGATGAAGTAAAGAATACGAAAAGCAGCTATTTAAGAGAATTTTTTCATAGGAAGCGAGATTGAGGGAACTGTCGAAATCGGTGGCTCCATCAAGGCCACAACCACTTGAATTGGTCGATGAAAGCGATATCGATAAATGGGCTGCTGAAGTTGATCCACCACCACCGAATGGTTTGTTTTCAAAGCTGCAAATATTATTTTCTTGAACTCTTTTCTTTGAACTCTTAAGAAATGGGATTTCAAAATAAAAATATTTTCTAAACTAGATTTTCTATTTAGACTGACCTTTCCGCAATAATTCTGATCCACTAAAGCGATCCCATTATTGCTGAATGGATTTTTCTCCTCTTCAAATTGTACTCGCATTTTGGAGGGTATCTCCTCGGGGTGGAAAGGGGCTGTGATATGAGAAGATGCGGCAAGGTCGCTAATGCGCTAATACGTTAATTGTCGGTCAGTCAGCCGCTCCATTTGGTCACTCACTCATCCTTTTTCGAAAGCCTTACAATAAGAGAAAATAAATTTTCGTGCTTGGTGAAACATTTCATAAATAATGGCCAACGCTGAGTGGATTGGGATGACATGGAAAGAAGATTCAAAAGAACATGAAAGCAATTGTCTACCAAGAACATCGAGAAACAGAAAGGGGACAATTATGGGTATGGAAGGGATCCCTTTTGTCCTTTTTAAGATCAAGACTGAACCCTTAGCGGGACTCTCCCCATCGTTTCCCCCTTGGATGATGAGTGGTGTGACAGCTCGAATTGCCTCGACATACTCCTTTTCCTTTTCCATCCAAACCTCACATTAAGCCTCAAACGGTGTGTGTGTCCGTGTGTTCATCGTGTACAACAAAATCAAATCATTTACAAATTTTAAAAAAGGCCAAAATTTTAGAGAGCACCAGCTACAGTACTCCCGCGAAATTGATCGCGCCAGGTCTCTTGGTGCCAGGAACTCTTTCGATCACCGCTAACGATCTTTATTTTGATGCCGATGAAGAGGATCCTCTCTTTAAACAACAAGATCTACGGGTTTGTTTGTTTTTTGTTGTTCTGATCATTCAAATTGCACACAAAAAAAACTTTACCCGTTACCACAAAAAACAAAGTTCATGAAGGCAAAAGAAAGAAGGAAATTACGAGAAAATTTACAACGGTAGGATGAGGATGAATCTTTAAAATGGCCTCAATGTTAGCAAGTGTGGCCAATGAATTCTCTTTAACTCAATCACCTGCACCAATCAAATTTAAGGATGAATCTTTAAAAAATGCTCGGATAGGGTTGATCTTTTCAGTAAAGTTAACCCTTTTGGCTTTTTTTTCTTGATATAGTGACCGTCTTTGATGGATGAGGGAGATTATACGCGTAACGCGTGTGCCCCTTCTCTTTCTTTTCCCCTCAAATAACCCCTTCCAGTAGTTTTTCTCCCTTTTTTTACTAGCACCCGTTGGGATTAAACATTCACCTTTTTGAACTTCGGCTTACAACAAAGTTTATGAAAAATGGGAACGACTAGGAATTCAAGAAAATTGCAAAATATCGAACAAAACGATTATAAAGTTTCTAGTGCACGTGAGTTGAGCATGAGAGTACGAACAAGACGCCAAGCTTTTCGTGCTCCTTCATCGAGCAATTGTACTGGTTTTCCTCTTAACAAGTCGAGTTGTGGCAGAAAATAATGAGAACAGCGATGACATTGTAGACATGAAACCAATTGAAGTAGGACACCTGAAAGTTGATTCACGAAAATACTATCTTTTCTCACTTTTTCCCATTCAAAATGCCCCACTTAAGAAGAAATCTGAACTTTTTCAACAGAAATTGCATTTCTCAGCGACTTGTCACTTTTAATAAAATCTCTGCTGTGAAAAGGACGATCGATCTCTTTTTTGCCATAATCGCGTTTCGCCCATTGGAAAAAACGTCGAAAACAAGTGCCTACTTTTGAAAGAAATGACACTTTTTACATAAGAATAGCAACAATGATGAGTGAATAAAGAAGAAAAAGAAACTTGGTGAAAGCGATAAATTAAGAAGAAGAAGTCTCTTAGCATTCCATACACAACTTTCCCCTCGGGGGTTTAGCGGCTTCCTTTTTTCTTTCTTCCCCTTTTTAGCAAAATAACGAAAAGAGTGGATAATCGAGTGCTTTTCAAATCAAATATGACATTGCGTTTATTATCCAAGAGTTTTGAATTTGTAAGTAGTAACTGACCGATCAATCGATCTGCAATGCAGACATCTTCCCACTCATAATCATTGCTGTGTTTTTCACATTCGAATAAGACGAGAGTTTTCAGAATATACGCTGTGATTGGAGTACCCGGGAATTCCAAATGTTTATCCCGAAGACACTTCAAAATTGATAAAGCCTAAAATAATTTATGTATTACCATTTTCTTTGATTACGCTAGAACAAACCTTTCGACGATTCCCAGTCAAGATGATATTTTCAGCGGCAGAAAAACACATCGCCCAGGCATCACCTTCCATTGAATTTGCCTAGATTGACTTTTTAACAAAAAAGAATTCCTTTCTTGAATACCTGTTTATTTTGGAGGATTCCTGATGGAATTGTGTCTTTACTCGTCAAATCAAAGCCTTCTTGTTTAACCTAGACCTCAAAAATAAACGATAGAGAAAATATGACAAACATCAGATGCCATCGCGTGATTTGGCCAGGGAATCGATGAGTTCGGCCAGTGGGCAGCTGATCGAGGCCAAATCCCATTGCATTTGAATGCGCATGTGATTTGAACGATAAATTCCCCCTCAACCCTCAATCTAACATCCGAGCTCTCAGGCACCAACTTGCAGTAATCTCTAAAATTTTCGCAATCGTTGCCAAAGCCTTCAGTCTGAATGCGTTTTACCTGAACTCTGGCTTCTCGATTGCTTGTCCAACAAGAGTTTGAAAACGACTTCTCATTTTGCGCGCCGATAGATAACCACTTGCTGTGATGAATTCCACCCATAAAGACATTGATCTTGAAAGTTCTTCAAAATCAATTATTATCTTTTCCAAGCAAACCTTTTCCGACCATCACTCAATTTGAGCACAGCACATCCGGGAATTGAGCCATCATCAACAAAGTTGAAAACGCCCATTTGATTCAGAAATAGTACCACTTCAAATTCATGAGGTGAATGTACAATCACCTGAAAGTTTTGTTAAAGATAAAGACTAAAGATTCTTCTTAACTCCTTCAAAACGTCCATTTGTTTCAATGAGAGTCGAAATGAATCTCGGCTCCAATATCTCGACTTCTTTCAAAATTTCTTGCACAATTTTGGTCACTCGAAACATTGAGCCATGAATTTGACTTTTTCGAAAGTTTACCTAAGTTTTTAGATCATAAAGGTGCAAATTTAAAAGGAAAACCTGAGTGTTATAATAGTTGGTGACTTGGTGAATATTAGAAGGACTATTGCCTAGCATTTTGTGCAGAGATAGAAGATATGGATGAATAGAAGAGAAATCGTTGCAGACAGCTGATGATTTTGACGATGAAATGTATCAAAGAGTTGTGGGTAAATGAATGTTTTCAGGGTGGGTTTTCCCGTTTTTCTCGATGAGTCCCTCCCTTTTCTTCATCCATAGGTTTCACGAAGTCCCGCCCCTTCCTCCTGCTCGGGTTCTCCCCTTCCCCCTTTCTGCAGCTGCTCAATTATGCATTAGTGTCCCTTTTTTATCCCTATCGCTGTCTCTTAACATAGTTCACTCGTTCACTTACTATCAACCCATTTTTTTGATCATGCACAGGTTTTTAGGGTTGATGAAAGACCGTATCCTTGACTGGCTCGATTCCCCCTTTCCTTTTCTCTTTAACCATCTATCGCGCATCTAAGCGATTATCTTTCCGATTAGGAGCGGAAGTCCGAAAAAATCCTTCAGAAAATCCAAGATTGTGTTGCGATACAAAAATCTCGCCCTGCAAATCAGGGAGAAAAAGTTGAGCTTTTTCTTGTTAGAGTGATGAGTTGGTCAGGTGTTGCTAAAGGCCGAGAAAGAGGAAAAGTCTATCAGTGAAAAGAGTTGGGTCTTTGGAAAAAGAGGATAAAAGAGAGAAATAAAAAAAAAAACGCGCGATTGGCGGTCTTTCGATGAAGATTGATTGACGAATCACTTGTGTAAAAAAGGCTTTCTGATCGTTTACGTAACCGATAAAACGTAATGAGAAAAAAATAGATAAAAATTTGAAAGAAATAAATGTTTGCATAAAATAAAATTCTTAAAACTTTAGGTACTGCGGTACTGTGAATCGTTGCATGGCCGATGGAATCTTCAAGAAATTCGAGCGGTTTTCCTTCGTCGACATCTCCTCCAAAACACAGCTTTAGAGCTTTTCCTCTCCACCAGAAGTACGGATAGAAATATTGCCGCATTTCATATATAATTGAAAAGTTTGGCGTATTAAATCAAAAAAACTTATATAAAAGAGATTGATTGAGTTGTTTCTTTCAGCTGCAATCATGTTTGCATTCCCGGATCAGGATACGGTGAAGAAAGTTGTCTACCAATTGCCCCGAGTTGGTGTTGGAGTCAAATATGGACTTCCACAAAGTCGAAAAACTTCCCTAATGACACCCCGACAACTCTTCAAACACTCAGATATGTGCCAAAAATGGCAAAAAGTAAATGAAATACATTTGGCTATAGAATTTGTAACCAAAAAATTTCAGCGAGAGATTTCGAATTTCGACTATTTGATGTTCCTGAATACGGTGGCTGGCCGAACTTTCAATGATTTAAATCAATATCCCGTTTTCCCGTGGATTCTTTCCAATTACACTTCAGAGACTCTTGACTTAAACCAAGCCAGCAATTTCAGAGATTTGAGCAAGGTAGAGCCAAAAATTCATTTCATTTATTCAAGAACCCAAATTTCAGCCAATTGGTGCTTTGTCGGAGTCTCGACGCAAATTTTTCCAAGATCGCTACTCGAATTGGGAAGATGAGACAATCCCTCCATTTCACTATGGAACTCATTATTCGACACAAGCATTCACTCTTAATTGGCTTTTCAGAGTGGTATGTTAAAAGGAATCATAAATTAGACTGTCCAGAAAGTCTTTTCGTTTCTTTTCGTACTTCCGTTTAGAACCAACAAATGCACCAATTGAACTACGGTTTATTTCATTAGAAAGGTCAATTATTTCTCTGCAAAATAACATCAAAACGGCTTTAAAATGTCTTATGTCTGGATTTTGACTTAAAAAGATGGGGAATTCAACAATCAACACTTTTTATTTAGAGCAAACCATAGGTTAATTGGTGAATTTGTAATTTTTCAACGGAAGTATGAAAAGGAACGAAAAGACTTTTTAGACAGCCTAATATTTTTGAATAAAAAATGTTTTAGGAACCTTTCACTTCGATGTTCATTCATATGCAAAGCGGGAAATTTGATCATCCCGATCGGATGTTTCATTCTTTGGCTGAGACCTGGGAAAGATGCCAAAGAGATAGCCATGATGTTAAGGTACATTGAAATAATTACAAGATTTCTTCCAAAACACTTTCAAATACAAAAAAATGAGCGTTTAGGAACTGATTCCCGAGCTTTTTTATTTACCGGAGTTGTTCCGAAACTCCAATGGATTCCCACTTGGAAAAAGAGCGGATGGAGCAAAACTTGGTTTCTTTTAAAGCGTCATTCATCTTTAATTAAACTCTTCCAGATGACATCATATTGCCGCCATGGGCTCGTGGAGCTGAACACTTTGTTTTGCTTCATCGACAAGCTCTTGAAAGCAATTTAGTTAGTTGTCAACTCAATCAATGGATCGATCTTATTTTTGGATACAAACAACGTGGACCTGAAGCGGTGAGTTTTATAAAAATCCCCAATTATATTGAACCAGCAGTTAGCCCCCGGCTAAACACTGGGGATTAACTGCCGACCGATTTGGGTGTACGCATAGTTTACATAAGACAAACTTAAGTAATTGTTGATAAATTTACTACAGTTGACTAATCTACTACTAAATATGAGTTTCAATAACTAAAACCTTGTGTCTTATAAGTAAGATTTTGCAGGTGAGAGCAACAAATGTCTTCTATTATCTGACCTATGAAGGATCGGTGAACGTGAATGCAATTGAGAATCCATCACAAGCCGAAGCAGTCAAACAACAAATACAAAGCTTTGGGCAAACTCCTGCTCAATTGTTAACCGAAGCTCATCCACCACGACATTCAGTGATGACAATTGTTTGTGTTCTTTTGAAAGATGCGAATGATTCAAAATTTTCAGACTCCAATGATGTTCCGGCGATGTGAGGACGATTTGTGCATGTTGATGAAGTTCATCTCTAACTCACCAATTGTTTACCTTGCTGCAAACACTTGGTCTCAACTTGCACAACCAACTGTTCTCTCAATCGCGAATAACCTTGTCTTTGCTCTCAATCGATGGGATAACGGTTATAAATGTAAATGAATGTCATTATTTCTAGACAAATCCGTAATTCAGACACTTCGAATCGTCCATCAGCTCTTGCAATGAACGATAAGCAAGCCGAAGCGGATGCTAATCAAGTGCAATCACTTTATGCAATCAATTCGTATCAAGTTTTAGGTCGAACTACCATTGACAGTGGATCCACTTTTGGCTTCAGGTAACCCATCGCAACCACCGCCACGAAGACATCTTGGCGATTCTTTCGATCAACGAATGAAAATTAAAGTAACGCCAAATAGAAAACAAGTAAAGCACAAGATTTCAGTGGAATAACTTTGTTTCAACAACCGATACTCGTTTCATCATCGCTTGTGGTTATCCGGACTATTCATTCCGAGTCATTGACCTTGATTCTGGTAAAAAAATGTATTGATTTCGTAAAATGAACTCTTTTATAGCTCGTGTTCGTCAAGTTGTTTATGGACATGGAGATGTGGTGACATGTGTGGCTAGATCGGAGACTTCTCTTTTTTCTGATTGTTATGTTGCAACTGGGAGTCTTGATTGTACAGTAGCCCTATGGCACTGGAATGGACAAGTGAGTTGAAAATATGATAAATCACAATAATCAAGTTGATTGAATATCTTTTGTTGCGTAAAAGTTTGAAGGTATTCAGTCGGGCCTCCTAGGATCCTCAATAAAGGGTAGCACAGAGAGTCCATTGAAAGGAAAGGGTGCGGAAAAGTAGCGAAATCAATGAGTCCTCATGGTGGATTGCCAGAGAGTCTGACTCAATCCGAGGGTGCGGGGTTCGATCCCGCCTGCAGTTATTGTTTTTTTAACACTATAGCCCTTAGTTCCCAATTATTCAACTAAAGTCTTGCCATAGCGGTAAAATTGCAGGCTGGAGTGGTCGCTGGAGAGTACAATCTACCCGGAGAGACACCATCACCGAGAGCAATTCTCACTGGACATGATGCAAAGATTACAGCACTTTCTGTTTCTGCCGAACATGGGATGGTTCTTTCTGGGTGTGAAGGTATGAATGTCACCAACCTAATATCATTAATTCTATTTGTTTAGATGGCACTGTTCTCATGCACACAACTTCTGGTGATCTGTTGAGAAGAATCGAAGGACCCGACAAAGTTAGTTGTAACTTCTCGACCTGACTCCGAAATTTTCAGGTTTCTCTGCTTTTCATGAGTCGCGATTGTGTGGTGTTTGTGCTTTATGGAACATCGATCATTCGCACATTCTCCACAACGGCAAGACCACTTGATGAACAAGTGATTCAGGTATAAAAAAGGGAATGGAACTTAGAAAGAAGTGTGTTTCAGGAACGATTAGAGTGCGCTTGCTTAACGCGTGATAGCGAATATGTGGTAGCTGGATCGGATAGTGGACGAGTACACATTTGGAGACTCTTTCCCCTTGAACATCTTTACACTTTCCAGGTAAGCAGTAAGTACAAGCATGACTTTCAAAGACGATTCTGAAGAATATACTGAAGAATAAAAGTACAGTACTCACTACAGTACGCCGGGAAACACTACGCTGTAACTTTGTATAGTCGTTGAATACTATAAGATGCTCAGGCTTAGATTAAAGGTATACTGTAGCTAGATAAAACAATGATTATGAGACTTTCTTGTATAATAGCTTTAAATAAAGCATAAATATGAATAAAATGAATTTGCAGCAAACGGATAGTCCAGTTCGATGTGTTGCTGTGTCAGCTTCTCATCGCTTCATTTTGGGTGGTCTTGATTCGGGTGCCATTGTTGTTTTCAATGTCGATTTCAACAAATGGTACTACGAATATAAACATCGTTATGCCGAGAATAAACGTTAGGATTAGCTCATTGAATTTCTTCACAAAATTTTCTGTGATTTTAAGTTCTACCCTTTTTTCCTTTCTGCATCATTCGAATAAACGCATAAACTGTGTTACTTTTTTTTGCTTTGCTTTGCTAATTCTATTTTCACGGCTGTTGATTATTTATTTTATTATTAACTTTATTATTTATTTATTATTACTATATTTTTTCAATTCCCCTAGTTAGACTGTTATCATTAAAAGGTTGTGACTTTCGCTCTCGAACAGACGTGTACTCGTGTTATTTTTTGTTTGTTTGTGTAATCATTGTCTCATAAACTTTCAAAAAGTTTATAAAGTGCCCTAAAATGTCTTCTTCTTTTACCGAAAATTCAAAAATTGTTTTGTTTATTCGATTTCAAAATGTGACTCGTGTTTGTTAGTGTCTTCGCGATGTGATATCTTCTCGTCTCCCGCAAATAATCCTTCTTTCCCCTTTTTTTCAACTTTTTACAAAAACAGCTGAAAATTTGTAATCTCAAATCAATATTTTTATGTGTAAACTAAACAATTAGTGTCAGATCTGCGAAAGACAATCTTTTAATCGTTTGATAAAGATTTATGAAAAGTTTTTCCAGACTTTTGCGCAAAATGGTCTTCAGCACTTGATCGGTATTTGGTTTTTGTTCCAAAATTTTGATTTCATGATAACACGTCAGGCGATAACAATTTTTGGAGAGGAAATTTTGGGGAAAAAGCGATTTCCCATTTTCCCTTGGATTGTGAAAACTCGTGGCGGTGACTCACGATTATTTCACAATTTTTCCTCATTAAAACTGTTGTGTTGTCGAAAACTTATTAAAAAGAGAATAATTCGGCACAAGTTGAAGTTAAAGATTTTTAACCGATGGTACAGTATCCTCGAACGATTTGGGTTGTGAGGCATTGCGAAAGAGAAGACAATATTGATCACAATTGGAGAAAAAAAGCGGTTCGTTCTTTTCTAGCAACAACAACAACAACAACAAAAAATATATGTGAAAGAAATGACATTCTTTTAGGAATTCAAAAAGTTTCATCATGATAACTCACCACTTTCAGCCCGTGGGAAAAAGCAAGCTGACGAATTGGCAAATAGGTAAATTGGTAGATGAAAAAAATAAAGTTATATTTGAATACAGAAATATACATTTCAAAATTAAAAATTTAGATTCAAGAATGTGACCATCAATCATTGTTTTGCTTCACCTTTTGATCGAACAATTGAAACGGCGGCTGCGATTGTTAAAGGGAAAAATTTGTTGATTAATGTACGTTAAAAAATAGATTTAAAAAATAAAATAATGACTCGATTTTAGCCGGAACCTGGTTTTATTGAAGTGTTGTATTTGTGCGAAAAGCCGCCATCTTATTGGGAAAATTCGGAGCTGAAAAAACACTATCCAGATGTTAATGAGAACTATCTACCATTTTTCACAAAGGTGTCACTTTTTAGCAGTAAACTGAAATAAAAACAGTGAAAGTCACACAGAATTGACTCAATCATTCATAGAATACATTGCCAAAAGAGGATTTTGGAGATGAAGGTTGTATTGATCGAGTTGGACGAACATTAGAACATATTTTTGGAAATTATCATGGAGATCTTCTATTTGTTAGTCATGGTGCAGCGATTGGGGCAATTCATGCGGTAGGTACTCACTAAAATCTCGTCACAACAATCAATTACAGAATTTGGTGAACGACTTCTTGTATGTCGGCCAGGCGACCGTGTCGAAATTTGTGGAAACGCAGAAAGGCGTTTTTGAGATGAAAACAACGAGCGACTCGAGTCATCTTTCCGATCAGCGAAATCTTCGACCTTGGTAGAACAACGAATTGCAAAAATACCGTTAAATCGAAATTTTTTTCTCACTAGAGTTTACTATAATTTATTGAACTTAATAGGCAAAAGATATTAGTTGTAATGACCGACATTGTATTCCATCACACTGTCGGAAAAAAATTCTGACAATAAGAGTTTACCGTCAAAATTGATATTTATGCTTTAATAGGTATTCAATTGATATCTTTAAGTACTATTGTGATTTGCTTTACTTTTTCAACGAAAAATGTTTCTTTTTGTGATTCGAAAAACCCAAAAATTTTTTCATCGAATGTGTTTCTTTGAATGCTTTTAATAAATTAATGTTTATCTCATAGTCAGATCTCTATCAAAAAAGATAAAGTCAAAATAGTTTCAAAGCTCATAAACACGTAGATCTTGAAAGAAGCACAAAAATTATCACAAAACAATAGAGCAATTCGTGTTTTGTTTTGTTTTATTCCGGAAGACTTCTGTACAAATGGGTTACCAGTGATGAAGGTGAATACAAGTAATACTGTGTACCATGCATCAAATAAAAGCTTCTTTTAATTGAAGCCAAAATTTTTTCTTCTCAAAACAGAAAACGGCACTTGTGTCTTTTTTTTCCACGCAAAGAAACGCAAACGCAAATTTGCCTATCTTTTACTACAATTTACATATCGTATTTTTATGACATGCCCAGAGAAGCACCGTTTTATCCCAACTAAATCATTTTTTCTCGCGAACCTCTGGACCAATTTTGTTCGGAAAAAAATAACTACGCGGCGCTCCTCTGGACATGTCATACTAAAAGTACGGTTTATGAAACTTGCACAATGCAATTTACATTTCAGATATGTAAATTTGCGTGGATAAAAGTCACAAGAACCAATCAAGTTCTTGTGATTTTTATCCACGCAATTTATCGATGAGTTGTATGCAAATTTACGGAAAAAGTCACAAGTACCCATATAACTAACTAAAATATATACAGTGATCACATTCGAAAGTTTCTTTGAAATAAAGCCTAGTTGGGATTTTTGAATCCCAAGCATGTCATGGAAAGGATATGTACAAACTGAAAGAAAATTCTCACAATCAATTTCTTCTCACTTATATGTAAGATTAGATCAATGAATTAATCGATTAAAGTTTGATGATTAAAATTTTAATTGACTAATGCTTTTTTTTAAAACTTTCTCGACGGGAGTACGGTACTTTTTCTCGGGCGCGTTTTAGAAAACGTATAAATCGCGAGGAAAACATTCTATCTTCTAAGTAAGATCAATCACTCGGAATGATTTCTATGTGATTTGGATCTTTTTTACTGCACTTTCGGCGAATTACACAGGTATATTCATGGGTTTCATTTCTATTGAATTTCACCGCACGAAGGTCTACTGTTGCACAACATTTGAGTCCCCTTTTGCGTCGATTTGCCAATGTCGACCCACCGACCATACGCAAGCGAACTGTATATTCGAGACTGAAATTGAATTGTTTTTATTTATCTAGAACTCTTTTTACCATTCATTGCTGTACTGGGCTGTGTCATGAAAAGCTGAATGTAATGCTTGTACGAGGGCAACTCGATCAACTCCTGGACATTCAACCAGTTCGAGATAGCTCAATCGATAGCAAAACTGAATTTTTTGTTTCTTGATTTAATCTTTGTTTATTATACCATGAACATATTGACAAAGAGATGAACATCGATGTTTAGAGGTGCCGGGAATTCTGGAGTATAGTTGAGGGAAAAGTGACGAAGCTGAAATTGGGAACTGTTTTGATTAGTAAGCTAATGTACCTGGGGAAGAGTCGAAAAAAGTTCTCTTAAACGTGATGCATCCAAATGGCCAATCACTGATAAACGGAGGCTAAATAAAATTCTTATGAGATATTTTCATTTGATCGTTTTTACCTTGTTAGGGTTTCTCCTAGACCGGCAATGTTGATAATTGCGGCAAAATCATAAGGTAATTGGCAAGCGGTGAGGGAAAGTTCTCTCAACGAGTGAAAAGCCGAAATTGAACGTAGAGCTGTGGATCCCCACCATTGACCTGAAAATGAATGGCTCAAACTGGAAATTCCCTCTGCAATTGTACCAATTGTCACGAGGCCGAGAGATAATTTTTTCATTCGACGCTGTGATCCGATACGTGCTAGATGATAACATAAACGATCTTCATTAGTGATTGATGTGGCCAAGATGGAGACTTCTAATTCCTCCAAACACGGATAAACATCCGAGAGATAAGCAAAGAAATCTCCGATAAATGAATTGTGAACACGAGTGTCCAAAATAAGAGGATGTCCGTGCATTTGAGAAGCCGAAGTTGATATTGAGGGTAAGGCCGACCGCTAAAATATTCAAGTTGATTTTTTAAAGGTACTGTAAATTGGGGTAAATTTTTAATTGATAAAGATATTCAGTCTTACTTTATATGCTTTTCATACTGTAATACAAGAGGCTGAGACTTTACAATAAAGGAGCAAAAAAATAGGACTTACATTTTTCATACGAATGGCGAAACGTTTAAGTTGATTGCTGGCAGGAAATAAAGAGGCTATGTTTAGTGGCAAACTGTAGCATTCAAGACGAAATGATTCAATCGAATGCATCGAACGAGAAATTGCACTAAATCCATCTTGAACTCGAAAATATTTTTGTGAACTACCGTAATCCATTATGAATGGAATGAGTTCCATTATAAAAAATCTCGAGTTCTTTTAATTGTGCGAAAAAGTCGACATATGTTTTGAGCAGATACGTCATCGCAATTTCATCAAGTTCGGTACGGAGAGTCAGCGACTTTATACTCATACAGAGGTTTGACATACTAAAAATAGTCAGGTTATATGCTATTAAAAGACAAATTGTACATGTAGATGTTTTTGACTTACGTATAGAGAACGTGTTGAGCGGTGATAAAATGTTGTGGAAGGTAAAGATCAACGGTAGTGAGATATTTTCCACATTTATGCAAAAGACCGCATACATGGGTATCACTGATCGGACGAAGTTGCAATAATTCAGTGAGTGTACCCGGAATTGAAACCGATTTTATCTAAAATTGATTTCTTTTTAAGGTTCTAAATTGGTTTCTTTTTAAGATTTCTTTAAGTTTTAAGGTTCCAGTGTTTTCACGAAGATTGTTCCTTAAATTAGAGCTGCTCACCTTTTTCCAGCTATCCAACAAAATATGACGCCATGTACAAGAAACCCTTTCCAGACAAACACGGTTTCTAAAACTTTTTATTATAGAAAATTCGATTTTGTAACCTTAGCGGAATGAAATCGAGAATCTTCTCTTGAACATGCTTCGGCAAAAAGTCAAACGGAAAATAATCTGCATGTTTTCGGCTCGATCGGGGCGAAAACTGTGGGCTGTTTGTAATGAGAACCTGTAATTTGAGTTTTTTAAGAGTTATGAGCTATTGGTACGACATACTTTTGATACGACATCAGATCCGGGACTAACGTGATGTTCTTCAAGAAGTGAATTTCCCTTTTGTTCGATGAGTTCCCTACGCCTGCGCTTTCGCTGCATGCTTCTAGAAGTTTTCATGATAGTTTATTGGATTAGAAATGAACGATAATGTTGTAAAAAATTGCAAATAAAAAAGTAAAAAATAAAAATAAAAACAAATAAAATGCACCTTTTTGGAGTACATTCGAAATATGTGTCTCAAATGCCATACAATTTAGCGTGACTAAATATTTTTAGGTTTTGCTTTTAAAAATTTGCGAGCTTACCGATTTATAGTTTGCTTACTGATTTGTAATACCGCGCATTTTTCGTTAGAAAGGGAAAAACGAGTGGAAATAATTAATTGGCTGTTTTCTAATACATCGCACAGCTAGGCTAGCGTATAAAATGCTCAAGCTTTCCCCTCGGTGATAGATGGATGAACAGAGATGGTAGATAGGTAGAAAACTTGCTATTTAGACACAAAGACCTTAACCCCTTTTTTATTAGCTAAAGGATTGAGATTTACAAAGCCCGTCAATTTACAACTCTTCAATGTGATTCAACCTGGCAACGTGCCAGGGCCACCACTCATTTCTATTTCTCGCCCTTCGTGGCAGCCCGTATACACGCTGGGTACGGCCAGTGGCTGCATCGATTTTGTGTCTGTTCTTCGGTTTTCGGCCAGTGCAAAGGAGCCGATAGGATTCTCCCAGTTCATTTCAGTTGTGCCTTCATTCGAGTGTCGTTCTTTCTAAACTTGAATTTTTTTTCCAACTTTATTCTAATACAGTTGACTTATAAAATATTTTCATTTTAGATGGCTCAACCGACGCCTACCAGCGATGAACTGGTTGCGTACATTCAAAACAACGAGCAAGCGATGTATGCGCCCTTCTTTGGATCACTCGGAGTTACGGCTGCAATGATGTTCACGGCGGCTGGATCGGCTTATGGGACAGCAAAATCAGGAACAGGAATCGCCTCGATGGCTGTGGCTAGACCCGATCTCGTGATGAAAGCTATCATCCCCGTGGTTATGGCTGGTATCGTCGCCATCTACGGACTCGTCGTAGCAGTGATTATTTCGGGAAAAATTGGACCAGGAGGCAAAGACTACACGATAAATCAAGGATTTTCTCAATTTGCTGGTGGCCTCGTTTGTGGACTATGTGGACTGGGCGCCGGATATGCAATTGGAGTAGCCGGTGATGCTGGCGTCAGAGCACTCTCCCAACAGCCTCGATTTTTCGTTGGAATGATTCTTATTCTTATTTTTGCAGAAGTGTTAGGTCTTTATGGAATGATCGTTGCTCTGATCTTGGGAGCAGCATAATTTAGAAATTTTGATATTTGTCATTTTCTTTTCATTCCTCTAGCGTGTGATAGAGTATAGGAATTTTCTTTGGTGAAAAATCTAATACTGGTCTCCTTTTCTTCTTGTCATTTTCTGTATTATATTTTGTGAAATGTACATAGAAGTTTGAATTTGGTATAAATTATCCAATTTGCAGGTGAAGAATGTCTTACGATTTGGCCACTGCTGAGCGAGCGGCGTATGCCCCATTCTTTGGCTACATGGGCGCAGCTTCAGCGCAGATATTCACCGTCTTGGGAGCCGCCTACGGAACCGCCAAGTCAGCCGTCGGAATTTCTTCAATGGGAGTAATGAGGCCAGAGCTGATCATGAAATCTGTCATCCCCGTTATTATGGCTGGTTAGCTTTTATCTCGTTAACATTTCATGTCAATTTTTAGGTATCATTGGTATTTACGGTCTTGTCGTGGCTATGGTGTTGAAAGGAAAAGTGCAAGCCGCCTCAGAAGGATACACATTGAACAAGGGTTTTGCTCACTTGGCTGCCGGACTCACTTGCGGCCTTTGTGGTCTTGGTGCTGGATACGCCATCGGAATTGTAGGAGATGCTGGTGTCCGTGGAACTGCCCAACAGCCACGTCTTTTCGTCGGAATGATCCTTATTCTCATTTTCTCTGAGGTAAGCTTTTTCAAAGTAATATATCTAAATTTTATCTAAATTTAGGTGCTTGGGCTTTACGGAATGATCGTCGCTTTGATCCTCGGAACCTCGTCATAAATGAAAAATGGCAGCTTATATAGCGATTCATCATTCCGTTTTGGCCGGTTATTTTTCTGTCAATTTGAAAAACTGTTCTCATTGCATGTTGTTCCCATTCATGTTTCTTATTGTGTTAGTGATCTTTATGTGATACCATTATAAATAATTTTTTACACAGATCCTAACTAAGCCCCTTTTATTCGCCTTTGAATAAAAATCTTCTGTACCAATTGTTCTTTACTGGCTGGTTGTTTCCAAAACCCTTATCGCTACTTTCTCATATTTAGTTAGTGTAGGTTTCTTGCCATTAGTCAAAAATAAATTATCTATCAATCTTCATACGTCGTCAAAATGCATCAAAAAAAAGTAAAAACACGTCTTTCTAAAGACTTCATATTGGGTCAGACACTTACATATTTTTTGAATCTTTCGACTCTAAAAGTTCTAGATGAATTATGCAAATTGGGGCCTGACAGGCGCACAAAATCCCAGCCAATCCAAAGGTGTCATGGAGGAAGTTATGCGCAGTGGAAACATACCAATTGCTGGGAAAATGGGTGAACCTTTTTCTAAAAAATAATTGTTTATGTGATTTAGGTGTTGTTGGCGGCGGTGGTGTAGTTCCTCCAGCTCTTTTGGATGAATCTCGAGTGCCGAAATTTTATTTAGATGCTCTGACTGCTTGTGGTGCTGTCAATTCTAATATGCTTCCACACACTGCCCTTGGTATAGTTTTGTAATTGTTTTAAAGTTACAAATGATTTTAGTTTATAACTTGATGGTGACATCCGGATTGCCTCGTCCAGTTCTTTCATATATTTGGAGTGCAGTGAATCGATCGCTACCAGGACAACTTACTCGCTCAGAATTCTTCTCATGTCTGGCTTTGATTGCACTTGCACAGGTATACAGTCGAATATATACAGTCGAACTTCTCTATAACGATATTCAAGGGACCGAGAATAAATATCGGTATATAGAAATATAGCTATACAAAAAATCGTTAAGTAGAAGCAAAAATCATACGGTTTCTAACCAGATCGCTATCTAAAAGCTCACCAATGAATTAATTAACAAAATCAACAATTAAAATATGAGCAATGAACCAAGATCTAAAGTTTAGCAAAGAAATTCGTCAAACGCGATTGTTTTTGGAAAGTGAAGCTCGACTATAGAAGAGATCCTCGATAATGTTTGCCGCTTGCATAACTTCCCCGCTGGCATTCTCTTTTATATACTCCCGGATTGAAAATGACGAAATGCTTCATTGCAAGATATTGGATGCTTTTGTTCTTCTTGAAGTCTTTCGTTATGACTTTCCGAAGAAATGTCCAACGTTTCGATGCCTTGAACTGGCTGGCTATCTCTTGCAACCTTCGAGTCCCTATAGTTACAATATTTTCATCAATACAGACGAATTCCAAAGCTGTTGTAAGAAAATCAACATCATTTTCCGCGGTCAATTGATCTGAGCTAGGAGTTAAGGTTTTAGTTATGATACTGTCGTCATCACGAATTTGAACTCCAGTGTCATCGTCTAATCTAAAATCGATTTTTCGGAAACAATTAGACAATGTTTCCACTTTCACTTCAGTCTAAGCCCGTTCAAGTAAATGGATCGCATCCAAAAGGTCGAATTCAAAATTTGTATTTGGATCAATGGATGTTATTCGTCGTTTCATCAGTAAACATCGGTATTTTATCTTCAAATTCTTTATGATCCTATATCCATTAGCTGAATTGACACATCCATTGGCAGCTGTGGCATTTGGGAGAAAGTCGAAATACAGTCGAATGTTTGATAAAGTAAGCTTTGGATGAGCTGAGCAGTTGCCAATGAAAAGAATAATCTTCCTATTAAACTTCACTAAGTTTGCATTCCACTTCATGAGGTAATTCTCAAACAATTCACCGGTCATCTACGATTTTGAGTTCGCTTCGGAAAGAACCAGCAATTGTTTCGTGTTCTTAAAACACTGGTTGCTTTGTTTTTCCGATAACTAAAAGCAGGCATTTCTCACTCCCGTCCATGTTCGAGCCAACAAGAACTCAATCTTTCCTTGCTCTTTTTTTGAATGTAGGACATTGAAAACAAACTTGTTTGATTTAAGAAAAATCGTTGTAGAGAAATGCAGCTTAGAACTATTTTTCCAAAAAATATCGTTATAAAGAAAGAATCGTTGTATAGAAGCTTGTTTGTTAACATTTTATGAAGCGTTTTGCCGGGGCTCAGAGAAGTCATCGTTATGTAGAAAGTCGTTATAGAGAAGTTCGACTGTAAATCTAGTTTTGATCCATAAAAACTTATATCAATAAACAAGCAGCATAAAACAAGGACTTTATCGGATGCTTTAACTTATGACTTAAGTGTTTAGTGTAATTAGCTGCTCGGTTTACAAAATATGTGCAAACGCTTAACAATCTTTTTAAAGGGGCATTTTGAGTAAAATAATGTATTTAGAGAGGAGAATCATTGGTGGCTCTGTCTGAAATGCAACAACTGCCACTTCCTCATCTGCAGGTATAGTGCTGGTTTTGAACTGAAGAACCGAGCTTGCTATAACTTTACCAAAATAATTGCTTTTACTAACTGGCCCCTCATCCTATCTAGACATTCACAATTTCCTCTACGGTGCCACCTGCTTCTAACACATCACAATCTGAAGCTTCTGCACCGCCAGTTCTTGCTGTGGTACGCCCCCCTCCTTCCTCATCAAATCCCATACAAAGGCAGCAGGTATACCTGGTTCACAACTAAATTCACACCACCTAGCTCTTTATCGCACTATATTAGCATTTTTTAAATGTTTGCACAAATATAAGGTAGACGCAAGTATTAGTTTCTAGATTCCCAGCAACAGCAGTTCCGCTCAAACAGCATCGCCATCAAAGTCACGTTTTATCCCATCTGCATTTATCCCTTCAAGTTTATTGCCAAGATGGTCAGAGGTGCGAGCTTTGTTTTCTATGCTAATATAAATCTTTTTTAGAAACCATCATCGTCAAATACGACATCTGTTAAGAAAACGACCGAAGTACTTTCTGGTGTCTTTCCATCAACAGGTTCTTGATATTTCACTAGAAATTATTCTTGTTTTTAGATACCGCTTCAAGCTCAAACCGAACTGCTAGTCAACAAACGTCAACCAACTGCGAAGATCCCATGGAAGTTTCCAAGTCGATTGTTCTCGATAGCTCCTCACATTCTACCAGCGAAACAATAAGTACCGATGCGACTATATGCTTGAATAAAAGGTAATAAACTGCACCACTTGTTGGATGCCTTTTTTAACAAACCGTTTGTAACTTGAAAGTTTAGTGATGAGAAGCACATGGAAGGACACGGAATGCATAAAATCGAAAAGGATGACCCGTAAGAATTAAGGAGTTAGGATTAATTTCACGACAAGTATAATATTTTGTGTCTGTCAATAGCTTACAAATTTTAGGCGCTTTCTTGAATGCTGGGTAAAAGCTTTGTCTGCAGCAACATCAATAATGGAAGAGGCAAATCTCCTCATTGGATCAGACTTGGATAGTGGCGTTTTAACGGAAGTAGCAAACACAAAACGTGGACAGTCCTACTACGATTCCTTAGAAAAGGTTATTTTATTTTTTTTTGGCAACTTGTTATTCTTTTAGGATCAACGGATCATCAAACGCTTACTTGTTAGTGGAAGAAACTCATTGCCACCCGAAGTCAGATTGCGCGCCGAAAAAGCACTAGAAGTTTGGATTCGTCTTTCGAATTTTCATGTCAAGTCGGAAAATGACCTCGATCTGAAAGAATTGTGGTTAGCTTTTTCCTACTTTTACGAGTATTATAATTTTAGGACTTGTGGCATTTGTGCCCAAGGGATATGTAGCAATGAGGAAGTCGAATATGGGGGACATAAATATCACAGTGATTGTGCAAATTTGTGGGTGAATTGTGTTACTCCCATTTTCCCAATAACCTCTCAGTGAGCTAGTAGTTTCGTAAAAATTTTTTTCAGATTTTCATGCATTTTTGCTTATGAGATGGTTTTCTGATAGTAATGTTTCTTTTGTGTTTATGCATTGGTGCCATTGTATATTCTAATAATTTTTTCAAGGCTTAAGGAGCTTTTTTATAATCGCTCTAGTCAATTTCTTTCAGATTCACTTACCTATTTGTTATCACTGAGTGATGCTTAATATGACTTTGATATATGCAGCATGTATACTTTGCATAAATAAAATGATTTATAATTATTATGCTAATATGGCCCAAAGACAGGAAAGACAATCAATAAGTAGGAAAACAAGATTAGAGATCATTTGAGAAGTCTTCGTCGGAATGATTTTCGGGTGTTTGCTTGCTTGTTTCGTTTTCTTGATCCTCTAAGTTCTCGCGTTTTTCGGTGATCGAAGAGTTTACGGTATCACGCGAATTATTTACTGCAACATTGTGGCTTTTCTGAAATGTTTTGTATGAAAGTAGTGTAGAGTCAGTGTTTCGTTACCGGCTTGTTCGCCAAGTGATTACTTCTAATCTCAGTGGCTACATCTTGGACCTGAAAGATTTTTCTTCTTCCTAAGATCGTTTTTCTTTACTTACCACTGTAATCTCTTCTCCGATTGGTTTTTCAATATTAGTTTGCATCGTGATTAGCGTAGCCTTCACTTGGCCTTGAAGTTCAGCTAATAGTTATTTTATTTTAATATTATTAAATGTAATATAATTACTCTTTATCCATGCTTCCGGTTTGCTTTCATCGGAGTTCTCATTTTCTTCTCGATTATTTAGCAGAGTTGTTTGCTTTTTCTAAATTGTTCCTTTAATTTGATTTGAATCGTAAACAACCGTTGTTGTTGGTGATGGTTGATCTCTGCTTTGTGGCCGGCTTGATGAAGAAGATTTTTGTCTTTTCGGTGAATTTCGTCCGGTATTTCGATTAGCCACATTCGTTGCGGCTGGTTTCTAAAACTCTTTTTTGTTTTACGTGAATTTTGTGTTTTCCCTTCAAACCGGTGGTTTCTTTGTTGCTGTTGGTGTTTCTGGCTGTGTCTCGATGAGCTTCTTTTTTGCTTCTTCAAGGTTCAGTGTTCGATCCTAAAAACATCACTCAACATCTTAAAAATTTCAAATCCTCTTTGGGAGTTATTACCTCCCTATAACTTCACAGGCAACAAGGGAAAGAGTTATAGACACAAATGGGGAAATTCGGAAAAGACATCATTCTATGAATTCACCTTCTTTCTAAAGCGAGCTACCGTTGTTCCAACAAGTAAAACATCCTATCAAAGAAAAAATTAAGAATTAAAATGACGAGTTTATGATTGAAAGAGACAAACTTGAACAAGGTCAGGCTCAGAAGAAACTTCGTCTCTTTCTCCCTCTTCTTCTTGTGTCCTTCTTGTGATAAATGGAACTTGAGCTGTTCGATTTCGTGGTGCTTCCACTGAAATTCTCAATTTCTGTATATGTTATATCCAATTTGAATTGAAACATTATTGTACAGCATGGTATCATGTGTTTAAATGTTATTAATAATTTTCTAGAAATTTCATAGAAGTTTAACTTTCTTAAGTTCTTGAGAAGTTAAAAGGCTTTCTTGCATTTTACTGTGAATTCGAAGCAAAGCATATCAAAACGTGTAAATAAACTATTTTTTCGGAAAAATGTGGAGCTAACGGGCTGTTCTAGGTTGCCAGAGTTAAACTTCTATGAAATTTCTAGAAAATGACTAAAAACATGATACCCTACCGTGCAATAATGTTTCAATCCAAATCAGATATTCGATTTGGATTGAAATCCAAATCGGATCTGCGCGGTGAATTCAATCCAAATCGGATACAACATTTATGTTTTCTATGTCTTTTAGGCACGGGAATGTTCCAAAAACGTGTTTTTTTAAATTCTTCCGTTAGTTTTTGCTCTACGCTGCTGTGAGAGTTCACGAAGAATTCTGAAGAGATAGATTGGACAAAAGTTAAAGAAACAAACTTACAGTAGCCTAGAGAATGAATTACCCATTTAAGTGCGACACACTCTATTCATTATTCTCTTTCACCTGTCACAGAGCGTGTCATTGATAGAACATTCGGTCTAGTCACTGATCGAGACTCATGTCTTCGCCCAGTTGCTGAAATTTTCTTCTTAGTTCAGCGTTCACATTTCATTATCAAATTAAATCAAATCCTCACTTATATGACTGGGATCTCGTGGTGTCGATGATCCAAATGCCCATCCACCACGTTCTTGTCCTAAACATATTTCCCTTAAAATTCATAAAACTTTTCTCATCCAGATATTTGTTGTGCATTCAAAGTGCCACATGCTCAATGCGCTTTTGCATGTGTGTGCTTGTGGTGTTGAGGGACTTCCGGTGGAAGGAGCACAGAGTTGGCCTTCTTCTCTTCTTTAAGGTACGCATACCCATTGCCACTTTTTCTTTCTATTTTCATCTCATTCTCCTCACATTTTTACCTCCTCACTAACCCCAAAAGCAGCACTTTTCATTTGAGACCTCTCACTCTTTCTATCTCTACATTTCTTCCTCTGCTGCTTCCGGCAATTCTACGCGGTGTCTCCAAAAATTCTCAAAGTCATCACAAAGACACTCATGCAGTGTTTGTTGTGCTAAAGTTTCGAAGAAATAACCCTAATAAAGAGTAATACTTTCTGAACACCGCATGGAGTTCATGGGTAGAGGGAAAGGGGTTTAAAGAGCCAAAGAATGTAAGCTCGATTCCCTATTTTCGAAAGGATTGGCCCAATTTGGCTGAAAGCTTATTTTCGGCTCTCACTCTCCCTCACTAAAATCCCCAAAATGGCTACGATTGCTTGTTTTATAACGCTGTTTTTGCGGGCGAATTTCACTATTTCTCGCCCACAATTTGTTTTAGTTTTAGGCTTGTGATTGGAATTGTTTTGAACGATCGAAGATAAACAACATGCCTGCTGGTGTCAGTGAACGAGCCTGACGCATATATTCCATGAGACTTGGTCCATTCTGAGCCCCCGCTGGCATTTTGATATCATATTGACGAAATTTTCGTGGAACCTATAGAAAAAGTAGAGATATGGAAAATGTAGTGAATACCCTGCTGAGATAGGAAAAATCACGAGGAGTCGATGAACCGAAAGCATACGAAATACCAGCTGCTTCTTTTTGTCGTAATCTTTCACGTCCTCGAGATGAGGCCATCACCGATTTTAGAGCTGAAAAAGGAACTGGATTAAGCCGTATTCTGTTTGAAAGACACAAAAAGTAAGTTTAGACAAACAAAAAGAAATCTTTATTACATTTTCGTAGGGATCTTTTTTTTTGTTTTGAGGGAAAGAGAGTGCGGCAAATAATGGAGTGCAACGACGAAGAGGGGGTCATCCAAGTAACTTTCATGCAAAATTCAGCGAGCGATTCCACTGAACAAATAAAAAATTGTCGTAGTGGTCGGCCCATCCGACGCAGATCGATCCAATTACTTTTTGCATTGAGATGAAGAGTTATATAGAAACATTTTGATAGTCATGTTCTGAAAAGGAATTTGCAAACATTTTTACCTAGCAAGCATTGGACCCAAAGAACAAGAATTACATCATTATTGGTAAATAACTCTTTTCGTTTTTTTTGGTACTTCTGCTGAAAAATAACAAATTCACCAATTAATCTATGGTTTCCTCTAAATAAAAAGTGTTTATTGTTAAATTTTCCATCCTTTTAAGTCAAAATCCAGACATAAGACATTTTAAAGCCGTTTTGATGTTATTTTGCAGGGAAATAATTGACCTTTCTAATGAAATAAACCGTAGTTCAATTGGTGCATTTGTTGGTTCTAAACCGAAGTACGAAAAGAAACGAAAAGACTTTCTGGACAGTCTAATTTATGATTCCTTTTAACATACCACTCCAATTTTCCATCTTTTTAAGCAAATTTGGGTACAAAAATCCAGACATAAGATATTTTCAACACCTTTTAATGTTATTTTGCAAAAAAAAATAATTGGCCTTTCTAATGAAACAGACCGCAGTTTGATTAGTGTATTCGTTGGCTTTAAATGGAAGTACAAAAAGGAATGAAAAGACTTATTCATCAACCTAATAGAAATGAAATCATTACAATTTTCGACATTAGGTAAAGTGAGCAAGATGTTGAGATGTTGAAGGGCTAAAAAGGGGAGAAACGGTGGGAGAATGAGGGTCGAGAAATGGGCCTGGAGGGGCAAAAAGTGGGAAGGGAGAGGGTAGGGGGCACAATGTTGCTTTACGGGGTCCCATTAAGGTCCGCCCTTCGTCCCACCATTGTGGGAAGTATAAAAGACTATCTTCCTAAAATATACATAAAAAAAACCTTTTAGAAAAATGAAGCCAAAATTTTATAAAATATTTTATTCATTGCATTGCTTTTATATGATTTGCATCTTTAAAAATAAAGTTCAGCGTTCCCAAAGACTGCTTTTGCCAGGGTATAAGAAGTGTGTTTTTTAAATCAGAAGTCTTTATTATTTGTGACAGTAATCACAATTTTTTAAGATGAATGTTATACGGTATGCAATTTTTTTTGTTTCTTTATTATCACACAAAATGAAAAGAACCCTTCCCAGCCTACACAATGAAGAGAAGCTTCAGGATTGCCATAATCACTCTCACATGTCTATTCGGTTATTTGAAACAACTAGAAACCGCTAAAACAAAATTTGAACTTTAAGCTTTTATTTTGCACGGAAAAAGACTTTTGTTAAGTTTGCGATTTTATTTTTTTCTCCAGACAAGTCACACCTCCGCATTTTCAATGCAACGAGAAATGATGATTAGATTTGATTGCTCACATCTTGCTGAACTGAAGATTCTGAAACAAATCTTATTTTCTTTCACTTTTGACGATGATATTCATTGTTTGCAATTAATTGCAATTAAAAAAATTGTGATTACTGTCACAAATATTATTATTAATATCATATAATCATTAATATCATTAATATTAATAAGCAATCTTAAAATTCAAAAATCAAACATTCTTATACCTCGACAAAAGTAAACGAAAGAGAAAATGGATGGGGACCACCCACTCTGTCTGGGCCACCTACGAGGGGGAAAAAGGGAAATCGACCAAAGAGAATCAGGGGATTGAAAGGGGGAAAGGATAGACAGACAAAAAGAGAAAAGAGAAACGGAATAGATCGGAAAAAAGATAGGAAACCAGAAACCAGTCAGTGATTCCCAGTCTCAATCGAAGATCAATCATGCGAAAACACGGGAAATCTTTTGTCTGCAAAAGCACAACAATGTTTGAGGGACTGTTTCAAAATGTGAAAGGCAATGCTCTGGAATTTAAATGATAGTACAGTATTAATACTTTCAAAGTGGGAATATCGTAGTTTACCCAACGGAAAAAGTGACACATCAGAGTTTCAATTGTAAAAGATTTACTGGAAAAACTTTTAAATTTCCATTAAAAGTTAGAAAAGATATTTATAAGAGAAAGTTGTAATCGAGAGGACGTTGATACTGTTCAAATTCATCGTGCAATTTTGAAACAATAATTTTTAAGCATCATAAAGTACCGAGCAAAAGTCTTGCAACATCACTTTTTCAAAAAAATCGATGAAATTTTTTTATAGAAAATGCCACCGGTTCGTAGGGCTTTTTTGTTTTTAATTAGAATAATACATGTACACTTTATTTACAAAAACAAATTTGAAGTTCAGCGTAAAAGAAAAAAGTAAATGACAAAACTACTAAAAAATACCCTAAAAACTGGGTGCAAAAGTCTTGCAACATTATACAGAAACATCAAAAATTAATATTCAATCGGTCCACCTTTTGCCAAAATCACTTCATTTAATCATTTAGACATTGAGTCGACTAATTCGTGAAGAATTGCTGGGCGAATTGAGCTCCAAACTTTTCGTATGTAGAACCATAAGTCAACTTTTGTGTGAAAGTCTTTTCCTCGTAACTTTGCCTTCACGTAAGCCCATAAATTCTCAATAACGTTTAAATCAGGCGACATAGGGGGCACATTGACCAACAAAACATTATTACGGGCAAACCATCCAGGGAGATGAGCTTTTCCTCCATTTGAGAGATTCACCGTGCGACCCATCATGAGCTTGCTCTTGTGGACCGGCGAATTGTCCTGGTAGAGAAACCATTCAGGAGCCATGTGATCCTGAGCAAATGGAAGTAGACATGCTTCTAGTATTTCCATACACTGGCGAGCATTCATGGTTGACTGGACGAGGACGAGCGGACCTGCCACATTTTTTGTCATCGCCCCTAGAAAAAGACAAATTAATGCATGTATTAGAAATAAGGCTTACCAAAGCACATGATTGATCCTCCGCCAGCTCGCATTGTAGGTCGCACATATTTAAGGAGTATTCGCTTTCCTCTTCGTCTGATCAAGTGGTTGCCTTTTGGAGAAAAGATATCCACTTTTGTTTCATCGACAAAAATCATGTTGGCCCAACCCTGCTTTGTCCAACTTTGGTACGTCCTGGCGAATAGAAGCCATTGTTTCCTGTGGCCAGCGGTCATCAAAGGCTTTCGTACAGCCCTCCGGCTATACAGTCCTGCTTGAGTCAATCGTCGAGAAACGGTCCATCGAGAGATATCCTTGTTTGCAACATCCTTGATCAGCTGAGCTCCCTCAGTTGATGTCATGTTCGGATCCTTCTTGGAAGCCATCACAAGTATTCGATCCTCTTTTGATGTTGTTCTTCTTGGGCGTCCTTTCTTCTCTCTTCGGTGCATAAGTCCAGTTGTTTTTGCTTTTGAAACAATGCGAGAAACGGTCGAAGGATCGCATTTGAAGAGATCGGAGACAACGGCTCGAGAAATTCCTTTTTTTCTTGCTTTCATGATTTTTTCTCTTTCGGGAGTCGTCAATTAGGTACCTGGCATCTGAAAAAAACAAAAATTAGTGTAAATGAATAAATTTGAAAACAATAAAAATGAGAAACATAGAATGTTGCAAGACTTTTTCACCCAGTTTTTAGGGTATTTTTTAGTAGTTTTGTCATTTACTTTTTTGTTTTACGCTGAACTTCAAATTCATTTTTGTAAATGAAGCGTGCATGTATTATTCTAATTAAAAACAAAAAAGCCCTACGAACCGGTGGCATTTTCTATAAAAAATTTTCATCGATTTTTTTGAAAAAGTGATGTTGCAAGACTTTTGCTCGGTACTGTATTAGGTTGGCAACTAAATAATGGCCCTCGCCCTTTTTTGATAAAATCTTTTAATCTTTGCGTTTAATCTACCCTCGCTTGTTGTTAATTGAATATTACTGAATTTCTGGTGCATTATTATACGTTTTTTACTTTCCTTGATTTGATACTTTTCAAATAATTTTGTTTAGAAATGGAAGATCTCAAATATCGAATGCGTGTCTGTCTCTGGTACGACTACAAACAAGACAAAACAGCTGCCGAATCCCACAGAGATTTATTGCGAGTTTTTGGTGATGAAGCTCTTTCCGAAACACAATGTAAGAGATGGTATCAACGGTTCGAGGAAGGGGATGAAAGTCTTGAAGATGAGCCTCGCCAAGGACGACCCGAACTTCTGCAGAACGATATTTTGGAAGCAGCTTTAAAGGAGGATCCAAGTCAAACATCACGCGAGCTAGGGGATCGATTGGGCCTTTCGCATACTGCAATCGAAAAGCGACTTCATGCATTGGGGAAAAGTAACCGCAGTGGAAAGTGGATTCCGCATGAATTGAGCGAAGAAAATAAGGCTACTCGTGTTATCACCGCTGGAATACTACTAAAACTTGCGAAAAAGGGAAGCTTCTTGGATTCCATTGTCACTTCTGATGAGAAATGGATCTTTTATGATAATCGAACGCGAAAACGACAGTGGCTTAGCACAAACGGAGACCCAAAACCAACGCCGAAGCCGGATATTCACTCAAAGAAAACTCTCCTCTGTGTGTGGTGGAGTTCTCGTGGGTTGGTGCATTTCGAGGTTCTCAAAAGCCGGCAAACGGTTAATTCAGAACTCTATTCGTCTCAACTACATCGTGTAGATCAAGCAATTCGCTCTCAAGGACTCGAACCCTCTTCAATTCATTTTCTCCATGATAACGCAAAACCACACACTGCAAAACTTACAATGGAGAAAATCGAGGAGTTGGGCTGGAATGTTCTTCCTCATGCGCCATACAGCCCGGATATGGGGCCTAGTGATTACCATCTTTTTCGATCGATGCAACACTTTCTAGCCGAGAAAAAGTTCAATGACCTTGACGAAGTCCGAATTTCAGTGCAGAAGTTCTTTGACGATCAACCAGAAGAATTTTTCAAGAGAGGTATCCAGTTGCTCCGTCAAAAGTGGAAAGAAGTAATAAAGAATGACGGAGAATACCTTTTGGATTGATGTTGATATTTGTTCATCTTGTTAATAAATTTTTTGTTTTTACTGAAAAGGGCCATTATTTAGTTGCCAACCTGATATATTATCATATAGTCCGTCTGGGTTCTTATTCTCCTTGTTCTTCAAGTTATAAGACTATTGAAAAGTACTGTCCTGGTTGGCTACAGTATCCCAAGGGAAAAGTATTCAGTTTATTTTTTTTCCGTATTATGGGTGCAAATAATTATCGCGGAGATATAACCCATGAGAATCGAAAGCAGATTATGTAAAATTTATTTGTAGGCAAATTGCGGAGGTAAAAACACTGATCAACGGTATAACCCATACCGTAAAAATTTTTCTAACGATCCATCTTTTGGTGTCTTTTAAGAATTTTCTCCAAGGTTTTACGTTGCGCTTGGGTGACACTGATAATCTATCTTGGATTAACTTCAGAGGTCCAACTCTTTTCATTGTGATTTACCACCACACTCCCCTTTGACTCTTTCCTCTTTTCTTGAGAATATTCAGGGCACGCTATTCAGCCGCTTTTTCAATCAAAACCTTCATTTCAATCCTTTTTTTACTTACTCCCTTTCTTATTAGTTTTTTATCGAAATGACACAATTTTCAAGAATCAATTAATCATTTCTTAAGCCCCAATCTCCCATATTTTGATTGACCTCAGTTTGGGTTTATTTTTAATTTTCATTCAAAGAAAACAATCATTTGCTATAGTTATTTCAACAAGGAACGACAATGGTTTTATGCAAGAAAATCTCGTTGAAAAGCTGTAATCTAATGAACTATTTCCTGTATTCGCTTATTGTCTCGACGATCTTCACTTTGCGCGGATTGTGTTCCGTTTTCGAAGTCTATCGTGATGTTCCACTCAACTCTTCGAGAAGCAGCGGTAAGCATTTGCTTTCATAAACATATAAAAATATTCTGGTGTCAAGCTTTACTCTTTATGCATCTTACATCATATATCATTTCAGTGCCACTTTTATTGGTTGGTTGTGTCGGAATGTTAATATCAATCTCTCAATTACAAATCCCCCCTGAAAAGGTCTCTCTTTTTAGCCTAAAAGACTTTTCAATCTCGATGAGAAAAATTTCAGGCTCAAATTTCTTTGGACTTTTCTTGGTATTTCTGGAATCTTGCCGCAATTCTCATCTCTTTCTCTACAGCCACTGATGCATACGAACAGGTATTTGAAAGAAAGAAAATATTGAGCAAAAGAAAAGCTTCGGTCATAAAGTATTTGAAAAGGAAAAGAAATAGCTATTCATGCAGCGGATCTTTTCTTCTTTTTATCCAAATCATCCAATTCTCACGGCAACTCATCCCTCATCGAATTGAGTTATATCGCTTCAAAGAGTTCCCGATTTTGGACATCTTTCGTAGTAAAAACTTTCTGATATCAAGAAATTATGTATTGATTTTTTTTGTTCTTCTGTCTCTCATAGATAGTCTTACCAATCAATTGCAATTCCATTACAGTATACCAGAATAGAAAGTATTGTCGTTGATTGATTAACACGAATACCTTTTTGCTTCGCTTTAAGTATCTGAAAAATCTTCAGTTTTGTCATTAAAATAATTTTACTTTCAGACTGTAGCGCGGCAAGAGGCTGACACTTTAAAGTATCAATAACCTTTGCTAACTAGCTCAACTCAAAGCGATCACTCAATGTTTGAATGGCCTTCTCAAAATTTTACAAAATTGATCTTATTTACTTTTTTGCGAATTTGGTTTTTTCAATTTGGGCAAAGCAAAAAATGAGCGAGGAGGATAAGATAGATTGAGGAGAGAATGAGGAAAGTAAAGGGGAGGCTTTTGGAAGCGGAGAGGTCTCAATTATTCCGAAGAATTGGGAAGGATCGAAAGGAAAGGATGGAGCCATCCCCTTCCCCCATCCCTTCATCCCCTCCATCTCTTCTTGTTCCTTTAAAGCCTTGTTCGTTTCAATTCTTCCGATGACATCACATCTCATACAAATGCTCCCATTACTTTTACTCTCATTTTCAATTTGTTTTCAATTTTAACCTGTTCAGAAAGGTTTTCGTTCCTTTTTATAATTCCGTTAAAAAATAACAAATTCACCAATTAACCTATGATTCCTCTAAATAAAAAGTGTTTATTGTTGAATTTCTCATCTTTTTAAGTCAAAATCCAGACATAAGACATTTTAATAAACTAGTTTTAATGTTATTTTGCCGAAAAATAATCGATCTTTCTAATGAAATAAACCATAGTTCAATTGGTGCATTTGTTGGTTTTAAACGGAAGTATGAAAAGGAATAAAAAGATTTTCTGGACAGCCTATAGAAGAATATATCCTCCCCTCTCCAATTGAGGCCTTCGCCCTCCGTTTCCATTTTTTCATTTTGTGAAGATCCCCTTAATCTTCAAAAAGGCTTATCTTAGGGGAAACCTTCCGAGAGTCAAGAAAATATCGAATGTATTTGTAATTGAACGAAGAAAAAGTCGTTTAATTGATGTCTTCTGTTAGATCATCTCAAATCTCTCTCCAATCTCGCCAACTCCATCATCGTTCCCCTTCCGAAATCGTTGGTTGCCCATCCTCCGATTCTTCGACCTTCTTCAATTTGCACATGCTCCAGTTTCTGTATGTTTTGTCAAATCAATAATAAACGAGATCATTTAAGCAACTTTAGGCATTTTTCCTTAAAAATTAATTTGCTTTTCTTTCAGTTTTTCTTACTACTTCACTTCATCGCCAGACGGTCTCGACGACGAAGAGGAAGAGTAAGAAATGAATATGAAAATAAGAGATTACTCTGGTCTTTTATTTTAATGAAATTAAGCAGCTTCAGACTTTAAATAGATCACAAATGACAACGTTAACACATCTAAATTGTTTTTAGAACGTTTTGGGACGAAGACGAAGAAATGATGGCAATTCACGAGAAATCACAGAGAGCTCGAGGGCCAATTTGGTGTACGGTAGGGGTAGAGACAATTTTAAACAATAAATAACATTTAGCAAAGCTCGAAAACGTTGCTCCACTTTCACATCCATCTCATTTGATCCAAGCCGATGAAGTCATTTATTATGTTTGATCATACCGATTTATTTCAATCATGTAAAAGATACTTTTCTAAATAAAAACACTCAAAATTAAAAAGTGTAAAGTGAACATCGTAGCGTAGATAAAGGCAATCACCAAGATAAAGGCAATCACAACAAAGTGTAGATAAAGGCAATCAACAAAGTGTAGATAAAGGCAATCACCAAGCACAACAAAAAGCAAGCACCCATTGACCCACATTTTTAATGAGAGAGCCGGTGTACGGTAATCAGTTGGGAGGAACAGAAACACAGGCAACATACAACAGCTTTTCTGTAGTTCGAAAGAAGAGTTCACTGTTTGAGTGAATATCTTTACAAAGGAAAGGATTTTCCCACTTCTCAATGAAATTGAAGGCCATATGAGGCGCCATCAAGTCGCCCCTCTGTCCCCCCATGTGTGTTCCTTTGAGGTATTCCCTCTTCACCCCTCATTTCATTTCTTTTTGTTTTCCATCTGTTCTCCATTTTTTTTGTTTCAGCTACCTTTTCTTTGCATTGTTTATTATCATACCTAAGTCTAATTCCAAGCTTCTTCAGAAAATAAAGTACCGGTACAAATAACAAGCTTTTATGTTACACACACGGTAACTACCCTTTTATACCAATAAATCAAGATTATTTTTAGATATAGCTCACCCATCATCAGCACCAACAGTGAAACCAAATTTGAGTTGCTTTCGGCCCAAAGTTTTCCAATTTTCCATTAGAAAACAAAAGGAGTTTTTTTTCTAAAGACAACGTGTTGATCAAATCCATTAAAATATCGGGATTTTCAATGAGTCGCGGCGCCAATGAATTGTCTGTGCTGTCAATCTGAGTGTCATCTCTTTTTTCTTTTCTTTTCTTTCCTTTTCCGTTTTTCTTGTCACTTTTTCTCTTTTTTCGACACATACATGGATGGATTGGATGAGTGGTTGAATGCTCACAACTGACAGAGATCTCCCATTTTTTTCTTTTATTTCTTTTCACAATCATTAAATCAATCATCATTCTCTTTCCAATAAATCACCCAATCACATTGTCGCATCGCTTTTGATCGACAGATTTTGATAAATTCGTTTTTCTGAGATTAGTTCAAGTTATTTTTAACAGAGCTAATCTGCAAGTTTGAAAGTTTTTTGTACGAAAATTTTTGGCTTTTGTTTCACTGAGATGTGCTTATATTTAGAACTTGAAATTTAAGTGAAACAAAAATCTTTCAATATGGTCTAGTGATTGAAATCGATTGATTGAGAAAGGAGTGGGAGGAAAAAAAGTTGCGTGCTGAAGGGGAATGCAATGGGGGTGGAGGGGTGAGGGCAGAGGGTTCAGTTCTGTCAACAGAGTCGCTCAGCAGTGCTCATCACGCGCGATAAGGCCCCTTCCCCCATTTTCCCCTTACCGGAAGAGAAAGTCTCCCTCATTTTTTTACAACTTTTATTTTTCTTCCGTTATTTATTCCTCACAATTGATATCTTTGAACCAATCAGCCCGTCAATCATCGAATCTTTAAGTTCACGTCACTTTCTTGTAAAAATGAAATTCGAATCGGTTCTACGGTCAGGTCATTCTTGGTGGAAACAAGGTTCATTTTAAAAGAAACTCGACCCTTCTTCACAAATGAATATAGGAGACGAAGATGAGAATTGGTCAAAGAAAGCTATTGACAATTTGATGAAGAAACTACAAAAACACAATCGAGAAGCTTTGGGAGCACTTGAAATGGCACTAAAGGTTCACGAAAGATAAATAATGAAACTTTTTTCTGAAATATCTAAGTCTAACATGAAAAATGAAAGCTTCAGAATGAGGGTAAGATGCCATCAGACTGTGTGACAATTCCACGATCACTTGATGGACGACTACAAATTTCACATAGGTAATTGTTTTTGAAATAAAATAAATGAATAAAGTATTCAGAAAAGCTCTCCCGCATGTGATTTATTGTCGGGTATATCGATGGCCCGATCTACAGTCACATCATGAACTAAAGGTTCGCTTAGTTTTGTCTCTTCTTCGAAAATGAAATCGCAATTGAATTGTGATCGTGTTTAAATCAGAGACTCATTTACTCCATTACCCATTGAATTCAGGCCATTGAAAGCTGTCGTTTCTGTTTCGAATCGGGCCAAAAAGAGATTTGTATCAATCCATATCATTATATCCGAGTCGAATCAGCTGGTGTTCTCCCTCCCGTTCTCGTGCCACGGTTTGACAAAAATACACAATGATGCATTGCAATTAGAAGGCCATTCGGCTCTTGTAACGTTGACGGGACTTTTGAACATTTTAGAGATATTTTCAACTTTACAATGTGTTGTTTTATGTTTGCGGTATATAACAAAAACTGTTGGGTTGGTGAATTGAAAACTGCCGGCTATTTCGCGGGACTCGCAGATAAAAAAAACAACAGTATTGAACCAGCGGAAAGGGGTTTTGGTTACTTCAACATTTCCTCAAATTATTGCGAAAAAATTATGCTTCCAGCTTTTTATTTTTGGGTATTTTTCTTCACTTCTTCTATTGCACTCGACAATCTGCCACCGGGACATATTCGTCATGTCATGCTTCATGAGTTCCTACAAGAGCACAGTGCAGGCTTGGCAGCTGCTAATATTAAAAAGATATATGCGGAGGACTCACCTTCCGAAAGAAAGTGTAGAGTATGGTTTGCCAAGTTTCGATCTGGGGACAAATCTTTGAAAGATGCAGAGGGCCGTGGAGCGGCACCCCAACTGGATGATTCCAAATTACTCGAACTCATAACCAACGACCATCGGGTATCATCGCGTGAATTGGGAGAAGAGTTAGGGGTTGATCATGCTACAGTGCTAAGGCACCTTCATACCCTTGGATTTAAATCGAAACTTGGGGCTTAGGTGCTCCATGACCTCAATAACCCCCAGAAGTGGCAGCGCGCCTCGATCAGTGCAGTCCATCTCTCACAATACAAAAGGAAATATTTTCTTTCTCGAATTGTGATAGGAGATGAGAAATGGGTTTTATCTGTGAACTTTCAGAGGAAGTGGCAATGGGTGGGGCAGGCGAGAAACCCGAAAGTGACCCTAAGCTCGATTTGCACCAGAAGAAGTTTATGCTCTGCGTTTTCTGAGATATGGAGGGAGTGGTGTACTGGGAGTTGCTGGATAGCAAGATGACCGTTAATGCAATCAAATACAGCGAACAGTTGGGAAAGGTGAATGAATCCCTGAAGAAGAATAGGCCCTCCAAGTCAAAGATCGTTCTCCTCCACGAAAACGCGCGCCCTCATGTTGCAAAACTGACTAGCTCTAAACTAAATAGCCTTGTTTGGGAACTTTTGGTGTATTCCCCATACAGTCCAGACCTCGCCCCTTTTGATTACTATTTACTCCGGATCATGAGTAATGAGCTTGCGGGAGAACACTTCGATTCGGAAGAAGCAGTCAAAAATTGGCTTTAAAAGTTTTTCGATTCAAAACCAAAATCCTACCATGAAAGAGGAATCCGCAAATTGCCTGTAAAATGGGCAGAAGTCGTCAAGAATAATGGAAATTATTTGGTATGAATTTATGGTTTTATGTTGAATAAATTTTAGTTCAAAGTCCGGCAGTTTTCAATTCACCAACCCAATATTTAACATGTAAATAAAAATTTTTGTTTTCACATGCGGTGCACTGAAAGCTTCAATCAAGCATTTACGAGGAGCTACTCAACCGACTTCCCTCCTACGTGTTTGAGCACATGTATAGAAGAGTTCACTCAGATAATTGTTTTTTTTAAGTCTTTTGAATAAGATTAGCCCCATTTTCCCTACCGTTTGAGCCATTGAACCATTGGCAGGTTTTCTACCTGCCATTTCTACTTTTGGTTGTTGATAAATTACCGCAAACAAAACCGCACATTGCAAAGTGGGAAATATCTCTAAAATCTTTTAACATATTCAGTTTGATTTGAAAAAAAAAATGAATTTTTACAATTTAGTTTCTCCGAGCCACCACCCAAAGAAGTTCCCCTTGCATTGCGACGATGGCAAGAGCTTGATGCAACTTCGAGTATGCCACATAACATTGAAATGCACGCCGTTTATAGGTACCTTAATTTCACATTTTGTATTCTTTATGAGTTTTCCATCTTTTTAGTCAACAGCAACTTCTTATGCAGCAATTAAAGACGGAAAGCATGGATATTGGATACAATTTCCCGGCACCCATCTCCACCGTTCAGGTATAGCAATCAAATGGAAACTTGCGATAAAAAAAGTGATGAATGTTAGGTGCCGTACTATGATAGTGAACAGTGGGCAACAATCAGTTATTACGAGCTGAATACAAGAGTTGGACCACAAGTGAAAGTGTCAGCCTCTGAAGTGATCATTGATGGATTCACTGGTTTAACTCTTTTTTTCGGTCATTTTTTGAACAAGTATAGATCCTTCAACAAACAACATAAAAATCTCGCTGGGACTATTTCAAAATGTGAATCGATCGCCGACAATTGAAAGGTAGAAAGATTGTAACATTGTCTGTTTAAAATTGTGAGATCTGTCAGTCAGTTCAAGCGAATCAATTAGTTTGATTTTTTGATGGTTGTTTCTTGCCGTGTTGCAAAATAAAATAACATAAAACTATTAAAATAATCAGATTTATGACTAATTTTTGATTGTTATAGTAAAAAAATTAACTGGGCAGCCGCTATATACTCGCTTTGTTGGCGCGATGGCGGGGTACGGTAGCTGGGGCACGCTATTAAGTGAAGGGCAGCCAGGAATCTCTGAAAAAGAACAGAAGTGTTCAAAATTGTGAGATTTGTCAGTGAACAGTATGTAAAGACAAGCGTTTGAGCTCTCCTATCTTTCTCTGTGATAGAGATTTTAATTGAAATGAACCATTTCAGTGCTCGGCGTCATATTGGAAATGGAGTGAAATTAACATATGTGAGAAGACAAGGAATACTTTTTGCTGAATGTCTTTCTGATGCTGCAATCTTTATTCAGGTAGGCTATAAGTCACAATTAGAGTGTCTTCCTTTCTCCGCTTTCCGCTTTCTAAAGTGTGCGCTTCAAATAGTTCACTCGATTCAAACACTTTCTTTTTCAGTCTCGAAATTGCAACTACAACAACAATTTCCATCCATCAACTGTGTGCAAACTTGTGAACAAATGCTCGTTGAAGATCTTTGATACAAACAAATTTCGAGATGTTTGAGAAAATATCGAAAATTAGAGAAAAAAATCTTTGTGTTTAGTTGTTAAATGAGAGTGCACAGATGGGTTTTGATGCCTCATTTGATCTCACAAAAATGTCGATCATTCGAATGTCTTTTGTGAAAGTTTGCTTTTATTTTCAAAGATTCCAATTTTTTTTTGTATAAGTAAGTATAAGTCATTTTTTTTCTAGGGTTGGGGCGCCGAATATCAGCGACAGGATGTTACATCAACCCCGTGTTGGGTTGAGATTCATCTACACGCTCCATTACAGGCAATTTTTAAAGACAAATACCAAATTTTGTTTTCAACAACCCATTTTAGTTTACTTTTATGTTTAGTGGTTGGACCGAGTTCTCAGTCAAATCCCAGCCTCTCAAATGCCAATCTCATCAATATCATGACAGATTGAACAATCCTTTCATTCACTTATCTCAATATATTATACGTGTACAAAAGTCATAATAAATTAGTTCAACAAATATCAATACAACGCAAATATTCAGTTAATTGTAAGTTAAATTAATCGCGAGGAACACATTCTAATTGTGACTCTGTGGAAGGACAAGAAAGAGATTAACAAAAGGAAAAAAAAAGGAAAGCGCGAAAGATCCTGATTCGAAGAAAATATTCAAAAGAGAAGGGGAAAGACTTGACTAGGAAATGGAGATTGAGAAGAACACCCCATCGCACCCCCAAAAGAGGTTCAGTCAACAACAGTCTCTCTTTTCTTTCTTTTCGTTCTTTGTCTTTTCTTTTCTCGCTTTTATTTTCTTTTCTTTCCCGATCACCCGAAGGTCTCTTCTTCACTATTCTCCTTCTTCTGCATACACTAGTGCAAAACGACATTCCCAACCCACTCTCTTTCATTTCGGACAAACCTTTTTTGTTTTTGATTGTGCTTTCAGAATGAATTGTTCACATTATTATTGCATGATGTCTATGTTTATTTTTAAAGTCATTAAAGTCATTAACACATTCGCGACGATACGGCCCATCGTACAAATAACGATTACTTTTGGTTTTTAACTCAAGTTTTTAAGGACTTGTTTTTATTTCGCAGAAAGTTCTCGGTAACTTTGTACTATTTTTCAAGAGGAGATTCAGGGCTATGGAATGACTATAATAATTTATTTTATCTTGGAATTTTCACCAAATTATCAGTAAAACTGTTAACGACTACGCGCCTGTACGCCCCAAAATGCCGTCGTCGCGAATGGTTTTTTTTATTGTTGACGTATGAAAATAGGTGCTTAATTATCGCCGCTAGCCAGTTGAGAGAAATCTGTAAAATTATTCTCAATCCAAGTGCATAAGACTTATACACCATTTGGAAGAAATGGGATACTCTTTCCCTTCCCTCCCCCCCTCGATCTCCTTTCCTATCCGAAATTTCACGGTGAGATCTGATCGATTCAATCGTCGCCTTTCATTTATTCCTTTTATTCCCTTTCATCCTTTTGATTGCTCTCTTTTTTTGATCAGCCGTTCCTTCTTCTCGAATCACTCCAATCAACAGGTCAATATTTACCTTCCAACAGCGTATCATTGAAATCTTTGCCTCTATTCGCATTTCTTTAAATTCACGCCATTCTTTTAAGTTTCACATTCGATTTGTTCCAAAGTTGAGCTATTTCAGAAGCAATTCATTTTTCAAAAGTCGGATGGCAATCTCAGTTGAAGAGACTTTAGCCGAATGCCGAGAGGTTTTTTGTTACTTTGATTCTCGAGGTGATGAGCGTATTCAAGTGACACAAGTTTGTTTATATATAGCTTGAATATTATACACTTGTACAGGTTGGAGACGTGCTAAGAGCTCTTGGCCAAAACCCCACAGATAATGAAATACAAAAGTATTGTGCTCAGGTAACTCTTGATCTTAAAAAGACTTGTCTATCAAAAAGGTTCAGTGGACAGACCCAGAGACGAGGATCAATTTCGAGGACTTTGTGCCCATTCTACAATCTGTCAATAAGAATAGGTAAGATCAAATAGGGAAAGGTTCAAAGCCTCATATCTGATATAGAGAGAAGCATTCGGTTGACGAATTCGTTGAGGGTCTCTCTCATTTCGATAAAGAAGGCTCAGGTTTGATCAATGTGGCCGAACTTCGTCATCTTCTCACCACACTTGGTTTGTTCTTTAAACTTAAAACTTTGACCATATCAGTACGTATTAGGCTGTCCAGAAAGTTTTTTCGTTCCTTTTCATACTCTCGCTGAAAAATGACAAATTCATCAATTAACCTATGGTTTGCTCTAAAGTGAAAAGTGAATTTGTTAATTTTTGTTCGCTTTTTCAATTGGTGAATTTGTTATTTTTCAACGGAAGTATGAAAAGGAATGAAAAGACTTATTCACCAACCTAATATAATACAAACTCAAGTTTTTTCCTTTTTAAATCAAAAACACTTTTGCTTTTCAATGCCGCCTTTTCAGGTGAACGATTGTCGGATGATGAGGTAGATGCTCTACTCTCGGGTCACAATGATGCTCACGGAAATGTAAACATTGCCGATTTTGTGCGTACTGTGATGCATGCTTGAGTGATAAATTTGTCGGCTATTTATCTTTCCATTGATTGTGTGTTCATGTTTGGAAATAAATATTGAATGTTCAAAAACAAACCCCTAATCACATTTGAATCCCTTTTTTTCAAACTGGTCAGTCTTAAATGTCTCTAATAAGAGCAAAGGGAAAGTAAAGAGCATTGGGGAAAGGAGGGGCGGATCCTGATAGATCTTGAACTAGTGGATATGGAAGAAGAAAGAGGAGAAGCTATGACCCATCCTCCCCATCCTCACCATCTCCACCGCACCCTCCCTCCCCTTCTTCTTTCACAAAGCTCTTCTCTTTCTAACGGATTAGCACCTTATCGTACTACTGTTTATTACTTTTTGTTTAGTTTTGGTTGCATACACGAGACTCGTCTCCTATTTCTTACTATTAGTTTATTTGAGAGAGATTGATTGTTTTATATTCTCCCATATCTAACTCGTTCTTTTGTTAACTCACAACTAACTCCATCTAAAAGTATTCTTCTTGTAAAGTTTTTAAACTTGAATCATTTTGCCTCGTTCCGCTTCTCGCTTGATTGACAGTAATATAGGACTATGAGTAGCACTATGACAGTTTTTTTTGTTGTTGTTATAAGCTCAACTTAAATCAAATGAGTTTAGAGATTCGGAGAGCAAGTGCTTTTGATTTCGATTTTTGCGAATTCTGCAAATCTTTCCCTTCTCCGTAAATGTCACCACCGAAAGTAAAACCACCAAAGCGGACAAACAAAAGTGAAGATGAAGTTCAGGTAGGTAAAATCGCAATTCACATAAAAGATTTGATAATAACCACGAATATTCGGTATTTGATAATAAGCATTATCCCTCAAACTACTCATTTATCTTTTAGGCTCAACGCAATTCAGCAAACAAACGAGAACGCCAGCGAACAAAGGTTTCATTATCTCATTCTTTCTTACTTTGAGATAAGTTTCCGGAAGGACATTTGCTTTATTTCACGGGCAATATTGTGTGTTTAGCGTTGCTTTCCCAGGGAAAAGTTGAGCGATTTTTGGGGGAAAAGAAGGAACATAAAGTGGAACGGCTGGCAATTTGAAGAGGCCAAAAAGAGAGGGACCCTCCCAATCCCCCGATCTACCGTAACCCCTTTTTTCCTCTCCTTTTATCCCCATTTCATAGGAAAAATCCCAAATGAGAAGATTTATATCCATTCATGCTTTTCTCTTTCTTCAACTTTCATGGTTCTTTCACAAAAAATCCTCAGTACCTCTGTAGCTATTTTGAATGAAACCCTGTAAAATGATCACTTTTGGAAAACCTTGAGCCGCCTTTTGAATCAATTTCAAATAAAGATTTGAATTCAAGACGTATTGATGTATTTAGTACTTGCTTATTTCCCTAGATGATTTGCATTTTGCGACCGAATTTGCATGTCAAATTGCATGGAAAAGATAAACAAGTACGACGTAACTAACTTGTTTATCTTCTCCCCGCAAAAAATAGCATTACAAATGCAGAATGCAAGCAACTAGTTGTGCTCATTTTCATAGTTTCACTGTTTCCAAAAGTGTGTCTATTACACTTTTATAAATATAAAGATCCATAAGATAGGGAAATTAGGTGCTATGTAAAATTTTGATCGTGTCAATTTGAGCGGGGAAAGATAAACAAGTACCATATATTTTGAATTAGATATCATTTTCGAAAAATAAGTTTTATTTCATTCACAAAGCCGTGCCGCTTTCTTTTGAGGTGTCGTATTACGGCCTATGTGAGGGTACTGTAAAAATGATCGCTAAATGCTTTGAAGCTAAAAAATGCCCGATATCATCGTGAAAACCTCCTTCGTGATATTCTTCAAAAGCAAATAAACACAAATTTCAGGAATTGAATGATGCGTTCGCGATTCTGCGCAAAAGGATTCCCTCGATGCCCTCAGACAAAATGAGCAAGATTCACACGTTAAGAATAGCTACTGAATACATCAGATTTCTTGATCAGGTAGTTAAAGATTTTGAAATTTGGTTTTTTTTGTTTCAACTTAATTTCAGGTCAAAAAGGACGGGGGCAAGACATGGGGAATCGACTTGCATGTCGGAGATTCCAAATCACTTCAGAACACTTTCAATGTTTGGAGGAGTAGGTGAGGAGAAAAAGCAATGAATAAATTGGTATATTGAAGAGAATTTCAGTTATACGAACACGGTGGCAAGTATGGGATCACTTCCACAAATGAGTTCTCTCACTTTTCCATATAATATGGAATCCTATGTCAAGTCAAGTAGGTCAATTTGGTCAGTCAAAAAGTCTCGACACTAAAAAAAGCTTAACAGCCAAAATTTTGAACTAATAGTAAGAAAAGTGAATGTTAATTTTTGCTTAACACATTCGCGACGATACGACCGTAGTTGCTCAAAGAATAATAACGGATTCAGATTCTCTATCCCAGAATGCCTTTGGTCACAAATTCTCAGGTCTACAGCTAACATAGATATCGTCCAAAAATGACTTCTTCGTGAATGTGTTAAAGGAAATTTATCTATTGTAAAAGTTTTAAGAGATAAACTTTTACATAAACGTACATACAAGGAAACTAATCGTAAGAGAAAACCCCTATAATAATATTTATCTAGTGGATTTCACGTGTGATGAGCCATCTTCAGCCAGTTTGATTCCCCCTCCATTCCCACTCATCTCACCTTGGAACTGAACTCAAAACATTTGCCTCTCTCGCTCATTTATTTCTCTCTGAGCTATAATTAAGTGAGATTTCCACTTACCGGGTATTCTATCCGAATTTCAATTTTTTAGAAATTAAATATTCTTTTTCGTTTTTTTTCTTTTCTTTTCATTAGTGCCTTCAATTTGTTATGGGGTAAATACCCCATAACAAATTTAAACTTAAGCTTAAGTTTAAATTAAAGACAATACGAACTTAAGCAAATGTCTAATAGGCATTCAAATTTTTGTTATTTTTTTCATAAATCTACCAAAGGTGATGACAATATTTTGACTTCGATGTATTTGTTTTTGTGCGCCAGAAGTAAATTTTTGTGTCATTTGTGATTTTGTTATATCAAAAGCGCCAAAAGCCGCGAACGGTATTCAATTTTGATCGTGGCGATCGTGACCTTGTCTGTTTCGTTTCCAAAGTTGACAGTAAAAATCCTAATCAATATCTATCGAGTAACGATCAATAATAAATCGGGTATAGTGTGCAAACATTATTTCAAGAAAGTGCCCAGATTGCATCCAGATGTGCGACTTTCAATCTCTTTTCCAAAAAGATCCATTTCCACAGAGGCTAGCTCTGGAAAACTGAGGGGTTTATCGGATATAACTACAATTTCTTGGAGCATAGATATATTTTGGATTACTTAATTCTATTGTCATGTGATACACAAAACCTTTGACACGTCATTCCAACATACGACACAAAAATTTTCCATTGAACCCTAATCAAAGCCAGCTCTCCAAAAAAGGCAAATGAGCGGTTCATTTATTTTGGGGTAGTCGACCGCTCGTTTCATACCCTTTACGCTTCACAACCCGGATCGACATGGAGTGGAGGGGTGTCTTTTTGAATGTCTATGTCTCTCTTTGCCGCTCTTTCCCTCTGATCAAAAAGAAAAGAGGCGACGATCGATCGAGGGCTGCACAGCGGCTCTCCTCCACTGCACCCCTTTCCCCTTCAGTCACCCCCCTCTTTTTTCCCTTTCCTCTAACTCTTTTTTTCTACTACGGTCTCCTTTTGCCTCGGGCTGTCGCGCCATCTTGATTTGGCATTAACCATTGGAATCCAGCTTTTCATTCGGACATCCCTTATTTCGATTCTTTTTGTGACATTTTTTTCTTAAAGCTTTTCTTTTCAAACTGTTTTATTGAATGATAAATCATTTCGAAATATCCCCCTCAGCTGATTATTTTTTGTGAAATTGATTTTAGTTTTTCTTTCAGCAATCACCCATTAAATTTCTTAATATTTTCTATATCACGAACTTTTAGATGTACTAAAGAGTAAGAATGGTAGCAGCGAATGACACAGGCGATGTGTTTGTTGGCTCGGCCACCGCGCAGACAATTGCTGGACTTTTTACGTTGGGCGCTCTCTTCATCACTTCCCATCAGGTAATACAAAAATGTTCAAAGGAAAAACTAAAATATCATCTAACTCTAAGCATCTAAGCATATCTAAGCAAATTCCGCCTTGAAGTACAATAAGTAAAGAGAGTTTGGACCAAAAAAATTCAGTCTACAGCGCATCCTCCCAACTTCTAAATATGAAGTCCGTAATTTACGTATAAAATTTTAGATCTATCAACATTTACGATGGTATTCATGCCCAACCGAACAGCGTTGGATTGTGAGAATACTTTTCATTGGTTTGTTTTTGAGTACCGTCTGAAACAAGCAGATTTAGTGCCAATTTATGCTTTTGACTCATGGCTTTCGTTGGTGTTCTTCCACAACAACGTTTACATTTATTTCAATTCGATTCGGGATTGTTATGAAGGTAAATCAGAAATGATAATTAATTCATTTTGAACAACTTCAGCTTTTGTGATCTATTCATTCCTCTCGCTATGCTATGAATATCTTGGAGGCGAAAGCAATATTATGGCGGAGATTCGTGGAAAGCCTATCAAGTAACCCTGAGCTTCTTTTCATTTTACTATTTTTTTTTCTAGACCCACGAATTACTGGACTTGTACGTGTTGTCTTGCCGGGAAACAATATACGATCGAGTTTCTACGTTTTTGCAAACAGGTTACTAGTTTAGATTTGTTTTTTTTGGAATCTCAAGCAATTTTAGGCGACACTTCAATTTTGCTTTATCAAGCCATTGATGTCTCTTTTGACAATTATATTGGAGCCAATCGGAAAATATGAAGAGGGTAACTGGAGGTACAGGATACACAAATATTTCACAAATAATCTATAACCAGATTGAAAAAACAGATTGAAATTTTTAAAATCTGATTTGACAGGCCAAACTGCCGTAGTTGATTATATATTGTCCCAAAAAAATCAGACCGAAATTCCCACTGGGACTCGAGTTATGAGTTGAACGAACAGACAGACAAACACACCCAAACTTTGTGTCTTATAATAAGTAAAATATTTCTAACGAATGCAACAGAGCTAAAAGATCTTTTCAGCGCTGATCAAGGCTACGTGTGGATTTCATTTGCGTACAACATCTCCATCTCGTTGGCTTTGTATGGGCTTTTCTTGTTTTACACGGCTACCAAGGTATTCACATATAAAAACAGTGATTATTCAAAACCATTAGGATCTTCTTTCCCCATATTCACCGGTTCTCAAATTCTTGACGGTCAAAAGCGTGATCTTCCTTTCATTCTGGCAAGGTATGAATCTACAATGGTTATCTAAAATCTGAATCGTTTTCAGGGTTTTTGTTGGCGGTGCTCGGAGCTTTTGGGGCCATCGATTCGGTGAAGCTGGAGAATGGAGGAGAGATTTCTGTCGGCACCATCGCTGCTGGGTATCTCATATTGCTAACCTTTACACCTATCAATGTTTTCAGTTGGCAAAATTTCTTTATTTGCATCGAGATGTTTTTCGCGGCGATCGCTCTTCGTTTTGCGTTTTCAGTCACGGTTTATGCGGATGCCCAATCGGGTTCGTTTGTGTCACACAAAACACATGTCTTTAACTAATATAATTCGATTCAGATAAGCATATTATTCGCCAAAGTTTAGCTTCCTCAAATGATGGACGTCAAGTAACGCTTCAATCAATTTCCTCGTCGCTTCGTGAAACAATGAATCCCAAAGACATAATGCAAGATGCAATTCACAACTTCCATCCACAATATCAACAATATACTCAGGTTTGCAAATCATCATAAGTCCTTTACAAATTTGTCAATTTCAGCATTCGAACCCTCAACGCTCGGTCAGTGGTAACAATAGTCAAGGTTTTGATTTGCTTCCCTTATTTCTTGCTAACTCTTTACCCTCACTGATGGCACCGCATTTAATGTTTAGGGTGTGTTCCTCGCGAGTAATGCGTTTTTTAAAATGCACATTTAGGAAAAAGGAACACACTCTATTAATGTTCAATTTTGACACTGGGTACTAAAGGGTCTGGGTTTACGAAAATGTATTTCTTGTCTTTGTTGCATGCTTACCTTTTGCACCTTTCAAAGCATGAGCTCTAGCGATACACCGGTGGGACAACGCTTGAGTCAATTAGTAGCTTTCCTATTTGTTGATGGGCGTTTGGTGCTGGGCTTTGAGAGCTTCAATTTTATTTTGTTTCCTTGGCATCTAAACGCGATGCTCTATAGGGAGAAGCCGGAACATCCACGGTAACTACAATAGCCTCGGGACCGGGGATTTCACAAGCGTCGACATCCACTCATCCGGATATTTGGACAGATCCATCCCGAACTTCAGTGCCACAGATCGAGTCATCATCTTCCCCTTATTCAGTGGCTTGGCAAGCCCCACCCCCTCGTCAAACAAATCAACATCAGGGTTACAATCCTCTCCTTTGAGTTCGCATCATCCCCTTCTTTCGGGTCGTTCTTCCGGATGTTCATTCAGTATGTTTCGTGTTCATTTATAGTGAGTATCTTTGGGGTTTTCATACATTGGGCATAATTTTTCGTTGTTGCTTTTCAAAGTGAATATATGTAGGTATTTCTGATATTTGCTGTAATACCTGTAATGGCAGAAATCTTTTGTTTTTGTTAGTCGCATGTCTATTCATCTATCTTCTCGTACCTATGTGAAAGCTCTTTTGAAACAAATCCATAAAATACGGGAGCCAATTCAAAGTATCAAAACCACAAAAGTCGAATTACGCATAGTATGCTTATTTCAGGTAATAGTTCCGAGTACTAGCCACGAGGAGGCAGGTGCTGAACGACTAGCTAATGCTGCACAGGTTAGTTTTGAGAAATGAGATTTCATTCATCTTCAAGTTAGAATTAAGATTTTTTAGGTTTCAAATTATTCATCAATGGCTAATACGGACTCGTACGGTGTGTCAACTCCCGGTCAAACAAATGTGTCAAATTCTGGCCACCTTCTCGATTAGGCATCTTTCATTCATCGCTTATGGACCATTCCTCTTTCACCTCGCGCTGCTAGCTTTTTTTGTGTGTTGAGTAGAACATTGTCACTGCCTCTGCAATTTATTCCTATTCGATTTACTTTATAATGGAATTGAACTAAAAACATTAGAGACGACAATGTTTTATCAATATTTTTTCTAATTCAATGACTGCATTTTAAAAAATTTTACGTGGTTTACTTGACTTCTTAGTTTTGTTTTTCAAACGTTAGCGTTCAGTATTTTGATTGTCGTCCCCTTTTTTTTAAGCCATAACCAAAATTCCGTGCAATCTTTGTGTTTGAAGTGTCAATATGATCTACATGCTTTCAAAATCAAAAGATACTTGAACTTTACATTGAGAGCATATTGTACATTCAAATATGTTTAACTTTATGCTCTGCTATGAATTTTCCCTTTCATACCGGTGTTTCTCTATCTGTGAACAAGTTTTTCAAAATCACTATTATTTATTCATCTAATATCCACGATTGGTTTTTTCCTACGCGCTGAATTCTTTTTTCTGATTATGTCACACATGCTCTTACTTTTCCAAGCCCAGTGAAAGAGTATGCAAATTCTATACTTTTTTCACCACCTATGATTATTTGTATCTAGCCTAAATAAAACTATTTTATCTCACTCTATGCTCCATTTGTTCATATCTTTTTGTAATGACGTTGTGAAAGTATTTTGATCAAATACTTTGTCTTTTTTTGCTTGTTAGATAAATTTTGGATCGTTTGTTAATTCAAAGTAATTCAAAGCACACCCGAACATCAAAATACCAATCAAAGTGAACAATTAGAAGCGTTTGAGTATGTAGCTTTTATCCAAAGCTTATATGTATACAAACATTGTAAATGTCCATTTGTAAGCAAGCTTTTAGCATAAGACTCTGTCTTGACGGTATTTGAATACGCTTACCTAGAGTATTTGGTAGAGCGGTAAGCGGTTCTTTCCTATTACTAGGTACCTTAAGAAAATCGGGTACCTTATACAGCGATTTGATGTTTTGCCTTAGCCTCTTTCCAGTAGCTCTTCTGAACATGTATTCAAGAAGACATGTCAAGAGGCGATCTTTTGTTGTTCCACGAAGGTGTCGAATGGAATGCTTCATTTCTCTCCAAGTGGACTCCACCTAAATGGGGGAAAAACGGGGGAAAACGCAAATGTTAAAAGTTGGTTGGTGAATCGCTGTATAAGGTACCCGTTACACGGTTAAAGTACCCAATCTTTTTTAAGGTATCTAGTAATAGGAAAGAGCCCGGTAAGCTCAATGTAGTTCAGTGGTAGAGCGGTCGCCCAGCAAGCGAGAGGTCCACTTTCAAATCTCGGCACCTACCACATTTTGCTTTCTCAGCCTCAACCCAACCTATAAAAGGACTTGGCTATCCAACTCAGCTCATCATCATTTTCAGAATAGCTTCAAACCGCGAAGAGCTTTGTCCAATTCCTGATTGGACAATTCTAAATCCAAAATGTTAACACAAAAGAGAGAGCTGGACAAAGCTAGAAAAACAAATTAAAGCTAATCGAAAGAAATTAATTAACAAAATGGTAAGAAAACAATTTGCAAAGAGCCCGAACTGGGGTACGGTATTGGGGTAGAGTGTAGCACCAATCCTTTTCTAAAATACGTATTGACCTGTATGTCTTTGTTGTATTCACATTCAAAAAATCTTCAACCCGCGAGAGAACAATAACGTCGGGTTCAAGGAATTTGGCAAAATTTCGTGTTTTTGTCTACGGATGAGAGAGATTTAATTCTTTTCTTTTCACGAACATGCAAATCTCTCTTCAGCAAGATAGGGCGTCCTTGCGTACGCGGGTGATTCTCTCACCGAAAAGAGATAGATCTGTGTGAGAGAGAAACACGCATCTCTCCACCTCCAACTCCTCTACCACCTGTGAGCCACAGTTGAATTGGTGACTCTCTCTCGCCCTGAGACTCTCGAGAAACCGGCCCCTCCTGTCCCTTCTCTCATCTTTTTTCCGATCATTCCTCTCCCTGTTTTGTTTTTTTTGCCTTGCCATCTGCAATGGCCATTAATGATAAATACTGTCTAAAAAATCTCTTATCATTTCATCATTTACGAGATTTGAGAAATGAAAAATGATCCAGAGAAAGGGATTTCTCAAATAACACACCGGCTCTTTCCATTTTTGATCCTTCCAACATTATTTTGATTTTTATGTTAAAATTTTTTAGTTTAGGGACCCAAAAATCGCAATTTTTTATTTGTACAATTTTTTTGACTGAACACCCTGAGATTTGTGGAAATGTTCCTACAAATCCCAAGCTATTCAGTCAAAAAAGTTGCAGATATAAGTGAAAAAAATGCACTTTTTGCGCCTCCGCATCATTTTTTTTGAAGCGTTGTTTGTTTCACAACTTTTTCGGTTAATCTGCAATTTCCTCCTTCCTCCTAAGTATCTTACTAAATTAACTAATAAAGGACTTGCAACAGCGCTTGTGTCTTGCACATATCGTACAAATGTTTCCATCATTCTGCTTCTCTTTTTCAATTTTCGCTTTTGATTAATCGAAAATGTTTGTAGGTCAACTACTTGAAGACTTCCGAAGGCCGTTATTCAATCAAAAACATATGACATCACCGTCTGTCAGCAACGAGAAAGCGAAAGCGCAAAGTCGCTGGAAAGTAAGTTGTTTGTGTATTTGTTGTTTATTTTGAATTAAATTGGTCTAATCATTTCCTAGGTATATTTTTCATTTTGAAAACGGTATAGGTAGATCTGGGTGAAAGCGACCTGGTTTCCAGTATTTGGCTTTCACTTCGATTATCCCCAGAACCGGTTTTGACCGACTGACTAGTTAGGCTATTTTGTAGGAAATTTAAGGATGGGTTCTGTTATTTTTATTTTTAATAGACAATCTAATAGTTTAATCTGGATAATTTATTATATGATCGATTTAGTTATGGACGAGCTGCTCGATAGTGCTTGCAATTGTGGTTCTCTTGTTTGGGATTCTTCTAAAAACAAGTATAATTTCGAGTGTGATTCATTCCCAAATTATCGAGGTATCTTTGATCTTTTATTATTGTCTATTATTATTATGATATAGAATTCACGATTGGTCGAAGGAAGTCGCTTATGGAAAAAATGGTTGAATCCCCAGTACAAGATTGATTTTAACGTTAGTTAGAAATTGTTTTGCCTTTCATTTCACTTTCTTCGATTTAGGTATGGGTGCATTCTGTGAAAAACCCGGACGAAATTCTTAATGGTGACATTCCAAGGGTTACAACGACTGGACCTTATGTATTCAACAAAAAGATTGAAAATAAAGTAAGTTTCTTTTACAAACAAGCATAAAAGTTTAAATATGATTTAGATTTTATCGCATGAAAACGGGACAATCACATTCAAGAGATTCGAATACAAATTTTTTAATCAAACGGCCTCATGTGTCACATGTATTTTGGCGAATCGCGTTTGGGTGCCCAATTTGATATACCAGGCTTGTTGTTCTGAGTGTTTTTGATAGAAATTTTCAGAAATTTGTGGAAGCAGCATCAACAACTGGAATGCGAGCAGCTGCCACAACACTTCTCACACAAACCGCGTTCCTTGAAGTTGATATTGGAGAACTACTTTTTGATGGTTATAAAGATCCCTTTCTTGATAAGGTAAGCATTTAGATGTACGACAAAAAATCTTGGTGCACTCAATTGACTATTTAGATTTGCGAGATTCCATTTATGAATTTTGTTTGCGAATCAATCTTGGATGTTCCTGAAAGGATTGGGCTGCTATATGGAGTTTGTTTTTTTTATTCTTCCCAAATTAATAATAATTTAGACAAATGGAACCGCTGATGGCACTTATGAAATTCGGGACGGGACGGAGAATACCGAAGACTTGGCGAAAGTTGTAAGCTGGAATGGACATTCACATGTTAGATTCTGTTGGTGACGTTTCTAGGATAATTTTAGGTAGATGAAACTTGGTGGAGTGATGAAGAAGCTCGCCGAATTCGCGGAACCGAAGGCAGCCTTTTTCCACCGTTTATCAAAAAAGACCAAAAGCTTTACGTATTCATAACACAGCTTTGTAGGTAAAGTGTTATTTTTGTTTAATGTTTGGTTAATCGCAACTCAGATCGGTATACCTGGTTTTCAAGGAGAAAGTGCTCTACCGAGGAATTTACGCTTATCGCTTTGTTTTACCGGGAGATGTCCTTGATCAATCGCTTGATGAAAATAAAGGCTTTTGCAATCCTACTGATAAGGTTTTTCAAAAACCCTTGGCAAATACATTTACTGTCTTAGGTCTTCTTCAACGAACAAAATGAGACTGGTTGTTGGCCACGAGGTTTATTGGAAATTAGCCATTGTCAACGAGGTAAAATTTTTCTTCATTATTAGTATGAGTTGCTTTTTAGGTAATCCTCCAATTGTCATCTCTTTGCCGAATTTTCATTTGGCGACAAAAGAAGTAAAAGAGAGTGTCCGCGGATTGAACGAGAGCAACCCTGAAACGGATGAAATTCTTGTAGATATTGAACCGGTAAGACATGCACCACCATTCTCATAAGCTAGTGTGATTTAGCATCTTGGAGCAGTTCTACATGCCCGTCGAGTTTTTCAAGTCAATATCGAAATGTGGAAGGGTGAAAATCTGGCTTTTCCGTGAGTGTTTCCATTACAAGCTAGAGATCAGTTTTTAATAGGGTCAATTTGAAGAAAATGCGCTCAGGAGTTGTGCCTGTCATAACTGTGCGAGAGGTAGCTCACATCGACGATGACAGTTATTTTACCATCAGAAAAGAACTATTGGGTTAGACTAATTTTCTACTATTATTTCAATGTATTTTAGAAGCGAAAGAGCTTGCTCACACGGTTTCGGCGCTCATCATAGTTGCAGCCTGCTTAATGTTGCTGGCTTCGATTGGCTACATAATTTGGAAGGTATTTTATCTCTTGAAATAATTGTCTGAAAAATATTCAAATCTATTTAGTCTGCCTTCGTTCAAGAGTTGCTGAGAAGACGACGTCAAGAGAATGTCGTTGTTCCTTTACCCAATTATCGACCAAACAAGGATTACCCAACGGAATCATATATTTGAATGAGTTAACGCATATTTCACAACTAACATTTCGGGTTTGTATATATGTGTTCAAAAATGATCCGTTTGTCGAATTTATCACCAAAGCCTTAACCACATATTAACTATCGTTGTGTATTGTCAATGCTATATGTTTCTAGTCTGTCATGTTAACAAGTTTTAAAATACGCTGCATATGCTTCTTTAAAGGTTAAAGTCTAACTTTCCTCATTTAAATGCGGGTGAATAAATGTATGATTTATTGATTTTATTTACTCTGTGTTAGTGGTGTGAGATGTCATCCAAATTGTGCTCATTTAAACAATAGTCAGGTCAATAAACCTTTTCAAATCGAATAAAAGTTTTTACAGCATTAATATTGTTTCTGTTCAATACAGGGACTCGCGAGCTTGTTGATGTTGCATGAAAAGATTATTGTAATGCTATAGTATTCACGATAGTACAAAAATGTATAATTTCTTGTACAAACTTAAACTAAATGCAGATGTACCCATTTCAATGACAAGGATATTACAAAAGTGAAAAGTCAGAAATTGTTTTGAACGTTTGGTGGCAGATCAATGCATGAGTCAACTTTTTGGAGCGAACCCGAAATTGAGTAAATTTTTTCCCCGGAGAACCAACACTTTTCAGATTTTGTTGGTAAACAGACAACGGAACTTTGAAAATTGAGCTTAGGTAATCAGTTCACGAGCAAAGCCCATCAAAAAGGGCTCATACCCTGCTTATAATGCGCTAGGATTATCGTACAGCCGTATAGAAAGGAAAAGGGAAGAAGGCGGCGACATGTATTAGCGCGATAAAATGTGGGTGACCTCACACTCTCAAATGGAATGTAATTTTTAACGCTTTTGCTCATAGTTGTCGACAATGTATCTGAAATTCTCAAACTCGTAAGTTTTTTTGAGGCAGATACGTATCTAAATGGTAATCTTTTCTGCGTGACCCCTTCCCGCAAAATCTTTCCGGCAAGTGCCATTGGCATTTTCTGCATAGAAGCCATTAATTGATCGAGTCAAACTCATTGATAAACTCTCATCCATTTCTAGTTTAGACAGCATTTCACATTGCCCAAAACGCAATGTCTAATCATAATTCTTTGTTTAACTCAAACTCTAGCAATCGTATATCAGGTATTAAACTAATCTTTATAATCATTTTAGCATTATTTTAACCAACGATTTTCTCTAGATATCTTTCGCGGGAATTGGCACGACGTGCAAAGCCTCACTCCAAAAAAATTAGAAGCAGAGGCTGAGTTGAACAAGGAAAATCAATTTGAAGGGAAAACGACGAACGGCTTGGCGGAAAGTGATTGTATAAAGACTGCGACTCAAGGGGAGCACGTGAGAATGCCGAACATCAAGGTGAGAAATGGAAAATTGTTTTATGATGAACTAATCATTAGAATAAAATTACAAGGAAAATGAACCAAAACATATTTCAGATCTTTTCCGGGTCTTCTCATCCCGACTTGACAGCACGCATTTGTGAACGTTTACAAATGGAGATTGGAAATGCTTCACTCACAAAATTCTCCAATAAGGTTTTTTTATTTAAAATACGACAATGATCAACATTACATGCTACAGGAGATCAAGGTCGAAATCAAGGAGTCGGTGCGAGGTGAAGATGTGTTTATCGTGCAATCAGCATGTGGTAATATTAATGATCATCTAATGGAGTTGCTAATAATGATCAATGCGTGCAAGATTGCCTCTTCGTGCAGGTTTGTGCTTATTTCGTTTTCAGTGCATAATGAGGGGAAATTGTTAGAGTGGCGGCTGTGATCCCTTGTTTTCCATATGCACGACAAGATAAAAAGGATCGATCACGGGCTCCAATTTCGGCTAAACTCGTAAGTGCGCATTGGGAAAATTTTGAGCCAAACATTTCAGAAAGAAAGCCAAACTTTTTCAGATAGCAAACATGTTGTCGGTTGCTGGAGCAGATCATATCATTACAATGGATCTACATGCATCGCAAATTCAAGGATTTTTCGACATACCAGTCGATAATCTTTTTGCTGAGCCGGCCATATTGCGCTATATTCGAGTAATTTTTGTCATTTTTTAGCCATCCTTAAACTTTCTAGGAATCGATTCCGAACTGGAAAGATGCAGTGATCGTTTCTCCGGATGCCGGTGGAGCAAAACGGTTTGTTGAAGCTAGCTCACCTACAATTAGTTACAGAATTTTACAACATCAAAATTCTGATCAAAATCAAATATAAAGACTTTTAACAAAACCGTACAATTAAGCCGTAAAATTTCAAAGGTTTAGCCTAATTTAGTAAATCTTAAATAACTTTAATCTTTCGAAGTTTTCACATAAAAACGTTTGGCTTTCACGACTAGCTTTCACGCCTCGCCATGGCCGACTGGCTAAGGGCCCTGTATCGTAGTCGTTAGTCGGGTTGAATCTCGGCGAGGTCATGGATTCAATCTCGCCAGCTAGATCTCGCCAGCTAGACACGAATTCCATTGATATACATGACGTTTTTTCTTCCCTACATTTAGGGCTTAGGGGTTGTGCTTATATATTGTTTATACCAAATTATTCGTGTGAATAAATGCATTTTTTATATAAATATATTCAGAGTGACAGCTATTGCCGATCGACTCAATCTCGACTTTGCTCTAATACACAAAGAGCGCAAACGTGCAAATGAAGTGGAAAAGATGACACTTGTGGGCGATGTAAAAAACAAGGTTCTGAAAATTGTGCTTTTGAGTTTGAACTCATACAATCATAAACATTCTAGATTGCAATTCTCGTCGATGACATGGCTGACACTTGTGGAACTGTTTGTCTGGCTGGTGACAAGTAAGAACAACATTTCAGAATGCTATCCTCTAATCCCAATTTCAGATTGATTGAAGCAGGGGCTGCGAAAGTGTATGCATTTTGCGTTCATGGAATTTTTTCCGGTTCTGCTTTGCAACGGTAGGCTTCTGATTTAAAACATAAAAAAATAAATGTTTTAGTCTAAACGATTCGGTATTTGAAGCAGTTATCGTTACAAATACTATACCTCAGGAAGAGAACATGAAAATCTGCCCAAAAATTCAGGTATGACAAAGGGAAATACTTGAATATCTTGAAATGATTTTAAAAAGTTGCAATTTAGTGCATCGACATCTCGATGATTTTGGCTGAAGCAATTCGTCGCACACACAACGGGGAATCTGTCTCCTATTTGTTTAGCAATGTACCTTTATGTTAATATCTTATATCAAATCTTCCAAAGTATCATTTTAACTGTTACCCCATTTAAAGCTGAGAATTCCCTCCGACTTCTAGAAGTTGTTATATAAAACGTTTCAATAAATCTTGTTTATCTTTTGCCTCATTTTTCTTCTACGGACTATCGGTCCTTATATTTATTCAAAAACTTAACTCTCTGAAAACACTTTGAAAGCAAATACCTATGTTCCGTGTGAAAAGTTTTCCATTGGAAGGCAAAAAGAAAAGCTTTTTCTTTGAAAAGGGTTACATGCAGTGCGTTCAGTCATTCATTTTTAGAAAACTTAAAATGCTATGACAGTTAAGTAATTTAGAAATTCTAGATCAGCTGCATGAAATTGATCATTCTCGTGCTCTTGCTTTCAGTATTTTCGATTGTCGAAGCTCAGGTTTGGGAGACTGGAGACAATTCGACAATTAAAGGATGCAGGTTAGAAATCAGAATCAGAAAAAAACAAAGATAGCCATGGAACTTTGAATGAAAATTAAATGAGAGTTTTTCAGCACAAAATGTGCCATGGACAACTCAGATTTGGATTGCTGGAATAAAACTCTCGAATTCTTCGAAAAGGTAGTCAATCGAATGAAGTCTTTAAAAAAGAATCAAATAACAGAGCCTTATCGCGCAGCTTCGTAACTATGTCTCTGTTCAAGTGAATATCGATCAATGGTGGAGGAGACATGGAAAAAGTGATGGGCAAAACTTTGAAGATGTACCTTTGAATTTATTCAATCAAAACTTTAAGAAATTTTGCAGGTTCGCGCGACAGCTAAAGAGGCATTGGGAAAACTGATCGTGGATAAAGATGTTCTTTCGTCAAACACAGTTAATGGTGTGGTTGACTCGTTGATTGATCAAGCCAAAAAAGTGAGAAATATGTAGAAACCAAACGATATTTGTTTAAAGTTCTATTATTTGTTCAAAACAAAGTTCACAATTCTATACGTAAATATTTGAGTACTCGAATCGAACAATCTCATTTGTTCCGCACTTTTCGTGTCCTTTGCCTTGTGAATATCGTCACGACATGTACCGAAATCTTTTCATCGCATCGGTAAATGAGCACAAAAAGTCTCGCAAACTCTTTTTACCAATTCCAGGTGATCTTGAACGTTTGTTTGGCGATTTCCGTGGTTCCGTTTATTCGACGAATCACGAGACAATACAAAGAGAGCAATCTTTTGATGGTTTCATCAAGCTGAAAGCTGTTTTCTTGAATGCGATTTTCCCTTTTTATATGTCACGTCCGATTTTGAAACCTTTTATCTTCGAAATCACTTTTTATCTAGAAAGTCATTTCAGCGACTCTGATGCAAAAAACATTATTCTGTTAAAGAGGTTTCAAAATGAAACCTAACATAAACATTCTAGTTTACATATCTTCTAGTCATTGCATGCTCAACTTTACTGTAAGCAATTTTCAGGTAGCTACTTTTTTATCGAAGTATTACTTGAAAGACATTCCTAGATGTAGAAAGTATTCCCATTGAACTTTAGCCTCAGCATTCCTAAATGAGCAATATCAGACCCGTATCTAACTTACCATTATTATCTATTCTTGGCTTCTTGGCGTTTTCTAAAATGTTTCAATTTTTGCAAACTACCGTAATCTTACTATTCCCTTTTGTGTTTATTTTATGCATGTCTGTTTTTTTTGCTGTAGTTGGTGCCATCTTCGTGATTCGCTTGCCGTTTTCTTTTCTGAAAAGATTCACTTAATCTTAATTTCACTTTTTCTTCCCAATCCCCTGAGCAATATCATTTGGTCACTTTCAAATAAAAGTTGTGCAGAGCAAATCTTATTTTTTTTCAAGTACAGTCTATATTACTTTCCTATTTAAAATGGAAGGATTTGAAAGCGGAACCTTTGTTTTACATAAAATTATAGAATCAAACATGGACAGTTTATTAATGTTGGCTGATTTTGCAAAGCTTGATAATCGTCAAGTGAATGTAAAAGAAACAACTTTCGAAGTAAGTCTTTTAAATTCTTTTGAAACCTTAAAAAGTGTATCATGTAAAATCCGAAAATTTTCGATGCCAAGTGACAACGGAGATCACGCCTATTTGCCAAAAAGTGATTTCGAGCTTCTCGTCAACTCAACGCATAATTATTTTGGACGGTTGTTTTTAGTTTTTAGATATCTGATAAATAAAAGTTCTAGAGTACCACAAGCGGAGCAAAGCTCAGAAGATATCGACCATGCATATGCTCTATGGCTTCCTGGCGATTCGGTGAGCTCAAGTTCACTATGCTTTATCAAGAAATAAATTTAAGGGTATAAATAATGAGATGTTATCCGAAGCAACAACTTCCAGACAGGTGAGTGAAGACAAATCAAAAGATAAATATATGTTACGTCCGTTATTGAATCTATTCAATAACGGACGTTCAACTCTGAATCGGACGAAATTCATTAACGAACGTAACGTATACAACACAAATGCTTAGGATTGGATAGAGGAAAATGAGGGAAAACAACGTGTTTGTAAATGGAGAGAATGTACGGTTAGAACAATGACGGTTGATGAAGCGGAAATGCATCTTGATTCACATCTTCAAGTAAAACTTCATTCTACTTTCAAGAAGCTCAACATCTTTAGCCAAAAACAAGATCTTGTGAATGGATTGGATGCCCGAAAATGGGTCGTGCCTATGCTGCTAGGTTTTGCCAACTCTTTCTCTATTCTGAATGATTTTTTTTCAGATATCTTTTGCGAACTCACATGCGATCTCATATCGATTCGCTTCCATTCAGCTGTGATGAGTGCGGGAAACAGTTTCGAACACGAGAACGAGAGAAACTTCATCGACGAGCTCTTCACAGTAATGAGGTGATCAAAATAAATGAATAACATTTTGATAACTCAAAACTTTCTGTATAAGACCTGCAGCATTTTTTAGGATCGACGTTACAAATGTGAATCGTGTGAGTCGAGATTTTACAGTACTGCCGAAAGAAGGGCCCATTTCCTGCGAGCGCACTTGAGTTCGTGAAAACAAGTTGCCACAAGTCTTTTATCCGTTTTCAGAGCAACGGTTTTTGTGCGATTTATGTGGAAGGCCAATGGCCACAAAAGCTGTTCTCCTCAAACACAAAAAGATCCGTCATTCCGAAATGCAAATACTGTAAAGTTTAAATCTCTCTTGTCTCTCAACAGTGATCTCAAATTCGTGCTCGTGTTTTTGACAAAATAAATTTTTATCTTTGAGAACAGCGCATTCACAACACGAGTTTTCATTTCATTCTGATACATTGAATGAAAAAAGTAATTTTCAACTCAATTGAAACATAAAAAGGAACAATCTCTACAAAAGAGTGCATATGCAGAAAAATCACCCGATTGAGATCAGTCATTTAATATCCGTCAATCAATAAATAGCACTGAAAAACAAAGAAAAAAAAACAAAACTGATATAGAGTAACAAAAACTTTGCATTAATGCCTACTTTCAACCATTTTTTGGCGGAATGGGTTTACAGAGAAGCACCGGAAAATGAGAGAGTTTGTCGATCAAATGGAAGACCGGAAAGGGGTTGCTGAGAACCGAACTGTTTCGCGCACTCTTCGAATACCTTAAATCAATTGCTCTATAAATATTTGTGATTAGTCCAGACTGTGATTTGTCACTCAACCCCTAAGTCCTAAATGCAGGGAAAAATCCATATATTTGGGAAAAAGAACCCATGATCTAGTCGGTGGGATTGAACCCTTGACCTCCCGACTCTCAGCCAGTTGGTCAGTCTCGTGACGTGGCGGCCAGTCTCGTTCAACGAAAGCAACTCTATAAGCACATAGACACTCACCGGATTTCGGAAACAGCTTTTACGGCAGTGTGCGTGTAGATTGGGTTTATCGTGGGAATACATCTCGTGACACATTAAACAAACCTTTTCCAATAATTCAGCTACAATTGGATTCCGTAACTGAAAAGGTGAGATTATAAGTGAGATTAAATATAATATTTTGTTTTTTGTATCAGTGTTACTCACCTTACTACATCCACTTTTGGGTCTTCTTTCTCGAGCAGCTTCAATGGGTGAGATTAAACACATAAGGCAAACAATCATCAAAAACAATGCGAAACATTTCTTTGAAATGTCTCGATTACTTGATATTTGTGACTGTTGATCTGAAAGAAAACGTTGAATGGAATGGATTTGACTTGAGGGCTTACTCGTAGTTCGAATGTGTTGGAATTGATGGGTGGATTGAGTGGTGAATGAGGTGGTCGAGCATTCTCCTCCTTGCAATCGTTGCTCTGCTTCCATATCTATTCATTATGTAAACTTTGGTATTTCGTAAAACAAAAATATGATTTGAAAACAAAAAAAGCGAAGTGAACTAAACTCCTTTGCTTAACAGATGTTTATTGCAATGATATAAATCCGGAAATGGATAAAAAAGATTGAGATCGTCTATTTTCCAAATCAATAAATAGAGATCCTCGATTGACTCATAAAACTCGAGTCCAAGAAAGGAAAAAAAAGAATGTACATAGATTGAAAAACGAGGTGGGAGGGGAACAAAAGAGAATGACATGGGAAAATAAATACTCTGTGTCGGCGTCAAAATTCAATCAGACGACAAATAAATGATTGAAAATAGAGTTTCTCTCTCTCTCTTTTCTCCGATACTCTTTCTAATGATTACATTCAGAAGAACAAAGGAAATACTTTTGACTGCGGGAAAATGAAGTCGTTTTTATTTCGAAGTGGAAGAGTTAGATGGGAATCGAAAAGAAAACAACGATTGAAATGCGTGAGAGAAAGATTCTTTAAAAGGTAGGCAGATGAAGGTGAATGGAAGAACTTTTTAAGTGTCTCCCCATTTCTTCTCTTTTCTTATTCTCAAAGTCTTCTGTTCTTGCTCGTCATCGCATCCCACGCACGACTTGAGTCTCAACCTTTCCCCCACTCATTTATCCCCATTTTTTTAGTCATTCATCGTGTAAGTGGTTCTTTTTTTGAGAATAAAAAGAATATCGTAGTTTATCTGACTATGAGAGTAACACCCATAGCGATAATTTGAGGCTTTTCGTTGCTAAGAGAACTTATTGAACGTAATAGGCGTTTGTTGATAAATGTATAATAAAAGAGTGATAGAGGAAAATGAATGGGTAGAATTATAAAATTGAAAGGGCAAACGGGTTGAACAAAAAAAGGGGAGATTGGCTTAAAATGCGAACATAAGAGGCTAAGGGTCACTTGAGGGGACATTGATGGAGGAGATGTGGGGTGGAGGGGAGTGGGAGAGCTTCCCCCTCCACCTCGATTCTTTAGTTCTGAAATCCAACCCCACCCCCACCACCCTCCACTTCGTCCACCGGAAATCACTCTGATTTTGCAAAAGTCAGGCAACAAAATATGCAAACTGGGTGCAATAAAAGCTCTTCCGAAAACCGACCCCTCCTGATTTTTGTTTTCCTTGATCAAATTTTACTCTCCTTCACCATTATGGACATGGACATAAAATGACAAAAGTGCTTTTAAGAGAAACAAATCAGAAACAAAGTTTTGACCAATAACTATTAATTGGAATGATCGGCAAAATGGGTTCAATCGGTAAAAATAGCAAATGAATGGCTTCAAATTTTGCCGTTTTTTTGTTATTGAAAGGTTTCTCAAATGTACAAGATGGATTCGCCATGAAAAAGTTTGGATGAAACAAGGATTGTTTAAAGGAAAAGGACTGAGTAACTCAAAATGTTTAGAACGGAATTGAGGGGGTGTAAAATGGGAGGATGATGAAGAGATCTTTTTATTTTTTGCTCAGAGAAAAATGAGAAAACTCATCGCTCGAAAATTGCTTTTGATGATGCTCGCAGCTTTATTTTGGTAATATTCGTCGAGGAGAAAACTCATTTTAATCAAATTTTTTTGCGAACAGAACTCTGTCCTTTATATGACACGAAGAGAATTTCTCGGTTTTCTTGATTGTCTGCTCGTCTCTCATATATACTATGTATACACAAACAAAAAGAGAGACCGGGTATTTTTGTTCAAATGAGTGTTTTGAGGGCAATGAAAAGAAGACCACTTCGGAGTGTGGAAATGGCATTTAAGAGGAAATTGAACTCATCTCCAAAAAAAGAGAAATCGTCCATCGATCAAACAATAGACGAATGTTAAACCAAAGATTTGTGCACGCTTTGACTTTTGTCCAAAGTCCAAAAAGCTTTAAGAAAACTCTAAACAATGATTTTTAAAATGTATTCATTCACACGAATGTGGTACAAACAATACATAGGCACAACGCCTAAGACCTAAATGGAAGGAAGAAAAGAACCCATAGTTATGGGAAAAAGAACCAACTATCTAGTCGGCAGGATTGAACCCTTGACCTCCCGACTAGGATACAGGGCTCTTACTCACTCGGTCATTGCGGCAATTATGAATAAGCCTGTGTTTTGGAAAGGGCATTCTAAAGACAAACTCCAGAATTTTTCGATTTCGGTGAGTGTATTTGTTTGTCCGAAAAGAGTGTTATGATTGATGGAGGCACTTAGGGAACTCAAATCTTTCCTTCTCTTCGCTCAATTCGGTGATTCCGAATAGGGTTCATATTTACTCACCCAAATTGCGGAGGAAGAATTGAGAATTGAGTGAGAGAGAGGGAAAGAGTCAAGGGAGTGTATACTGTTCTCCCATTCGCGCATTTTTCTAAATTCTCCACATCAACTAGTTATAAGTTATTGGGATTTTAAAAAATTGTTATATTATAAAGTTAAAGTCTTATCATCTAGTCAAATTGACAATGCTATTTTTTTCGGTTTTTCGGATATAAACAATCGTTGCTAAACTTATTGTTATGAGGAAAGCTTTTAAAACATGTCTTTCTGTATTCAAAAGTACGTTATCTTGCGCATATTTGGAATCTTTTTAAACGTATAATTTCTTATTTTTAAGTGCTTTTTTCTTGCTTTAGATGACCGACTTGAAACATCAAGTTCGCGTCTGTCTACTTTACGACTTCAAACTGGGCAAAACAGTCGCGGAATCCCATCGAGATTTGGTCAAAGTATTTGGGAATGATGTATTGTCCGAAAGCCGATGCCGAGCCTGGTTCCGAATGGTGATGAAAGTCTCGAGGATGATGAACACTCTCGTCGACCTCAAGCGGTAGACAACGTTATTTTGAGGGCTACAATCGAACCGGATCCATGTCAAACGACGCGCAAACTTGCTCAACAGTTTCTATGTTCAAATTCTACCATTGATGAGCATTTCCACGCCATTGGAAAGACGATCAGATGCGGGAAATGGCTTCCTCACAAGTTAAGCAGTGCAAACAAGGCTTCACGGGTCGCTATTCCCGGAATCCTCATCCACCACGCTAAAGATCATGGCTTTTTTGATTCTCTCGTTACTGGAGATGAGAAGTGGATCCATTTCGATAATACTATTCGAAAACGGAAATGGCTAGGATCGGGAGAATCCGACCGTGAAACCGGACATTCATGGAAAAAAGATCATGCTCTCAGTATGGTGGAATAGCAAGGGCCTTGTTTATTTTGAGCTTCTACAACCCGGCCAAACAGTCACATCCGACCTCTACAAACAGCAACTTGATCGGGTCAATGAAGCTCTCATTCGTTACGGAGTAGACACATCAAAGATAAAGTTCATCCATAACAACGCTAGACCACACGTTGCAAAAATGGCTCAGCAAAAACTAGAAAATCTAGGATGGGAAGTTTTACCACATCCGCCGTATGCTCCCGATTTGGCTCCCTCAGATTACCTTTGATTCCGGTCGATTCAAAACTTTTTGGCCAATGAGAAATTCAAAAACCGTGAAGATGACCAAAATTGGGTCGCCAAGTTTTTCGAGTCACAGCCGGCTGAGTTTTTCAAGAGCGGCATCAATTCTTTGCGCAAAAGATGGCAAGAAGTAATCAATAATAATGGTGAATATATTTTAGATTAAACTGTGTTGTTTCTGTTTTTAAGATAAATTTTGTCGACTACTAAAACGCTCGTTTATATCCGAACAACCTAATAGTTTGCTGACTGTTTCGAATTTTCTGATAAGCGATCATTCTTTTAAGGTTGATTGATGCTATTTCTTTCTGTTTTGAGAATGGAAGAAAGAAGTCTTAAGGGTTCATTGTTTGCAGATAAACATATGAAATTATGCGGGCGAGCCGACACTTCAAAGTGGTGCACACCATGGTGTGTGTGTCCCTTCTCTTCTTCCTCAACTCTTTTTCATTTCATTCTCTTTTCGTAAACCTCGGCCCCAAGGCCGTTCATCGGATAATCGTAAAACTAACGGTCATCTGCCTCTCTTTTCTTCGCTCATCACCGTTTTCTTGAGCGATATTTTTATTTCGCTTTTTCTAATAGATTGAAATGGTTGAATGTACTTCATCAAATGATGACTACAGTCATGTATTCACTCCGACACGATATAATGACAATTCAGATGATCAAACTCAAATGTAAGTCTTTTGTCCCATCCAAAACTCATAAAGCTGTATTGGGTTGGCGGATAGTCAGTACGAATTTTCAAAATGATGCAGAAACCAATCAGAAAACGGCTTGAACCATTAGAAAGGCCCTTTTTTCCTCTCCAAAATAGCTTTTAAGAGATTTTGGAAAAATTTCGTTTTTGAGGTTTTTAGGCATTTATTATCCGCCAACCTAATATATACAGGGTGTCCGAAAAAAAGTGGTCATCGGTTTGAGTTTGGTAAAGTTTTCTTGTTGCCTTTTCAAGGCTCATCGTGGTGTCAGAATTGGTTTTGCCTCAGGCGCCACACAACGAGATGAAGTTGATTTTTTTGATGATTTTGTGAATTGGGGGTTATGCATCGACCGGGCAGCTCAAAGTCCAAGTATAAGGCCCAAGTACAAGTATACATGAAAAACACACTTTTGAATTCCTCTATTTCACCACAAATCTTTCTACTTTTTGCTTCTATAAATTTGTTTTTATATTAGGATCTTGAAAATAAGAGACCCCCGCAAAAAGTCGGTCCTGGGAAAGCATCAACATGAGGGTTTTCTCGTTTTTTAAAATTTAACGATCTTTTCAAGATCTTTGAAGCAGCCAATCCAACAATGGAAACTGAAATTGTGGCTAGAACATTTAAGGACTCAAGATACGTGGGCTTTGAGCTTCCCGGTCGATGCATGACCCCTTATTCACAAAATCATCAAAAAAAAATCAACTTCATCTCGTTGCGTGACACCTAAGGCAAAACCAATTCTGACACCACGATGAGCCTTGAAAAGTCATATTAGAGTCAAGATATAAACTAAGATTTTTAGCCAAACACTTGATCCATCTACATCTGTCGATAATGATAATCTGTCGTACATAAGAGATTTTCAAAACGCTTCTTTAAAAAAGTGCCCCGTTTTTTTCAAGGAAACGCTGATCAATAAAGTGTATGGTTTAAACTTGTAGTTATCCTAATAGTGTTTATTATGCACCACGATGTCAGTAGAAAGTTCTAATTTTATGGCAAAAATCTCACGGTCGTTGCCCATATGGTGGTGACCGTGGTGGTAAGAAATTTTCGTGCATAAAATATGCATAATTCGTGCATCGTGAAAATGAAAAATTCGAAAAAAGTCAACTTTTTCAGAGAGAAAAAACACTTTTGGCACCAGAGTTGCTACCAAAAGCCACTACAGATCACTACAGATACAGAACCACTACAGAACGCGAACTCACTTTTTTTCGAACACCCTGGACAGGGTGTCCAATAGAAAACGTTTTCAAACCGGAATTCTTCAGAATTTCTGGTGGCTAGAGGTGATCGGTGTGGTGTCATAATGAATCATTTGTGCTCTAAAATTTTTCATCTTTTTCATAAAATCGCCATGTCTCGACAGAAGTATCGTGATATTATGGTTGCCACCATGGCCACCACCTTGATATCATCAACAGGGCAAAAATTTTACCGTAGAGTGAAGACTTTCTACTGGCATCGTGGCGTCATATTAGAGCTAACATATGAACTAAGATTTCTAACCAAACAGTTTATACAAGAATACAAAAAATTCTAAACCATATGCTAATCTCTCGTACATAGCTTGTTCTCCCAGCTTGCCGCCTTTAGGGAGGCGTCCAGTTTTTTCGAGGAACTGCTGATCAAAAAGTATTTGGTTAGAAATCTTAATCTCGTGATACTCCTATTGAGTGGTGATTTTATGAAAAATATGAAAAATTTTAGAGCACAAATGATTCATTATGACACCACACCGACCACCTCTAGCCACCAGAAATTCTGAGGAATTTCGGTCTGAAAACGTTTTTTTATTGGACACCCTGTATATATGTCGAAAATGATGAAAAGAGACTCCTGGTCATCAAGTAATCAAACCAAGGTTTTAGATCCTGCGCCGAACGTCTTGTATCCATCCTTGATGAAGTTCAGCAAAATTTAGAGGCCGAACATGAGTATCATACGCCAAAAAACGTGTTTATTCCCGAAATGATGTAAGTGTAGTGATTTAATGGCATCTAACGAAAATTTTCAGAATGTCGCGAAGTCTGATTCACCAAGAAATAATTGATGCCTATGAATATGATCCATCCGCTGCAGGCTTTCAAATGTCTACCATTGAACCCTTCTATGGGTTAGTCTAGCAGAAACAGACCAAGGAATGAAATGACTATTCTTTAGCACGATCGATAATGAGGAAAAGATACTCGATCATCAACCGGAATTGATCGATTTCACATGGTAGTTACCTTAACCGATAAATGTCAATTATTTATAGCTCACCAGCCCTCCCAACGAAGAGCCATGTACCATTCCCTGTGAGATCCGATCAGTCATTAGATGGACTTTTGGAGGAACTACGCTTTCAGCCAGAAAGTTCAAACAAATTTTACAAACGAATTCAAACTTGGCGTGAGTCTCAAAGCGCACAAAATTTTAAAATTAGTGGCTTCCAGGTGAATGCCTGGCACTCGACACCTACGATGCCGGCCTAACCATTGCATTTATTGTCGTTATATTCGTTGGTGTTTTTGGAGGTATTTTACTTTTTCTTTGAGTGTACAATAAATTTATTAGCTTCGGAAAACTTATACCACAGAAAACGAGAAAATTAAGGGTCACTGCGTTACAAAACGAACCTAGCATTCTCACAAGTTAGAATGCCAGCACAATGAACGAGCTAACCCGGCGCGTCAATACTTAGAAATTTGGAAGAACAATATTTTTTACCGAAACAAACTACAAAACAATAAACCTAAAGACAGCTAAATGAACTCTCTACTAGCGATGACGCGCATTTTCACTAGCATAAAATCTTGAGCGAATCAGAAGACAACTAAAGAGGAGAAATCTCTAGGACAAAAATTTTTATTTGTTTCTATTTATTTCTTGGCCGCAGCAGCAGCAAGCTTCTTCAATCCTTCGGTTGAGTGCGACTTTGGTCGTTCCAATGGCAATCCCATTCCACGAGCCCAGATAAGCTAAAATAAAAGCAATAACATTTTAAAACGTCAGTTTTAAAACCAAAGGGTATTTAAATACATATGCAGAATTCAATTCGTAAAATACCTGCGAGAGACATCCAAGAGCACGAGAAACTCCGAAGAGCACCGTGTAGAAAGACATTTCAGTCATTCCAAAATATTGAAGCAACACACCAGAGTGGGCATCAACATTGGGCCAAGGGTTCTTTGCCTAAAATTAAAATGTTCGGATGCAGCAATTAAAAATCACTTACTTTTCCCTGCTCAAGCAAAATATCCGGGGTGACCTTGTACAGAGTTGACACCAGACGGAAGAGTTTATCCTTGGGTAAATGCTTGAGAGCAAATTCACGCTGGCATTCGTAGCGCGGGTCGGTTTTGCGGAGAACAGCGTGACCATATCCCGGGACAACCTATAGACAAAGGACAAATTATAATCGATCAACAAAAAAAATACCTGTCCACCCTTAAGATGTTTCCAGACCCAATCCTTTAGTTGCTGTTCGGTGTAATCGAAGCCAATTTCACCCACAATCTTGTTGAGGAAAAGCAAGACCTAAAAGCAACTTTGTTGAGTTTTGATTCAATGACAAACCTCTTGATTAGCCAATCCATGAAGAGGACCAGCCAGTCCAGCCATTGCAGCAGAGAACGATAAATAAGGATCAGAAAGAGCCGATCCGACGAGATGAGATGTGTGTGCAGAAACATTTCCTCCCTCGTGATCAGAGTGAATCACCTAAAGTATTGTTTTATGCCAATAGCTCAAGTTACTAATCATAATTATACCTTAAAGTTTAAAGCAAACGCAAAGATCAATAAACAAACTAACCAGATAAAGACGCATCAGCTCAGCAAAGAGGGGATCATCATAACCAAGCATGGCGCAGAAATTGCCAGACCAATCTTTTTTTGGATCAATGACCCCAACTGGAGTGCCATCACGATACAGATTTCTGTAAATCATCGCAGCAACGGTGGGAAGTTTGGCCAGCAAGTCCATTGAATCTTCGTAAGCGTATTCCCAATACGCAGCCTTTGGCACTCCACGAGAATAGGCAGCAGAAAACTAAATGCAACACTTTATATACAGACATTCAGTGTGCAGAACGACATAATTCAATCGGTCCAAGAAATTCATATATCAACATGATGGCTAACCTTGCTTTCGTTGTTGAGGGCTGCGATTGCCGCGATAAATTGTGCCATCGGATGAAGACTATCAGGGAAGTTGTCCAACATGCGAGCCACGTGAGCTGGAAGGTCGGCTCGAGCATTCCATTCTTTTGTGACAGCAGCAGTCTAGCAAAGAATTCAGCATGAATAAATTGCATTAAAATTTACCTGTTTATCATTTGGAATGTCACCGGTGAGAAGAAGCCACCAGATACCTTCGGGGATGGGCTCCTCACCACCTGGGGCTTTAGGCAAAAGCTTCTGGCATTCGGGGATCGAGTAGTTGCGGAATCGAATTCCTTCCTCTGGATCCAGCACGGATGTTTCAGTCACCATTCCTTTCATCGAACGCATGCCACCATAGATCTTCAGCAACATATTCATGAACCATCACCTATTTCTCACCATATCAACGTTGACTTGTTGCACAACGGTGTTGGCGTGTTGTGTACGGAACTCTTTGACGGCCTTGTTGTGTTCTGGAATTTTCTTCGAGAGGACTTCCTTCAGATTTGTCGATTGTTCCGCCCCAGTTGAAAGGCATGCTCCGCTCTAAAACAAAAAATAGTATAAAAGTATGCATGATACTCCCAAATTATCAGTTATTCCAAAAATTTGGCATCAAATGGAAAACAAAGGTAGTTCATTGGCTAAGAAAACTGTTCAACTAAGAATGCTAAAGTGATATACCTTGGTGACCAATGATGGCGCTCTTCGGAGGACAAAAGCAGAAAGCGACATGGCTAAGCGCTACCTGAAAAATGCAAATACATTTCAGAAAACCCTCAATAAACGGAAAAAAACTGCCTAAGTTTTTTTGGAATGATCTATGGGACCAATTAAGCTTTTATGAAAAAATTCCGAGAAAAAAAAGTTTAAGTTTCTCGGATTTGACTAGGTAAAGACTTGATGCATTTTCCAAATCTTAATCGTAAATGAAACGCAGTCGTTGGAAAGTAGCACTAATGAAGCCAAAAAAATAATAAATCAAATATCTTCAAGAGGTCAAGATAAAATAGTGCCATGAACTCACAATTCCGTAAGCTGTTCAAGGGAATCAGGGTCAGTTCTGGGTTTGGCGGCGAAAAATTTGTAGTTTGATGCCGGTTTTCAAAATTATTTTCAGCCCATAGAGTAGATGAGAAAACGCCGTACATTTTAAAAGGCTCCAACAACTTTAACTTCAAACAATGAAATAATGGAAATCTTGCACACATTCTGAAGTTTAAATAGCCAGTTTTTGTTTGTTTGGAAAGAATGGTTGTTCCAGCACGAGGCTGAATAGCTATACTTAGTTCTTTTTGCTTTAATGACATCTCTATTCTCTTTTAATTTAAAACACAGCTTCCTAGGTTTTTAGTTGGGAACTTTGTTTGATTATGGCTTTCTTGGATTTCACTTCATTTTTAAAAGACTCTTACTCATTGCTTTTTAGGGTGAATGCTATTATCGAGCGCTCGTTGTGTGGCCAGAGCACGCGAGGATCGAAGGCCGCTTTACAGGAGGATTTTCACAAATCGTCGTCTTGATATTGCTCATAAAAGTGAGTTTTGTAGATACATTGGACTACCGGGTAGTAGTGCGCACATGCCTAACGGTAGAAATTTGTTTTAGTAGCGTTCCACTGGTGACAAAAAGTTTGAGGGACACCCTTTTAGGTTAAGTTTCCCCCTTTTGTTTTAGATTTAAAGTTTTTTAAATGAATTGCATTTTTTATACCTACTTGATTAGATTATCATAAAAAAAACTTTGAAAGCCAAGATCGGAAATAAAATACAACCTAACGGTGGTCGTCGATGAAACTCACCGAACAGCACAAGTATCCGAAAATTAAAGTGCTTTGTAATGAAAACGTTAGCAGTATATAAATTGTGACTAATTTTTTATGATATCCAAAATTTTTCTAACTCTAGTAACTAATTTAAATCTGGAAACTTTAGCCGTGGTACGATCGATCTTTGGATTCCTGCTATTTAGCTGCTCGTACGTGATTGTCAATACCGGAATTTACTACAAGTTTGTACGACCGATCAGACAGGTTAAACTTCTAGTTTGTATTTTATTTAATGTTTTTTTTAGGAGGAAAGGGAGCGTTTGGAACAAGAACTTATCGAGGCAGATAAAGCTGGTTTTAAAATTAAATGAAGGTAAATTCTGAGTTTTATTTATTCCGCGTTCTGCGGATGTGGTGACCTTGTACAAATTTTTGAAATTTAGATCTCACGCCTTTTTGGTTTCATTTCTTCGCGAAACGATACCCTTTTTGTTGCTGGTTTAACTTTTGGTGTTGCCTTCGAATTAGCTAAAGTAAATGTCAATTAATAACAACTTATCCTACTCTTATTTTAGATTCACTTGAACTTCGCTGGTGTTAGTTTTTACAAGAGGTTCAAGCAAAAACAATTAGCAAAAGAGCTTCAGCTTTTTGAAAAACAACTTCAGGTGGGATGTTTTTATTTTCTTGTACAATACACATGACTGTTTGAAGCAAATAATAATGAACAAAGTCGCTTAAGATGTAGTTTTTCCTGGACTGTTTTGTTTTCGAGTGGTTACGACAAAATTCCTGATTTAATTTAAATCCAAACTTTTAGGAGCATGAACGTCTCCTATCGCAGGCCCATACTATTCAATCAGAATGATGATCATCATTTATGCGCATCGTTCCTAGTGGTTTGATTTGTTTTGTTATTTGTGTAGGTTAGTTTAGAAATTAAAGTGTTGTTGACTTGTTCTTTTTTGTTTTTATTTATCTGCACATATAAAATTTTGCGTTTGTTTAAAGAATAAAATGGAATGAAGAATAAATTATTTAGGAAAGTAATAAAAAAAAGGAAAATTAATAAACACTATTAGGATAACTACGAGTTTAAACCATACACTTTATTGATCAGCGTTTCCTTGGAAAACCGGGGCACTTTTTTTAAAAAGCGAGTGGAAAATCTCTTACGTACGATAGATTATCATTATCGACAGATGTAGATGAATCAAGTGTTTGGCTAAAAATCTTAGTTTATATCTTAACTCTAATATGACATCACGATGTCAGTAGAAAGTTTTAATTTTATGGCAAAAATCTCATGGCCCATATGGTGGTGGTGACCGTGGTGGTAAAAAATTTTCGTGCATAGGGGTCGAGAACACAAAAAATTGAAAAATTGCCTTAAGGAAAAAACAGTTTTGGCACTAGGAGTGCCACCAATAGCCACAAAGTTTTTCTAAAATTCGGTTGGAAAGGCGCCTTTTTTTGAGATACCCTGTACATATTGTACGGACCGGTCGCTCTTTTAAAGAGGATCATAGTGCTGAAGTAAACTTTGTAAATAAAGCACCTACTTGTTCTCAAGGAAATTCTTCATACCTAGAGCAAACGCTTTTGCTAGAGGCCCTTTCCTTGTTCGACTAGTATTATGGTGTCCTTGATCCGAGGGTACAGCAAAAAAAAAAGGAGATGGGATTCGGCAAAAAGTGCCTACCAAGCCAAATTCACAAAGTTTGAATCTTTTATTTCTTTGACCTTGGTCTGCGATGTTAGCGAAAATGAGCTGGGATATTTTACTCACGTTTATATATCTTGACAACGCAAACGTATTTAATTAATACATGAGTATAAAGTAAGTTTTGTGTGTTGAGAAGTTTCTTCCTCATACTTTGAAACCGATTTTTTATAATGAATCTAAACTTCTCGGGTTATAATTATTCAATAATGTGGTGTAGACCAGCTGCAAAGGGTGACCAGTTGAAAAACAAGTGGAAAGAGTGGGGAAATACTGGAAGAAAAGGAGGAGGTCGGAGATAGAGGACACGCGGATTCGACACGCAAAAAAATAGGGGAGTACTGCCGACCTTGGCGCCGCCGGGCACAAACTGTCTTGCTCGTCCTAGCCCGAGCCCCCATTTCACATCCTCTTTCTCTGCTCAAAAATTTCAGCCTCAATATTTTTATTCGAAAATAATTCCTATCCATCTTCTTCATAGTTTTCAATCGTTCACAGTTTACCCATTCCGTGCATTCATTTCTGTTTAATGTAGCACAAGAGCTAATGAATGTTAGATATGTTGTTAATAAAAATAAACACATAATCAGTTTTGTGTGCTTTGAAAATTCGCTAAAAGCACAATGATCCATTCGGTCTCTAGACCACACGTTCTTTAAAACCTGGTCAGAAAACAAGCGAAATTTTTTCTGCTAAACGTACACATAATTCATATATTATATTTAAAAACTGATCAAGCTCATCTTGCTTGATTTTCAAAGCGAACAGAGATTTATTCGAATTGATGGCATGGTAATAAATTGTTTTTGTGAATAATTCAGAAAACTTGGATCCGAAATCTTTCAAGTTCGATTCCCATCTTTCTCATCCGAAAATCCCATCACGTCCTAGGTATAATTGCAAATTTTCTTGCTCAGTGCTCGGTTTTTTTTCCTGTACCCCATCGGTTTCAGCGTTCCTGGATGGGGGATATTGTAGAGGGAAAGGGATGAAAAAAAAGAAAAAAAAGACGGAGGGAAAGGGGTGGTTTCGTGGATGAGAGGGACGAATCACGGAGACACAGAACGGTCTTACCAAAAGAACGAAAAGAAAGACAGGAAGGGGTAGAAAAGGAAAGGCTAAAAGAAGACGCATTTTATTATTGGTGCTTACGGGGGGCGCGCAGCGCTGGGCCACTTTTTGTGAAAGGAATTCGGAAGAGAAATGAGAAAGAAGAAAAGAAGGAATCGGCGGTGGATGGAGGGATTGAGGGGGAAGGGATGGAGGGGGAAGGGGTGGAGGGGAAGGGGTGACTGAGGGGAGAGAAAGAACGCCTGAGGGCTGGCCCTTTTTTGGGGGAGAGCCACCGCCTGGAAGCTCCTCAGTCCTGCGCGCAGACCTTTTCTACCATCCCACTTTCTTCTTTCGTTCTTCTAACCAACCCTTCTTTTCTTTTCACACAGTCTCCCCTTTTCAGAGCAGCCATTTTGAGAGCCCGCTGCGGGCGTCCCCCCTTTTTTCCCCCATAGCAGGTTCGGCAAACACTCGAGGATTTTCAATTTTTTCAAACTCTTCCCTACTTTTAGCACCATTGAAGCTTTTCATTCACGTTTCTTATCCTTTATTTGGCTTCTCCCCAAAAAATCAATTGGAATTATTTCACGGAAACGATTTTTGCTTTGTAAATTACAGTACTCCTTTCGTCGATGCTCACTTTCACAAGTTTTCCAATTTTTACAATCCTTTTATGTCTTTCCGTCCCACAAATGATATTCACGGTTCTCGAGATTTTTATGTTTATTTCCTCGATGCTCATCTATTGAAAGACAGCCGTAGCTTTTCATTTGAGCACCAATATTTTTCACACAAAATCTCTGCAGCAATCCTTTACGAACTCTCCATTTCTTACATTTAACTATTTTCAAATTTTAATGGGCTTTGCATGTGTAGTTTTGACATCAGATATCCAAATAATCTATTAAGTGTGATGTCGATCGCGGTAAGCGATGGATCACTTCAGATAAATGGGATTAGACCAGAAGGCGAAAATCAATTGACTCGTCAACTTTTTCAAGGTTATTAAAAAAGACATTAAAGATTTAAAATTTGATATTAAAGATTACACAAATGATGCCTTCAAAGAGCCAAGGAAAGAAAAAGAGAAAGCCGACTGTGAAAATGATGACGAAAATGGAGAACAGGTAAACTAAAAAAAACCCAGAAATTGTTTTTTTTGCCCAACTTTCAAAGTGTTAAATATTTGTACTCATTTGCTTCTTTCTTTTCTTCAGAGCATTGCTTCAACATCAAAAAGATCAATCATCGAAAGCAATGGACTTCATTATACAATTCATCAAATATCTACAGATATTCAACGTAAGTCAAATAAAAAAACCTTTCTATTTTCTATCAAATGTTTTTTTCACACGTGAAAGTCTTTGAAATTGTAACAAATCAATTTTTCTCAGCGTTTTGACCTGATTTTCTTTCCCGCTATCCGGTCTCATACTTTTCTTTTAAAAGCTCTATTAATTTTTGTTTCCTTTTTGGCATTAAAGAAGAAAATATTAATTTGGTAGAAAATTATGTTAGTTACTATTACTGTAGAGAAAATTGGCTGAAAATAAGTTTGACCTAAATGAGCCCTTTTTTATAGCACCATGCGAACTAGGCCCCAGCGAAAGTTCCCCAAAAAATGATCGAAATGAAGATTCCGATGATGCCCAAGTGAGAAAATATTAATGTCGAAATAAATATATTAAAACGAATTTAGATGTTTTCGTCGTTAGATTTCATGTTGCTGAATAATAATCTAAACGAACTTTTGCAACAACAATTGAATCAAGAACTTCAAAGAGACACCGGCTCACCCAATTCGGTCAATGTGAGCGTTTTTCATAACCGTCTGCTACTTCATTCCTTGTTTTCAGTAAACTAAAAAACTTTGTACGCACAAATTAGCCAATATTTTATTTTAAGGAAAGGTTTAACTGTGATAAAGCTTTTTGTAGATACGTACATCGCCATCTCCTTGGATGCGAAATGCAGGCCGTAAAAAGAGTCATCCAGTTTGGAATTTCTTTCGAGATCTCAAGGGTGTCGGTGAGTTTTAAGACACTTTCAGCAATTGCTTATATCTATTGATGAAATTAGAGGGTACAACTGGAGGCGTTATGTGTCTCCATTGCGAATGGACAGGCGATGATCGCTCACCAAATAATCTAAGGACTCATCTCAAGCGTTGCCATATGATCGACGGAATTTATCAACGATTCTCAGCTAAGCTCGCCGTTGTCAGTGTTTTTGCAGATACCTTTTTGAAAAGATGCTTATCGCCCAACTTTTTCTATTTTCTTGTAAAATAATTGCTACCAATACACTTGACTAACAAAAATAGCTTTAAGAAATTGAGAGGTAGTTAGTCCCTAGCACTACAGAGGGTGATAGCTGAAGGGGTTTGGTGGTCGAGGAGGCGGGAATGTGTGGATCAATGGCTGGGGGAAGGGTGAGTGGGAAGGGGGTCGAGGGGGAAGGGGAGGGTGAAGGGACGGGGGAAGGGGACGGTGCTCGACCCCGAGGACTGGCAGCCTGCTGGCCCCGTGGCGTCTTTCGCGGGGGGGCTACCGCTCGTCCAGAGGGGAGGGGGTTGTGTCACCAAATAGGCAGAGGAGAGTGGAAAGGCGGAGAGGGGAGACGGGGAAGACCCGCCATCCCATCCCCATCTCCCAGCCCCTTCCCCTACCCCTTCTCCAACCCCTCTCTCCCCCAGCCTCCCCCTTTTTTGCTTCTCTTAGCTCCTTCCCCCTTTTCTTCCCCTCCCCCCTCCATCCCCAACCGACCCCCACATCCCACATTCCCCTTCATTTTCTCACCACCCACATTTATCTTCAATATTTTTATTTTACCTCATTTTCCTTCTGCTAATCATGCAAAAAGCTCGTTCTCGCAAACGCCCTAGTGCTGACAAAGCGAATCCGACCGGAAGGATTTCGAAGAAGATTTCTGAGATTTGGGGCCATTATCGGGCTTTTCCTGAACGGGGTGCCGTGGAATGTGTTTATTGTTGGAAGTTGCTAAAAAGAACAGACAGTTCGACAAAGAATATGTGGGGGCATATGAAGGCCTTTCATGCCGACATGCTCGTCAACACAAAACCGGCTCCTAAAGAGTCGAAGAAAGGCAAAGGAGAGCTCGGACTTGCCATAAAGAAGGAACCCGATTCAAAGGTTGTCAACATGTCAACCAATGATACTATCGGGTCTATTATTTCGAGTGTCGCTGCCGGTGGTGTCCTCAAATTAAACAGGGACGAATCTATTTTAGACGCGGTCACGGCTTTGACCAACAGCGATAAGGTGCGCTTGCTAATTTATAAAATCATTTTTAAAAAAACTTATATCTTCACCTACTAGGTTGGCGAATAAGTCTTTCGGTTCCTTTTCGTACTTTCGTTTAAAACCAACAAATGCACCAATTGAACTACGGTTTGTTTCATGAAAAAGGCCAATTATTTTTCTGTAAAATAACGTTGAATGTCTTATCTCTCGATTTTTGAACCCAAATTGACTTCAAAAGATGGGAAATTGAACAATAAACACTTTTTATTTAGAGCAAACCATAGGTTACTTGGTGAATTTGTTATTTTTTAACGGAAGCACGAAAAGGAACGAGAAGACTTATTCACCAACCTAATATATAAAACTTTTTAGACTCCAACACAACCATACGTGAAAAGAGCTCGAGCTGGGACAGGGACGAGTGGAGCCGACACTCCGATGACCCCACAACCATTGGCTACTGGCACTGAGGTAGGCACAATCTTATCGAAATCTCTCATTACGTTTCACTCTTTAGCAAGCGACGGATTTGGCCAAGAAACCATTTTCTTTTCTTGAGTCGATTCCAAAAATTAATGAAGTGCTAAATATTTCGGCTGGCTTTACCGCGACAACCAAGGAAAATGAAAATGTGGAGGTGAGCACAATAGCTGAAACAACTGAAATGGCTGAACTTGAAATTTAGCAAATACTGGGAACGCACGAGGTTCCTTGTGCTCCTTCCGGATCACATGGTGATGATTCGCCTATCCAAGCCGATGATTGTTCTTCTTCTGAAGGGATTCCTTCTGCAAACTCTCCACCAGTATGAAACTTCCTTTTTGTACTTGTTAAAATTGTTTTCATTTTAGAATATTCCCGTGAATCCCTTGAGTAGTCTATTATGTTCCGTTGCCGCAAATCCACTTGCCTACATGACTGCCATGCAAGCTTTAGTCGGGTAAGATGAGATTGCTGAAAATTCCTGAAAATACCCCTTCCAGGTCATCCTCCCTTTTGCAGCAATATCAGTTGAGGGCTGCGTCAAGTGCAGTTTGTGAAAACGTAAGTTAATCTTTTTTTCTCAAATCTAATTCAAAAACAATTAAGCATCGATTACAGATAGCCCTACCAACCCCAATCGGCCCAGCTTTATCACCAAGTTCTGCATTCACATTGAACGAAGGTTCATGTGTGACGCAGTTGATGAAAATGGCAATCGATTTAGATCTAACCATGTCATATCATCGGTGAATGAACTCAAATAATCAAAATAATTCAATATTTCAGACGAAGAGGCGATGTTGAGATGTGTTTTGAGAGTAACCGAACGGCCGAGAAAAGCGGCGCTCGGGGCAAAGTTTTGTGTTTAACGGATTGTGGACGAGAGATACGGTTGGTTTTGTATAAGTTAAGAAGAAAGTTTACTATTATAGGCTAAAATATAAACGAAAAAAAAACTTTCAGAGTGACCGAGCGCACAAATGGAAACGTGACCGAGTCGGAGTTGTGGACAAAGACTGATTTCAGTCAATTTCATTGGGCGATTCGGGGTCGATGTCAGAAACTTTTGCTCCGATAACCTTAATTAATATTGGTACTAAACATAAAAATTACTGGTGCCCTTCTATGTTATTCAAACTTTGTCTATTTGTTTGCTCCTTATTGATTGTGAGCACTTTTTGATGATCCTCATTCTCTTCCATTTGATTCACATAAAAAAAAACGAAATGCTTTGAAATGAAAAGTTTATTTTCATTAATTCTCATTTTTATTTGTATATACAAGAGCCTAATTTCTTGCCTTCAATAACATATAGCTTTAGCGCTCATCCGTTCTTTCTGCATTCTTCTCCATCGTTATCTCTTCATTTTGTTGTCCTTTATTTTTTTCGTATATCAATTGATATAGATAGAAAACAAACTGTTCCTAAAATGTAAAATTAGCTTTTGATCATATCTCAAGCAAGAATTGTGATATCATCATTTTCCGTTAAAGCATTTCCCGTATCCCATCTATCCTTCTTCTTTTTTGCTCCATTCATTCATTGTGCCAAAGTTAAATGATACCAAACTTTGTTTTTGAAATAACCAAAGGAAAAAAGAAAAACAACATTAAAGAAAACATATATTAACGTACTGTAGTTTGAAACTCTCATTATCAAAGTTCGTTTCCAGCTGACTTGGTGATTGGACATATTTTATTATACAGCCACTGAAGCTTTTGGAGACATTCATTAAAATATTCACGACAAAGTCACTTTTGGGTTGGCTGTCGTTTCGGATGACAGCTATCTATGTTAGTTGTAAACCTGAAAATTTGTAATCGGGGGCATTCTGGGATAGAGAATCTGAGTCCATTATTAGTTTTTGAGCAACTTTCATTTCCGAGCCAATACGGTCACTACAAAACTCTCTAAAAACTTGGGTAATTAAACCAAATTGGTAAAAAAGGGCAAAAACAAATTTTGGTTTTGTTCTTTACGCCTATAGGTGGTTTGCCAGAAGCAGCAAGATTACGTAAACATGGAAAATGTTACGTTTTTGTAATTGCGACCTTCTGTCACACGGCCATGGATGTGGGGGTGCACTTGGGTAATCAAACCGAATGAAATATTCAAAAATAAAGCAGTTTTATTTAAAAACCAAGTGCGCATTCGAATTCCTTGACCCCGAAAACCCCCTGGTGCAAGTTTTCAGCCCAATCGGCCTCAAAAAAGTGCTAAATCCAAGTACGGTCCACCGTTGGGCCGTATCGTCCCAGTGGCCAGACAACCTACAGCCCACTGGTGAGCCGTATCGTGTGTTAAATGCTGATCAGCTTTGTATTGGGCATTCAACAATATCCAAAAAAAATAAAAGACAATTTTGGAAGTTCGCTGGAAAGTTCCTGATCTAAATTTAACACAAAGCTGATCGACATCTGAAAAGTGAAAGCCCTCTTATCCAAATGTTAAACGGTCAGCTTTAAGATTTTTTTGATAAAAAAGACAAACAATATTTTGAAGCTATACTCTTTAATTCAAAGATGCTTATTTCAAAGAAAACGTAAACCTTCTAAGCCGATCCAAAGGGATTACGGTAGGTACTTTCTTGCGTGCTACCCATGTCCAAACAACTCTCTTTTGTATGGTTATTTTTTTTTGTTAAACTGAATTAAGACGCGTATCTACAAAGGTTTCGTTTTAGCTTAGAGTCAACCTGATCAACCATATTCGAGAAAAGGAATGTAATGGCAGCATGGCGTGTTATATCTCGTTTACCGCTTGGCGTGTGCTTCTTTCTTTCTCCTTAAAGCACCTCGAAATTCTGAGGTGTTGGTGCAATTTGAAACGTCGTCCTTTCATACATATTATTTCTACTTAAGTTCACTTACTTACAATAGTTCCTAGTTTCATTTTTGCTTCATTTTGATTCATAGAAGTAGTAGTATGCTAGTACAATTGTCTTTTTTTTGCCGTTTATTGTGCCAACCAATTGTGCAGCTGACCCATTTAACTTCAGTTTACAATCAGTCTACTCGAGTTAGTGGTAAATTCTTTAAAACATTGCTTGTCTGCTTCGACTGTCCGCTAACAGTCTCAGCTTTACAATTTCATGGTCAATGTTTACTTATTTAGAAAGGTTCACCCTTTGATGTGAAAGCTGTAGGTGTATATGGGAATGCCATTGGAGGATAGAGACAGCAACGAATGAGTGCATATATCAGTGAAGATGAGGTGTGGCCATGTCGGAAGAAATGAGCGATTCGCCCTTGGGGACCGATGAGCACGGATAAGGAGAAGTATTGGAAGGGGAAGAAATCGAGAAAAGAAGACAATAAGAAAGAAAATGAATGAGTGCCGGTGATCGGTCAGTCTCCTTCCCGACCGACCGACCCAGTTTGACAACTCGCTGCTTGGCGGTAACGGCCTTTCCCCCGAGGCCATCCCCTACCCTCCCCCTCCCCTCCCCTTCTTTTCCTTCACACCACATCCGCCCACCTGTGGCTTCTTCTCTAACTACCATATCCTTACTTTGTTGCTTCCTTTACTTTACGTTTGATTTCAGTTTTATTGTATTATACTAGTTTTTGTTGAGCGGAATATAAGCTGTTAGCAAACATACGATATGAAAAGTTAGACGTGGTAGGTCTAGCTCATCGGAAATGAAAAGCGAGGTCCCAAAAAAGCAGAAGCTTCGGAGAGCGAGATTCGTTTTCTCTTATGGAACAGTCTACGGTAATGAATGGAAGAATGGGGAAAGGCTTCGGAAAGAAATGAAAAGAATGAGATACAAGAGGAGACCCTTCGTGTTTGACAGCCATTTGTTTTGTGGAATGAGAAATGGGTGGCATGCATCCCACAGTACTCACCCCTCCCTTTTCATTTTTCATTTCTTCTCTTCAGACCCATCTCGAAGCAAATCATTTACTTGGCTCCTGCGTTTCAACTAGAATTTTGATTTTGCTTTTATTGAGAAAGTAGACTTTAACCAACTTTAAGTTTTTCTAACTTCTTTTTCTTCTTTAAAGTAAAAAGCCAAATCGAGCTAGGGTTTTTTTTGAAGTGCATATCGAAAAAAATGTTTGGGAAACGTTAGCAAAAACTTTACCCACGGTTTGAAAAAAGAAAGACGGAATGAGAAGATCTTTCGCTATCCACTATGCTTTCGACCATATCAAACCCCTACATTCTAAATACATGAATGACCAGGAAAGAGTTGTTCAATTGTGCGGAGAACAATGGCGGAAAGGAGTGATCCATCTTGAACTCTTCTATTTTTTGATATATTTACCACATGTTATTTTACCACATGTTGCAAAGGGTGGCGGTGAAGTTTTTGGCGGATACATCTAATAATAAGTTTTGCACGTCAAGAAGTCGAAGCTAAAAACAATGGATTTTATAGGTTGAAAAGCGTTTTGACAAGCAAGAAAGCAAGTATAAATAGGCAAAAAGTGGAATGGGGTGAAAGGTTGCATGTGGAAACGTTTACCGCAGATATAATTGAGGACACAGAAAGCGCCTTGTGGATGGGTTGACATCGAGAAACTTTTAAACTTTTAAGCGTGAATCTTTTCATTCCATTGCCACTTTATTTCACATCACATACTTTCAAATTTTCTAAATTTTTCCATTAACATTAGTGTTTAATGAAATGGAGAACTCAATGCGAAAGCAGAAAAGAGTATGAGTTTTAGTTTTGGCTCGGTTTAGAGAAGAGGAAATGAAAAAGGGAGGAGATGCGCGGAGATCGGTGGATGGGTGGTGATGGTGGGATGCGGTTGGGATATCGCCTTTCAGTTAAGTCGCCCCATCTCCTCCTTTAGGTCCATCTCTGGGGGAAGTTGTCCTCTAAAGCTGGTCCTCCTTTCCGATCTCCGGTTGAAACCGAACCCATCCCTTTAGAGCCCACCCCTATTCTTTCAACTTGATGCCATCTCACCGCTCCCTCATTTCCAACTAACCGCTTTCCCTATTTGACCGTCGACAATTTTTCCCTCAACTAGTGCGCATTTTATTTCACAAAATCAAAATGTTTTCTTCGGCGTTGAAAGCATGAATAGAGAACCTCGTTGTAGCCTGGCTACCGATCCTCGCGAAGACCCGCTCGTGTGGGGCAGCGCTCAATTTGTTTCTCAGCAACTCGGGTATTCCTCTTGTTGAAGAAAAGAGGGCAAATACGGCCCATCCTCACCCATATCAAGGCATTTTGGGGCTTCCCTTATTCAGCTCACTTCACAGGCTTTTCCCATTTTGACCATTCACAATGCTTTTTGTTGCAGATACAAAATTTCTTTCTATTTTATAGTTTCGCTTTTTATATTTAACGATATTTTTTTTCAATTCTATCAATTCTGCACTAACTCTGAACCCTGTACAAATTAAGCGGACTAGTGAAAGGTTGAGAAGGCGATAATCGACAATAGGAGAAGAAAAAGCTAAAAAGGACAAGCCTCAAGGCGGTAAGCGGCGTGTCTCGAACCCTTTAGGGACACGACGAGCGGTGCGCAAATAGATCACAGAAGAAGAGAAGAAACCCCCCAAGAACTGATAACCTTTGGAGGGGGGAGGGGTGGAAGGGTCGGGGATGGGTGTCCTGGACTGAGCTCTTCCTAAACGGGGCACACTCCAACTCGGTCATGACCTCACTCTCAAAAACAATTTTTACCTGGTTTTTTTGCTTCCTTTCGACTAATCCCATTTTTTTACACCAAGCTATCAATTACCTGTTCATTCGACAATCTCATTTGTGGAATTTGAACGACCGAAGGGCTTCTTTGAAGGTTATCTCTCAATGCTTTATCAGTGATTTCTCCTCGAATTTGGTTTTGGCTTTCGGTCACCGATTACCCGAGTTGAACAAAAAAAAGTTTCGTTGTTTTAAAATTGAAAAGATTTTTTGGCAGTTAATTTTTAGCTTTCTGATTGATATAACTGTTGGCTGACCACAAATTATCAAAAGCTTTTTACGAAAACTTTAAGCTTCGTCTCTTTTAGTCAACTCAAAAGCTAAATGATTAGAAAGCTATAGACTTACAATTAGCAATAAATCATTTAAATAGAGCTAGAAATTTTATCTAACAGTGGGATGTATT